AAAGTCCGTATGGGCCCTCGTGCTCACTAGTTACCTACATTGTAGTTACTTTAAAAAAGATAGACATTGGGGCTGGGAATTTAGCTCAGCGGCATAAGCACCTGCCTTGCAAGCAGGCGGTCGTGAGTTCGATCCCCAGTACCGATAAAAATAAAAAAGACCAAAAAAAAAAAAAGATTTCAAAGGTGTTTTAAAAAAAAAAAAAGACGTTGAAGACAGTTTACCATTTCTAAGGAGTGTCCGTGTGGAATACGGACCTGTTTGGAGATGTGAAAATGTCTCACTTGCTGATTCCCTCACTGCCATGCCTGCCATGTCCATTGAATCTGGGGCTGCCTGCTCTTGGGTTTCAGAGCCGGCTTGGCTCCCACCCTTCCTCGGAGCAGCGCTCCTTCAGCCAGCACCTGCCCACAGGTGGACAGGGAGTGGTGACAGAAGGCAGCCCAGTCGTGTGTGTCATAGGACCAGCAGCCTTCAGTGCCATGCTGTCCTGTTGGTCCTGTGGAGGTGAGAGGCGGCACCCGTGCTGAGTCCCAGTCTCGAGAACGGAATGGAGCCCCCTGTGCCCGTCTGGAGTATCTCTGCTAAAGCAGCCCTTGAGTTTGCAGTCACACTAACCCTAGATTAATTGAACTAAGTTTTATGGATTTGGGTTAAAATGTTTCAAAGGTGAGTCCTAAATATCTAATAGCTACATTGAAATAAATAGAACTATAGCATAAACAATTACAGCAGGTCAATGTATTACACTCCAATTATATGCAAACAGAAAATTCTAAAACAAGTGTCACTGTAAAACTTCCTGAAAGTAAAATATTTTGTGCATAAGTATTAGTTCATTTATTGGAACCTAATATAAATGTAAATTGCTTTAAATAAAGTATACTCCAAGTACCTCTGGACTGTTCTTTTGGTTTGGTTTGTTTTGGTTGGTTTGGTTTATTTGGGTTTGAGTTTGGGTTTTTTGGTACTGGTAATTGAACTCACAACCTCACACTTGCCAGGCAGACACTGAGCTGCTGAACAACGTCATCCCCGGTGTCATTTTTAACTGCTCAGACCCATTTCAAAGTACTTCAGTCTTAAACATTCAGATTGAAAGTAGTGTAAGTGGCCCCTGTTACAGTCAAAATCACCTTGCTAACATCACTGTTGATCGGTTTTATGAACAAACCAGCATTTGAGATCTCTAAAGCACAGAGTTGGCAAGACTTAGAAGATTGGCTCCATGGGAAATTCACACTCAGGGGAGTTTCCCAGCTCCTTAGCTGGCTGGGCTCTACCTACTTCTTAACTGGGGTCTGCAGCACCTCCCCTTTCCAGGAGCACTAACTCATGCCTGCTGCTTTCGGACCCTTGTCCCCAGCTGGCATTTGGACCGTTCTCTCCCAGCATCCCCAAAGCCAGGTTGTCCTCCAGACACACTGTGAGCTCGAGACTGGCGCTTGGTCTTGGTCTGAGTCTTCGGTCCTAGTGCAGTGCTTGCTGTGTTAACACGGGCATCCAACACCCGCTTCTGTGTGTCAGCCGTGCTTTTCGTCTGGTTTTCATAGCCTTCCAAAAGTGAGTTTGCCCAGAATTACATCAGTAGATAATGAGGCTTCTACTTCCTATATGAAAATGAAACTTGGGCATTCCACTTTAAAATCAGTTAGTCCAACAAAAAATCAAACGAATGTAAACTATAAGGATATTCTTCAATAATAAACCTTTCATGTCAATGGAAGGACATGTTCCCTGTCTTGGGGCACCTTATGCTATAAGGATAGTTTCTTCCATTTATTCCAATACCTCGTGCCTGGCAATAATCACTGAGTTTGCAAGTTCCAATAAATTATTAAGCCAGCTTTATATTGCAGATTGTTCTTGGTGCAATCTCTCACATCTGCAGTGTGTGTGCTCTGTACACTTTCTCATGTCTTTGGGCACAGTTTTCATTTAATATTTGTCTTTCTGAAAAACCAATATTTGTTAAATTCCTGTATGTAAAAGCAAAATTCCTCAAGTATGATAGAACTAATAGCAGCAGGGGGTACAAAATCATGGTAATTTATCGCTTTGCAGTTACACAATCGTGCACAGGAGTGTTTTCATTAGAAATGGATCCTGCTTTCAGGCCTGTGGGCTTTACAAAGCTCACATTATACAGCCTTAGTACAAATAAAGGAAATGGTTGCATTAGCAAATTCCAAACAGGCACTTACCTTTTCCATTTTTGCATGAAGAAAAGAAACATTAGATCCCCGTAGAATGAAAGCATTTAACCAGCTTGACTGAACACTGCGCTGCACCTTTGTTCGGACAGTGGTGGGCTGCCCTGATCTGTCCGTGGAGCCTCTGAAGAGGATTTTGGTTGGTCCTGCATGCGCTCATGTGCTTGTGAAAGTCTTTTTCTCTTCCTCTTTCTGAGACAGGGCCTCTATGCAGTTCAGGCTGGCCTTGAGCTCACTTTGTAGCCAATGCTGATCTCAAACTCATGGATCCTCCTGCCTCAGCCTCTCAGCTACTGGGATTACAGACATGTACCACCATGCTCAGCCAAAGTCTCCCTTGACTGGGTCAGTGTTCCTCTCGGAGCTCTCCTAGTTAGAACTGCCAGGCACCAGGAGGGACCCATCGAGGCTCACTGGATGACCAGTGGGCACAGGCCGTGTTACCTTCTCCAAGTCCATGCTCTCGGAGTGTGGTGTGTGCACATCAGGGTTCCCTCCAGATGCTTGTCATAAATGCCACTGTTTATTCATTCACTCTGACTCAGAAAAAAACAGGAGTCGAGCCTGAAGAGGTCCTTTAAGTACTGAGTGCCCATATAAAAAACATTTTTACCAGGGCCAACTAACTGATCATGACCTAAAACTGAACCAAAAGAAATCTTTTCATAGGTTGTCTCAGAACCGATATTATCAGGAACCCTTGAAAATGTGTGATGCAAGAGCCTCAGTGTGAGCCAAGCACACTGCAAGGATTCTGTGAGATAGTGGAAGGAACAGAAATAGCCCTTTCTGTCTGTTTTTTTGTTTTGTTTTGGTTTGTTTTTTTTGTTGGTTTTTGGTTTTTTTTTTTAAGCAAGGACCATTGGTATTTTTTTTCCAGCGGTTTCAGAAAACAATCTGAATTTTACAAAAGAATAAGACAATCATACAGCAAGTGAGCACTCTTCCCTGGCAAACAGAGAAGCCTCACTGTATTGCTATGTATCAAAAACCTCAAACCACTGTTTTATCACTGTTGTTTTAATTCACTGCTGAACTACATACCTGCTGCTCCCAGCTCCCAGCAGAAAACGGGCTGCACTCCAGAGCCGCCTCAGGCAGGAACCAGGTAACTCGGACACAGCTTGGTTTCATTTGGATGCCAGAGATTGAAGCCAAAGTCTGCTAAGTAAATGCTGTATCATCAAGCTCCTCCCCAGTCCTACCCAGGCCACTTTTGGTGAAGAACCAATTTGAATTGATAGTTCGTGCTGTTTTCAAGTAAGGCCACTGTCTTTTGAACATGAGCACTGGATACTTTTTCTAAATCAGCAGCGAGAAGCTCCCATCCCTCACCTTGTGTCTTGCTGATTTCAGACCCTGTTTGGTGCTGTAGGCTACAGCAACTCTGCCCCGACAGAACGTGGCTCCTCGGGCTGTCTACGCTAAGGGACTAATTTGAGACTCAGGAGAACCCCTGCCCTCAGGTCTGTGAACACTTGGATTGGACACAGATTTTAATACCTCTGCTGCTGTTTAATCTGAGAACACAAGGCCTGAAGAAAAATGTAAGAACAGCAAACAAAAGCCAATGTAAGATCTAGCTGTAGAATGGCTTAACCCGGGGCAAGATTACACTTTATATAATCCTTATAGGCATGACAACAGTTTAAAAAATCATCAAGAGATATGAGTTAATATAGGTAATTCCTTTTGGTTTAATTAAAATTCCTCTATCAATAGCATAACAAAATTGGAGAGCTTAAAGTGAAAATTTCAAACGCTTTTACCTTTTGATCAAGGGTCAGGGCAAATGGAGCACGCTGTAGTATTTTACTGGAACACAGCCATGCCGCACCCCACACACAGTTGGTGAGCTGATTTCACACCGCGACAGAGTGAAATAGTTGGAGGAAAGAACTACTCTATGGCTTTCAAAGCCTAAAATATTTACCATCTGACCCTTCGTAAGGGAAGTCTGCAACCCATGTGTTTGAGAATTACATCACTGCGTATTCCATCCCTTAAGGATACAGGCTCATGAGCCCACACGCACACCTCTGGAGCTGGGTGCTGCTTTTCCTGGCTTCGCCTGCCTTAGCAAGTGCTTTAAATGAAATAGAGCCACAGAATCAGGGTTCCAGGCGTGGGGCCACACTGTGGGAAAGCCCCGCTCGTGGCAGCGAGCGGTGAACCACTGTTCTAAAAACAAACAACCCCAAAACAAAACAAACGCGAACGGCTGCCCCCAGTTACAGCAACTTCAGCCTTTGTCCCTTGAAAGATCACACGTGGAGCAGTGAGGGCCAAAGGGACCTGCAGGGATCACTGTCCCTTCCCTCCCACACACTCCCCCGCCCACTTCTTTTGGTCCCAGACTCTGGTTTTCCTTTGGGAATACAACCCACCGTGCTCCAGGTGTCTCTGTTTTGGGTCACTCGGGTCTGAAGCAGGTCATCCGGGGCTGTAGCAGCCCATCCTTTGGCCACTGTGCAAGGTTCAAGGCTGGTCTTTGAGACCCAGCCAGGGCCACTGAGATGCAACCGTGTGGCCCAGCTAAGCCTGCACGGGTTCTGTGAACCTCTTCTGGACTGCAAGACTTACAGCGGCTCAGGCCTCACCCCCTGCCCTCTGATTCCTATGGGCCTCAAACACTTCTGAACCCTATGTGGTTCTGCCACCCAGGAGCTGTGTGAATTTGGCAAACCAAATGTGCCTGTGCCTCAGTATCCTTACCTGCAAAATGAGACACTGCTTCCAAGAGTTGTACTAAGAATAAGTGGTGGAATCTGTTTACCTGACACAGAGTAGATGCTCAATAAATTTTTAATTGTTCATGTCGGATTTTGGATCCCATACAAAAAGAAGAAACAGCATTCACTAGTATGTTTTAGCTACTAGAGTGGCTAAACAGAGGATAAAGTATGGTACAGATGAAGCTAAACATTTAGTCGGTTATCATTTTCTCTGGGTTCTAACAGCTCCTGCAGGGCCAAGCTACTCAGTTCACACCCCATTCGTTCTCATCCTACACCGAGTTGCCTGTACACCCAAAGGAAATAAATTAGCAACATTGTAGGCTGCACCAAGTGTGGGTTTTCTCACTGGCAATCACGAGCTCTGGCCAGGGAGCAGAAAGCCTTTTCAACTGTCTTTATTCTACTGCCATCCTGTGGCTGACCTGTGCCACTGCAGCACCAGGGGCTGGATGTCGCTGAGTGCCCGAGCGTGCCTTCACTGCCCCCGGGAGGGGCTCCTTGGGAGGAAGGGAGTGCAGCTGAAGGGTCTTCTCCGAGGCCCACCAATGGGAGAGGCTGAGCACGAATCACCAGTCTTGGCTTGACTTCTGCTTGATGAACCTTAAGGACACATAGTACAGGAGCAGGAAACCCACGCTGATGCCGATGAGAATGAGGTAGATGGCGTAGAGAGGGTGGGAGTTGAGACCCATCTCACTGATCATCTGGAGACACCAATATTCAATGAGCTCACCTAGAGGTCCAGTGACTTGCCTGTCAATTCACAAGCCGAGGCCCTCACTACTTACCATATCTCCTGGGACCAAATAGGTGATGTTTCCAACCTGCATGGCGTGAAGGCGCCCGTTAAACTGGATCTGCATCAGCCCCGCGAAACACCACCGGAGGAAGGACACATTGGAGACCCACAAAGGCACTGCAGACAGCGAGAGCCATGTCAGCCCCGCGGTCCCTGTACCTGCGCGAGGTGCCACTTGCCCTCTGCAGCCTGCTCCCAGCTAGTCCTCAGAGGGGCCAGGAGGCCAAAGGATTCACATGTAGGATTCAGAGCAATTCTAGAGGGTCATTCCCTAGGTGTGCTCAGCATCCCAGAGCGCTCAGCGGTCCTCTCCAGGGAGGACACAGTCTGGGCTCTGCCTTGTGCAGCAGCATCACGGTTCAGAGAGGAGGAAGCCCTGAGCCTTGCCTGGCTGTCTGCAAAGAGCAGGCAGAGCAGGGAATGGGGGAAGGTGGGTAATGGCTTTTCCCAGAGAGGAGGTGGGACAGCCATAGAAGTGGAGATTGAGTGGAGTGTCCTGGGGTGTCACAAGAGCTGGGGAAGGCAGCAGAGGGCAAGAAGCACGAGGTCACCCCTTAAAAAGCTCATTGTGTGTGCATGACCTCTGAGAAAGGCAAGGTCACAAAGGTCAGACTCTTGTGCTGGCCCAGAGCCCAATCGTGGATGGGGATAAGAACACAACTTAGGGGGCTGGAGGTTTGGCAAGCAGGCAGTCATGAGTTCGATCCCCGGTACCAATAAAAAGGAAAAAGACAAAAAAAAAAAAAAGAACACAACTTAGGAAGACTCGGGAGGTGCAAATGACCTGGCGCCCTGGAGATGCTGAGAGGGAGGGAGTTGGGGTGGCTTCTGGGTGTTGCCTGGCTTCTCCAGTGGAGACACTGCCATGGCCTGCAGGGCAGCTGGCAGAGGCATCTCTTGCCGATCCTGAGTGGGACTGGCCGGAATCAGCCTCTACCCACGGCCCGCGCCCAGAGAGGCTTGGCTGGCAAGAGGTGCAGACGCACCTGTCCACAGGTTCTTCAGGTTGATCATGAAGCCCCCGGTGAGGTAGAAGGCGTTGTAAAAGGCGTTGCAGAAGAAGGACGACATGTGGAAGGTGGGCAGCAGGGCGGAGGCCGCCAGGGCCATGGCCCTGCCGCAGAAGACCACCAGCCACACCAGCAGGAAGTGCAGCAGGAAGGGCAGGAGGGCCGGGTGCAGGTTGGTCAGCCAGTAGATGGGCATCCCGTAGATGAGGACGTAGGCACAGTGCTCTGGCAGCTCCCCGAGGACCTGCAAAGGACACAGAGCTAATGCCGTGTTCATGCCGCTATTTTAAAATGTATAATGCTTGCATTTATCGCCTGCCCCGTGATGCCAGCCTGCCCTGCCGGTACTGAGCCTGCCGAGGGGATGCCCTGGGCGCAGGCCAAGCTCACCCCCGAATCCTCCCGCAGGCCAGTTCAGAACCATTCCCTCCAGACAGGCAGCCACTATCTGTGCTCCAGAGACCTGGCTGCAAGCTTTCATCCTGCCCTGCCCAGATCTAGTACCAGCATCCTTTGGAGAGCTGTACAACCTCTCTGAGCTCAAGACAACACCTGCTCCCCCTGGAGCAGGTCAAGTGTGCTAAGTGTCCCCATTGCTTCCTTTTTAGGGTCCTGCTGACCAGACACTGATGCACACTGCTAGCCTTTTGGGGAGTTTTTAAAAACATGCAAGTGTGGGGCTGGGGATTTAGCTCAGTGGCATAAGCGCCTGCCTTGCAAGCAGGCAGTCTTGAGTTCGATCCCTGGTACCGATAAAAACGAAAAAGACAAAAAAAAAAAAAAAAAAAAAAAAAAAAAAAAAAAAAAACCATGCAAGTGCAAGGTCCTGAGTTCAATTCCCAGTACCAAAAATAAGTGCAAATCTTTGAAACCCCCCAAGAGAAGGTGACCTCTGCAATCGTGGGAAATGTGGAACCCTGGGACTCAGCAAAACTGTGTGTCCTGGTGTCTGTGCAATGCTGCAGCTCTCTCCACCCTGCACCCACTGTCACTCTCACCAGTCACCTTTGCAAAGTAATAGGGACCCGTGGTATAGAGCCCGTCTTCGAGTTCAGCATACAGCATCGCCCGCTCCGAGTGGCCTGGGGCCGGGTGGGGTGGGAGGGTGAAGAGTGAAGAGTTATTGCCTGTTTCTGATTTTGCATCGCCTTTAATAGCAATAATAGCCTGAATGTCTTATTGTATATTGTTTTAAGCAGGCACCGTAAAGGAACCTGGCCCGGGGAGGCTCCTTAGGTGCTGAGGATGCATCCCCTGCACATCCCCATCTGGCAGACTGCGACAGGATGGGAACAGCTATGACTTTCATTTGTCTGCTACATTCATCCACAAACTTCACACCCCATCACAGCCACTTATTACATAATCACAATGAAACTGCTCTGCAAAGCTCTCGTCTGCAGATGCTCAGGGGCGATCTCGGGCCAGCTCAGAGCATGGCCGACACCCCATGTCTGCCTGCCCCAGAGCGGGGGACACTTACATTTGGAGACTACATCCAGGATCACATTGAAAGGGATGAGCCCACCGATCATGAACAAGAGGGCCGTTGTGTCCTGGAAGGAGAGCTTGGTGTCCCCGTGTCCATAGTAGAGGAACCCAATAATCAGGGACATCAAGCAGGCCTCTACCCCGTGAATGAGGAGGGTTGGCAGGTCTCGGAAATCATTGGAAATCTGACGGCTTTAAAAATCAATAAAAAGAAAGCAATGTCAAGGGGACAAGATTCCCCCGGGCCTTGTGACCTTGAGAACGTCACTCAATCACTGGAAGTATCACAGAGCTTCTACGAGGATTAAATGCGAGGACTGACCAAAGTGTCTGTCCCACAGTCTGTACTAAACACAGGGTTCTTTTGCCATTAAGAATCAGCCTGGCTATTTTACTGAAAGAAATTGTGCTGTGGGAAAGATCAGTCGGGCCATAAACTATGGAGATGTTTGCTGCAGCATTACTTATGCTGGTACAAGTCAGAAAATAACCTAACCATGTCCAGGGATCAGAGAAGTCCCAAAGCTGGGCTGCCCTGAAGGTGGAGGGATCTAGCCGGTGACAGGCAGAGGTTCTAAGTGGGAAAAAGCTGCTGTGGAGCATTAAGGAGCTGACCCTACCTGTGTATTCAAACGCTCTCCTACGTGGAAACTCACAGAAAAACACAGCACGTGGGCCTGGCCTTCCCTGAGAGCTAGTGTGACAGGGACACTTCTTTTTCCAGCTTAGATTCTTGTGTACTATCTCAGTTTTTTCACAGGGAAAAACATCATGATAGTTCCAGTAAGGTTATTTTAATTTTGTTCAGAGAATAAAAGTTAACAATGCATCGCATGAGGGCTAGAAATATCCTGACGATGGTGTTTTTCAAGCAATTCTACCTCTGGCTTCCTCCCCAGATTCACTTTAGATGGAAAGGGCTAAATGGACAGGGACTTTCGGTGGGGAGGGGCGCAGTGGGGGGTGGGGGTTGTGCAATTAGAGACACTCACCGGATCAGGGCAGTAAACTGCTGTATCACCCCTGGCGGCTCTGAGGGGGTCTGGCAGTTGTCACAGGGGAGGGCTGGGCTATGAGAGACAGTAGGTGGCAGGTCAGGCACTCCCCCGACCCCTCATTGCAGCAGGAGCTTTGCACCCCTGCCCACCCCTTGTACCTGGCCACACAGGTGCCCACATCCAGCTCCCTGGGCTCCACTTTCCACAGAAAGTCATCGAAGCCACGCACTTTTTCTCGAAACAAGGCCGCCAAGGACTGAGCCTTCTCCCTGGTGGCCACTTCCAGCTCGTGGCTGCGCCTGTCAATGCTGGTTAAGTCCACTGTAAGCAGATGTCAGGCCATGGTTGATATGACATGATGATCCCCACTCTCCGAGAAGAACTCAGGAAGCAATGGCCAGAATGGAGTGGGACAGAGACCTCCAGGGCTGGCCCCTTGCCCTGCCAGGCCTGAACACTGAGACTGAACTCTGTTCCCATGATGGAGACACCCAAGGGGGAGAAGGGGTCTTCAAGGTCAGAGGTCCCATCACAGCTATACCCTGGGGCCCAGCTGTCCAGAAAGTTTCTGATGAGAGCTCAGCCTCACAGAGCCTGCTCAGGAGAAGAAAGTAGGCTGGGGGAATGGTGGGCCAGGAGGAAGGGTGGGAAGGGAGGGATTCCTGACACATTTCCCTCTCACAGTGGGTTAATAATCTGGCTTCCCAAGCACCCAGCCCAAGGCAGGATGAGATTTGGCCGAAGAGAGCCAAGGACCAGCCAAGTACAGAGTTCTTACTGCCCTTCTTGGTCAGGGACGCAGGGAGGGAGTCAGGCCCCCAAATTGGGAGCCAGGCCCACTGCAGAGTTGCCTCCTGCATCCCAGGAAATGGCCCCTGTACCCAGGGACCTTGTCCTGCAGTCCCCTCCTGTGCTTGGTCTTCACCCTCCAAGGTTCCAGCAGTGCCAGTGCTCAAGGCAGGGCCTTCCTCTGCCCAGCTGGTCCAGGCTGAACACATTTCATGGCCCCTCCTCCCAGCCTCAGCATGGCTGGGGTCTCTGTCACCTCTCTCCTGTTCCCTTTCTCCCATTTCACCTCACTCAGCAACCAGGTCATGCTGAGAAGGGATCTCAGAAACCACGGTCTGTTCTTTGGAGACACGAAATACCAGACTTGCTAGGTACCCCAGGCCCCATTGGCTCTTGTGCCCCAGACTCATGAGGGACACCTACCCCAGGGCTTACAGGCAAGGACCTCTGTCCCCACCCTTCACCCCCAAATAATGCAAAATAAAAGCAAAAAACTCTTTCAAGTCTGCTGTGGGCATTTGACTCCTCTAGGTGTGCTTCGAATTGCCCCCAGAGGCCACGTAGGCAGGTGCCTTCTGTGCCCTTATCTGAGGATGGGTCATCTGAGAGTGACAGGCTGGCAAGAGGCCAGGATGGCACCTGTGCCCAGGAGGGAGGTGCCTTGAGCTCACTGAGGGAGCCGGTACACAGGAGGAGGGATGGGGCGGGGAGAGCACTGTCAGGGAGGGTCAGCAGGTGGTGAGGCCTAGCACAGGAGGCAGGCTTAGGTCCGGGTTAGGGTCAGGTTGTTAGGAGTAAAGGCCCCACCTCAACCCCATCATGCAAAACAAGTCCAGTTCTGAGCACAACAGCTGGGTCGCCACAGGCAAGAGGTTGAGCTCTTCCAGGGTGTGACGGTCAACAGGAGACCCCAGGGCCCTGGTACTTCAGGCCCTAGTAAATGCCTTCGAGGAAGTGGGCCCTGTCATCAGGCTGGGCCCCTCACCATCTTCAGTTTCCTGGGAAGAACCTGGGGTTCAGCTGACCCGAAGCAGCCGCCACTGTGCCAACTGTCTTGCAACCAGGTCCCGCTGCAGCACTCTTTGGGTGCTCCCAGGGAAGGTGCCCCAAAAAGGTCACCACTCCCCAGGAAGCCAGGCAGGGAGGAAGGAAGCGGCTCATTCATGCTGCCTGGGTGTAAAGTCCTGAGCTCAGTACTCAGGAGAAAGACAAATCTGGGCCAGCAGGGCACTTTCCACACCAGAGAGCCACTCACTGGGCCCTGCACCCAGCGGCACAACAGCCAGAAATGCCTCTGTAGGGCTTCAGATTCCTGGATTCTGGCCTCTGCGAGCTGCCCTCCTGCACGGAGGGCCACCGTCACGGCTGCTTTTTCTCAGGGCCTTTCCAGCCCTCGATCCCTGGCCAACCCAGGCCTCCATCCCTTCCTCCCACTACCTCTCCTCCTCCTCCTCCTCCTTGTTCCCCTGACGCCTGCCGGTTTCTCTCCTGAATCTTTTCCGCACGTGTCAGGGGTGGGGGACTGAAAGGGGTGCAGCCCTGGGCCCCAGGTCCCCGGCCACCAGCCTTGCAGTCTCACCGTAGAAGTCCGCAGGGTTGCTGTAGCGGGGGCAGGGGTGGCCGATGCTCGTGAAATACTGGACCATGTGCTGTGCAGACCCCAGGTAGACGGTGGTGCCCGAGGTCATGAGGAGGACCAGGTCGAACAGCCTGAAGATGTCCGACCGGGGCTGGTGCAGGGAGATGAGCACCAGCCTGTTGCCCTTGGCCAGCCGGGACAAGGTCTTCACCAGGTTGTGGGCTGTAAAACTGTCCAGCCCCGAGGTGGGCTCATCCAGGATGAGGATTCCTGGCCATGGAGAAGAAGAGGGTGACCCAACGGCACCCCAAACGCAGCCCCTCCCTCTCCCCAGGCTGCGGGCGCTCACCCGGGTTCCACAGGAGCTGCACCCCTATGCTGACCCGCCGGCGCTCGCCGCCTGACACCCCGCGCACGTAAGCGTTGCCCACACGCGTGTCCGCGCACTGCCGCAGACGCAGCTCCGCGATCACCTCCTCCACCTGCGGCGGGAGCGGGTGTGGAGGCTCGGGGGACCCGGAGCCCAGAGACCCACCCCTCTGCTGGGGCTCAGCGGGGTGGTGGGCGCTCAGAGCCTGTTCCTGAGCTGCAGCTGCGCTCCGGCCTTTGCCCAGCTCCTCGGGGCTCACTGTGCAGGGCACCAGACAGTTGGACCAGGAGACTGGCTCTCAGGCACAAACCCATGACAAATGCTATGGAGGGAGGCGGCTGAGGCTGAGATGGCTGTGTGTGTGTGTGTCGGGGGACTGAACCCAGGGACTACAGGCTGACCATCCTCGTCTGTCTTTTATTATGAGACAGGGTCTCACTATTTTTCTGAGTTGCCTAGTCTGGGCTCAAACTTGCAAATCCTACTGCCTGAGCCTCCCAGAGTGCTGGAATGCAGTTTGGACTCTTTCAGGCAGGTGATGATGAGCTGGGGTTTTTGGACTCCACCTGGGCTGGGTCCTGAGGCTCAGAGGGTATGGATGTGCTGACTGGACCCCATGACTCGCTTCTGGGCTCAGTTACCCTTTTGTCACGCTGGGCCTGGGAGAAGCTCCTGGGGAGGCGCAGCTGGGCGATGAAGGCCAGGGTCTCCCGCACGGTGAGGTGAGGGAGAAGCTGGTCGTGCTGGCGCACGTGGGCCACACATTTCCTCACCAGCCGGGGGGTGCTGGGCTGCCCGTTGATCCAGATTTGGCCTGCCCTCATCTTGCCACCGGTGTCGCGGCCAGTGATCACGTCTAGCAGTGAGGCTCTCCCACAGCCTGCAAAGTGACCGGAGTCACCACTGAGGCCAGAGCTGCAGGGGCCAGCGGGCAGCTGCTGTTGCCCACTTGCTGTCCAGCGCCCTGGCCTGCACTACCTTTACCGAAGTGGCAGAGCCCCAGGGAAGGAGGCACTGCTGCTTGGCTCCGGTGTGGCAGCTCCTGGACGGGACGTGAAACATCAGGCTTTTGGCTGGAGTCAATTTGTGTATCTTTGGGGGGTTGGGACACATTAGTCCTGGGGTTTGGGCCAGCTCAGCCACCAGCTGAATGACAGAAGAATCCTGACCGCCACAGGCCTGCAGAACCCAGAACCTCTGTCCCTCCCACTGCTATGATGAGCGACCTCCTAAGCCAGGCTGGGGTTGACCGCACCATGAAGGGTAATTTTTCCTGCTGGGCCAATATGCCAGTGATGTTCCATCAGTCGCTGTCTTTGAAGCTGGCTTGATGGGAAGGACTCACTGGGAACATTCATAGCGTGTCTTTTTAAAACGCACAATTAGGAACATATTTTGAGAAAAACTGGAGAAGAGTACTAGGGAGGAAAGCTGCAGCAGTAGACACAGAAATGATTTCAAAGTACAGCGTGCACGGAGATTCCGAAGGCAGCTCCGCCCTTCTCTTTTATTTTTATCAGTAGCACTTTTTATACTCTTTAAAAAAAAAAAAAAAAGACCCCCTGCACTCAACGCTGTCTACTTTTGAATGATGTACCAGTTTCCACTGAGTCGGGGAACTGAGCCCCAGATTGGATCTGTTTTGCAAAAATACTCAATGAAGGCTCATTCTTGAACAGCCATTTGAACTGTGAATGCAAGTAGGGTTCAGACTTGGAAACCCTTTTTTTCGGTGAAGCCAGAAGTGAGCCCTGTCCAGGTGCCTGGGCGGGGTTTAGGTTTCCTTATTGAATATTCCTTTTGGAGACAAAAATTTCTAAGTTATTTTCAAACAAGGGTCAGTACAGAATGTGTGGCAACTTCTGCCCAGTGTGATGCTCCTGCCCACGGCCTAGAGGCACAGAGCAGAAGGGGCTGCCAGTGCCTCCTGGTTATACCACACTTAGGATCCTTGAGAATTTAGTCAAGAGACGAACCAGAGACAGGGACCCAGGCCACCTTCCTGGGACACTGGCTTTGGGGCTTAGGAGGGAGGAGGTTTCACTAGTGTGCACAAGGACCTTGAGGTTCCCAATCAGAGAGCAGGAAGACTGTTATTTTCTAAATAAAATTTGGTGAGAAAAGTGGGCAAAGTTTTCAATAGAGGGTGCCTGGTGCTTTTGGAGAGCTCCAAGAACCAGGTTAAAACACCTATGGCCACACAGGACCTTGGCAGAAAGAGTGACATCTCTCTACCAACAAATTCATTAATTGGAAAGTACTTCCAGCATTGAAGATTCTACCCAGCACACTAAATGCCTGGGGATAATTTTCTCTTTTAAATTAGGGCCATCAATTTCTCTCTCTCTCTCTCTCTCTCTGTAGTAAATGTCATAGGAAGTATAACGTTTAAACTTCCCTAAGGACTTTAACAATTTCAACCAAGTGAGCTTAAAATCAAATAACACTAAATCTGGAGTCAGAAGACCAGGATATTATTCAGTGTAATTCCTGCTCAGCCTCTTGGATTTTAGTTTCCTTAATCACATATCAAAGGTATTCATAGCTAAGATCACATGTACCAACTGTTCACCAGGATGACTCTCGGAAAGAGCCCCTGATGCTCAGTTCAGGAAGAAAAACCATCAGAAGTGACAAATCACAATAATGCTAGTTTAGGTCAGAATTCCAGCAGCAGGGCCAGAGTGGGAGGGGCTTAATGACTGTGTGTATTGTTTCAGTTACAGAGTGCATTTACAGGTAGCATGCATTTGATCTTTGGTTAGACAATAAATAGGACTTCTCTATCCAAAGGGTATAAAAGTTTGGAGTCCATGTTAAATACACTGAGTAATCTTTACCTCTGGAAATGATTAATTAAAAGGTAAAAAGTACTATAACACTATGTGAGGAGGCGCTTGGTTCTAAGAAATCAGAAGACCAAATTCAAGTTCTAGCTCTATGCTGCATGTGAGTCATTAGGAGAATAACTCAGCATGGTGAAGGAGTGTGTGTGTGTGTGTGTGTGTGTGTGTGTGTGTGGTGTATGCAAGGCACACTTTGCAAGTGTTCAGGATTAGATAATTTGAAAATCTTCCTCTAAAAATGCTTCCCAGCTCTCACATTCTAGAACTTTGAAGTTTGCCCCAGGAAGGTCTGTCTGAAGCAGTTGTAAACATCTGGTTCTTTGCAGGTGGTTGGCGGTTGTGCTTTGGCTTTGGAGGGGGAACACAGTGGCAGGGCTATGCCTGGTCACTGTCTGACCATGACCTGAATCTGACTGTAGGGGAAATGACCTGAGCAAGAGCCCTTGTGGTTGGAGGATCCCCAGCAGAGAACATGATGTTCTGAAGATGTGTGATGGCCCTGTCCATCCAGGTGTAAGAGACAGACACTGTGACCACAGCTTCTGGTGGGCAGGAGGAAGCTCATGATTCAGACTAGTACCAACCATCTAGAGACTGGAAAGGGAAAGCTGGACTTTGAGCCTGGGTCTGTCCCCTTAGGTCACTCTGTACATTCATCTGCTAGTCAGCAAAGGTTCTGCAAGAAGCATCCATTTCTCTGAAGGACCATTCCGTATCCCAGAAGCAAGAGACCATTGCCCCTGCCCTGCTTTCCTCCAGTGGTACCTGAGCTCCCGATGATGGCCAGCATCTGCCCACTTTGCACTCGGAAGCTCAGGTTCTGAATGCCCTGCTCAGCGGAATCTTGGTTCTTGTGGGTCATCCAAGGGATCCTGAACTGAGCCAGCTGCTCATACCAGGGCACCTGGGAGGCCATGTCCACCTGCGGGGAGAGAGACATCAGAGGGCTCCTCAGGAAGCCGGGTCAGCAGCTCTGCTGCGCCCACCTGTGCTCACCTCCACCGAGATGTCCCCTGCCAGTACACACTGGGCCCATGCCCGCCCCACTCAGGTTCTACCAACCATGGAAGTGCCACCGGGCATAGCGGCTGTCATCACACCTGTAATCCCAGCACTCTGGGAGTCAGAGGCAAGGCGGCTGCAAATTCAAGCCCAGCCTGGGCAACCTTGTGACTCAGTGAGACCCTGTCTCAAAATTTTAAAATATATTTATTTATTTATTGTCTTTTTCCTTTTTATCGGTACTGGGGATCGAACTCACAACCGCCTGCTTGCAAGGCAGGTGCTTATTCCACTGAGCTAAATCCCCAGCCCTAAAATTTTAAAATATATTAAAAGGGCCAGGGATCAGTGCAAAGGGCCTGGGTTCAACCTCTAATGAAGCAAAATAAAAACAGCAACAAAAACGAACATGGAGATGGAACTCTACCACTCTGAAAATCTGACGCTGCTGTTCCCAAGTCCGGGGAAAAGGCCTAGAAATCAGGTACAACAGCAAGACAGGAAACATAAAAAGAAGCAAAATGTCTTCACTTAATGATAGATGTTTACTAATCACTTTCAGGTATTTACTGTGTGCAAAACTTTATGTTAATCATATCGTATCTGTTACCTAATTCAATCTTCATTGCCAATCTATATAGCATGGGTACGATTCTAACCTGTGTTTTACAGATGAGGCTCAGAGCAGTTAAGTAACCTGCTCTAGGTCACATAGCTAGGTGCAGAGAGGGAACGGTTATACGGCAGCTCATTAGCTTGTCCTAAACACACCCACAGGAAGCCAGGCTTGGGTGTCTGAAGTTCACCACTGCAGGGCCCACGATGTCCCCGACGTGGAGCATGCAGCTGCCCAAAGGAAGGGAAATAGCGGTCCTTGAATCTGACCAGGGTTTCCCCAAGAACCTCTCAAAGGTTGCTGTGTTGTCCTTGCTTGTACTCTGGGAACAGCACATTTTATCAAGGGGGACAAATCTATAGACAGAGATACATAAATGGGTGAAACCTGAATATATAAAGTCTGCGGTGGGGTTAGTGGCCCCGAACATGCCCATTGCCTAGTTTTGATAATTACACTGTGGAAGACAAGACGTTACCGAGGAGGGAGGTGAACACAGGGCACCTGGTCTAAGGTGAGTTCCAGATCTAAAGTTGAAAGGGTACCAGAGACTTTCCGCACAGGTTTTCTTTGTGTTTCTGCAGGATCCTGGTCTCTTTCCTGGCCTTGCCCCTCCTCCCCGACATGCAGGTGATACAGAGGGAAGTCTGCAGGCCTGCAGCCGGCAGATGGGGCCTGGGGCTCCTGACTGCAGTCCTTCTTGGGAGCCCAGGGCTGCAGGCTGGGCTTGCCCGCCCCCACCCTGCTGTGGGGCCACCACCAGCCCAGTCACCTGCACACCTACCTGGTAGGTGAGGTCTCGGACCTCCAAGGTATTGGACTGGCCTCTGTAGGTGAAGTACAGGCTGTTGTCATTTTCAGAGGAGAACAAGCTGTCCTGGAGACTCTGCTGGGAGGTGTGACAGGCAAGGGGCTCCTGAGGACACAGGAGAAGACGGGGAGGGTGAAGAAGCGGGAGCAGTGGCTGGCAGTGTGGAAGGAGAGGGGTCCCCATGGAGAGTGGCCAGGACTTGGAGAAGACGGGCGCTTCAGGATGGGCATTGCTTTCTCTGTTCAGAGAGCTCGGGCTACCCCCAGAGCAGCCCCTGCCTGGGCAACCTCAGCCCCTGGCCAGGGGCTCTGAACCCAAACAGCTTAGGATGAGTGGGCTGCAGGGAGCAGGGCAGGGGGGCCAGAGCCAGGAGCTCGGAAACCCTTAGCCTTGGACCTCTCTCCTCCCCACATCTGGCTTACCATCTCCTGATGCCAACAGACTGCACACGACAGGAAGGACAGAGACAGCATCGACCAGTGAGTTAATAATGCTCATTACCCGTGATGACCTTATCCCAAGAAAAATGCATCCCTTTAATTTTTAATTTAATTTAATTTAATTTGATTGCTACATTGTAGGTTGAACCCAGGGCTTTGCGCTGAGCTATACCCCCAATCCTTTTTTTTTGAACAGGATCTTACAAAGTCACTGTTTTACACAAACCCCACGCAAACCTGTGATCCTCCTGCCTCAGCCTCCCAGGGTGCTGGGGTTATAGGTGTACACTACCACACCTGGCCGTATCTTATTTTGCTGAGAAGTTTTGTGCAACAAAACCAGTGAGAATGTTGCAGATGGTTTCAGAAAGGTTTCTGTTATTATCACCCACAAATGTGTACCGCGAAATGATCTTGCTGTTGTTGGCTGGTGGTATATTTGTGTTTCCTTGAATATTTAATTGACACATACTTATACCTATTTATGAGTACAATGTGATACCTGGACAACGTACAAAATGTGCAATGAGCAAATAAGGCCAATTAGCACTTCTGTTCCTTAAGCATTCATCATTTCTCTGTATAGCTTGCTTGTCTAGACAATCAACTCCTCTTATCTGGTTCTTTATCAAATGTACAACAAATTGCTGTGAACCATGGTTACTGCAATGTGCTGTAGAACATTAGAATTTATTCCTTCAATCTTGTTTGGTGTCTGCTATCTGACCTCTGCCCACTCTGCCGTGTAGCCTGGCATGGGCTTGGAGATCCTCCTGCCTCAGCCTCCTGAGTGTTAGGGATTTCAGGTGTGTGCCACCACACCCAGCTGCAAGATTTCCAGTTCTTAAGATACTCCATTTTCCTTCTGTTTCTAAAGTGCAGGACCTGGGATAGATTCATTAACAAGCTTCCATGGCCCAGGGGATCCCCTGTCTGCAAAACTGTCATTTTGACATACTGGTGTATTTGTTCCTTCCATCAAGCCAAAAACAAACTCAAAGTGTTCACCACACTTCAGGCTTAGAGTTTGCAGTGAGACAGTAAAAAAGATCATCTCTGCGAAGCTTAGATTTGCGTGGATGAATCAGGATTTAGCACGGAGGAAGACAAGCCAGCGGTAGAGGCAGACTGACCTCCAGCATGTGGTCAGAGGTAGCTTCACTGTGTACATAACACACACACACTCCCGGGGCCTTAGATGACAAAGCAAACATTGGCTTCTGTCGAAGCACTCCTGCAATGGTGCAGGTAAGAGGCCTCCTAGGTAGGACTTTCCTGGCTGTCTGCCCAGAGTTCTGGGAGAGTATAAAAATCACAGACGGTTCAAGGTTTGAACTACTGGCAACATTATCCAATAAAAACATGGGAAAGACAAGCACCTAACTCAGGCAAGGGGTTATCACCGGAGAGCAGGGGGCAGAAGTGGGAGAGATACAGGGAGCTTCCTCTGAGCCCCCTTCATCACCTCCACCTCCACCCCACCCCACCTGGCTTCTCCAGATCTTTGTGCTAAGCTCTCAGAAACCCGCCAGTTGCTGGGGGACCCATTTGGGCTAAGGTGAGACCGGTCATGCTGTGTTGGTTTTAAAGCAAATGTCTGCAGGAGGATGTTGGCATCAGGGGGGAATTCGCTCTGCCCCAACTTGCCAGGCTGGACTCAGGGAGAAGGAGCTCCTAAGGAGGCACCACCAGACATTTGGAGTCTGGAGGAGTGTGTGGAAGTGACCTCACATCCAGGTAACCTCAGAGCCACTGTGCTGTGATGAGAAGCCAGAGGGCACTTGGTGTCTGATGGACACAGAGGTGGAAAAAGGCAGGAAGGCAGGGAACAATCTGAGAGGGGCGCAGATCCTGTCCCGAGGCCTGTCCCAGGGCCCCTCCTTGAACCCAGCCACCACAGAAGGAGCCGAATGGGCAACTCAGGTTTAGAAGAGGAAAATTTGTGCCTGGGTTGGGTATGACTCCTGCTCCATCTTAAAATATTTTCCTTGGCTCCCAGGAAGGATTAGTTAGACTCTTCCTGAGGTTTTGACAAACTCTCTCTATTTTTCAAATACTTAAATATCTATTGGGCTGACATCTTAATCAGTATGACTGTCAGAACATCACTTGAATTGCTGACAGGCGACACCCAAAAAAGCAAAAGCAGGTTTATTTGTAGGTAACCAGCTTGGCTCCTGCTGGGCTACATTGTCATTTCTCCATGCATTAACTTCTGATCAGATTCCTGAGTCAGAAGCACCCACAGAAGCTCAGGGATCTCAGAGCTCAAGACTTTGCTCTGGGAGGGGAACCCTGGTCCTGGACAGGGGGGATGCACTAAGAACCTGTGACCGATGGGGACATGCAGGGCTTGTTCCTGGCTGAGAGGACACTCTGGATCCTGGGACATTCAAACCAGAGCTCCAACAACTCTGGCCCAACACCAGGCCTCTTTTGCCCTTCTCTAGCCTGGTTCCTGCCCACGATGTGAGCAGTCTGTGGTCTGTGGGCCTTCAGGCACCCACCACTCCGGGTACCTGATGCCAGAACTCCCCGTGCACCCTGCCCTGACCCTCTCAAGCCCTTACTTCATCTGCTCCCAAGACAGACAGCTGGCACCCCTTCTGCCCAGGGTGCCCTTGGGCCACAGGCACATTTGATTGTGGAGGGAATGGATGAAATGCTGGTGGGCAGGCCAAGGTGACCACAGGACTGTATACATTCCTTGAAGAGTGGCATGGAGCTGGGATGGGGCAGAGGAGGGGACAGGCAATGGTGTGGGCAAGAGGCAGAGTCTCTCCTGATACTTTATTCTAGCTGCCATTCCAAAGAGCCCCAGCTTTTCAAAGGGTATCCTTGGGCCTCCAGATTATGAAGAGCGCATGTTGCATGTCAAGTCAAGAAGGTAGAAATTATGCTATTTAATAATTTTTAGCTGGATTGAGAACATGATGAAAGATGTGTGGCCCTCATCCTTTTGCTCCAAATACTGCAAACATTAGGGGCTGCGCTAGGGGCTGGCTCCAAGGGAATCCAGAGGGCTCAGCCTGGGCTCTTTGGCCTGACTGGGTCTTACCCAGGAACTCAAGGCCATTCCAGGTGCTTGTGCCACCTGCTGGGCTGTGCTTATTCTTGCCTTTCTCTCACAACAGGCAAAGGTGATGGAACGGTGGGGTGGCACAAAGGGGAAGGGGGGCCCTTTCTCCTTCTCTCTCCTCTGTAACCTCCTGCCTCAAACCCCACCCATCTTCCCCATCAAAGGCTGTAAAATGAGTGAGGGAACTTTGTCCCTCCACGATGTCTGGTTCACCCAGGTCTCTCCAGATCCTGCAGCTGCCTGCATATTTTGGGCGTAAAGTCTGATGTTCCCAGAAGAGTCATGTAGCTGCATCTGTCACTTCACTGTGGCTGAGATTCTTGGCCTGACAGCCACATGGGCAAGGGAGACACCAGAAGAGTCCCTGCTACGTGCGAGCGTGTTTCTGTGATGGGATCTCCTTCAGAGAAAGCTAAATCAGCCCAGGTCCCAAAGAAGAACCTTATTTCCCTACGGGAGTGGGACTGAGAGCTGGAAGTGACCTCAGAGCCCTCACAGCTCCAAATCTGATCCCCTCTGCCCTCTGTCACCCAGGAGTGACACCCCAGGGTGCCCTGGGCAGAAGTCCTGCTGCCACATTCGTGCTCTGCTGGTGGTCCAGGCGGTGGATTAGGACAGACACTCTTGAGAGAGGACAGAAAGGTCGAGCTCCTCCCCTGCTGCCGGATCAAGGTGGCCGCTGTCACTCACCAAGTCATCCCGGACAGCAGGACTCCTCCAGGGTCCCTTCTCCGCAGCCTCCCCAGCCATGGGGCCCACCAGCTCTGCTTCTGATTGCTGCAGCTCCTGCGGCTCTTGCTTTCTTAGAGCTGGGTGCCCTGGTCCCTTGTTCTGGGGCCGGGCTCTCTCCCAGGAGTCCTCTCTGGCAGGCCCTCCTACAAACCCTGTGTGCTCTTCTCGTGTTAAGATAAGGACGCTCCGGCTAAAGGTACATCTGATAATGGCATCCGTGCCAAGTCCAGGCTGGGCAAGCAGCAGGTGGGGCACTCTGTCACTGGCAACTCAGCTGAAGCCACTCTGGAGAGGGGCAGGCCACCAGAAAATTCATCAGCCCGTGCTGCCTGTTGGCCATGAGTGAGCTCTGCTCTCTGACCACAGAGGAAGGCTTGGACCCCCAGGTAGAGGGAAGTCACCAGAGCTCCCCGGAGGAAGGTCCGATGGAGGCCTCCAGGCCTCGTCACAGCCTCGGTGTCCTGCACGTCTCCTATAGCGTCAGGTAAGGCGGGACTGTGGGACTGTCACCACTTCTTACTACTGAGGGTGTTCCGGGATGTGTGTGGTGGTGGTGGGGAGTTAGGGCTGCTTCCTTAGCAGATCGGGGTGCAGAGAGAAGAGAAGGGCTGCCATGCCCCTTACCCTCCCTGTGCTGCCCACAGCCCTTCCCCACCGTCTGCAGCCCGCCCTCTGTGAAGAGAGGACACAGGGAGCGGGGGCTGGGAGCATGAGGTGGAGGAATGCAGGTCAGCCTAGAGGTAAACAGTGTCTTGTTTGCCATGGCACAGCCAGAGACCTGCCATTGACAGCGGCTGCTGGCACTTCCTGTGGGTGGTGCCAGCCTGTACTCACCACCTGCCAGTGTCTACAGAGCAGGACACTGAGGTTAAACTACAGTTAGGATCCTGTCCAGAGACAATGGGCAGGCAGAGCTGGGGTCAGTGCTGGGGATAGGGTCTGGCCCCTCCAAGACCCTTGCTGCCTCTGCCCTCGTGTGGTTTCCTGTACAGCAATCGTGTTGGGACCTGGTGGGATATTGCATCTCGCCGGCGGCAGCAGTGGAACAGGCAGATCCTCAAAGATGTTTCCTTGTACGTGGAAAGTGGACAGATCATGTGCATCTTGGGGAGCTCAGGTAAGCTGGGGAGGAGGAGCCTTCCAGTTCTCGGGGAACATGCTGTAAAGGCTGTGGCTTGTCATGCTGAAATAAATTTAAGTTCAAGGTCACAGGTTTGATATTAGAATGAAATCCACTGATGCACCTGACTGAATGGAACTTGGTACAATACGAAGGCTTGAGAAAAATCCTTGAAAGAGTATAAAATCCTACCTAACATGTCAGTTCTTTATCGGTACCGGGGATTGAACTCACGACTGCCTGCTTGCAAGGCAGGTGCTTATGCCACTGAGTTAAATCCCCAGCTCCCATGGAAGCATCTTGATTGCACTGTTCTTGCAAAATGTTGGTATTTACCACCGTTATTCATTGGCATTACTCTCTTCAACAGGGAAAATGTAAGCCTGGGGTAAAAGTCAGGGAAGGTACTGATCAGGAATATGTAAGAGTTTGTCACCCAACGGTTTATGAGAGGGATGCTTGATCAACAGCATGGAAATTTTAAGAGGGCCTGGAATCTGAGAAGAGAATGATGCATCTCTCTCAGAATCGTGTTTGTTTCTTACCAGGAAAGTTGTTATGAAAAAAGCAAGTCTGTCTCTGAGTCCCTCTGGCTTTCTGTCTGACCATCCAGTCTTTCCCTCTGACATGTCATCCTGGCATGGTGCCATTAGGCACGTTGTGATGCAGCTGGAAGCTGTCACCACAGCTGAGCAGATGGGGCTGCCTGATCTTGAACATTAAGCCTCCCAAACTGTGAGCTAAATAAACCTCTTTTTTATACAAATTACCTAATTTAGGTATATTTGGTGTGGGAATGGAAGGCGGGCTAGGACCGTCTAACCTCTACACACAGTGACGAAATCCGTGAGCACTCTCTGCCTCGGCAGGTGCACAACTGGTCCATAACAGTAGACTCTGAAGACCAAAAGAAAAGGAACTCACTGACCTTTGTAACCTACGCTGGCTACTGTAACAAAACACTGTGCACCGGGTGGCTTACAAGCGACAGAAATTTATTTCTCACAGTCCTAGTTGCTGGGAAGTCCAAGATCCAGGGGCTGACCGATTTTGTGTGTGATACAGGCTGTACCTCATAGACAGCTATCTTCTCCACCTAACCTCATGGTAGCTGGCATGAGGGGTCTCTCTCGACTTCTTTAAAGCTACTAATCCCAGTCGGGAAAGCTGTACCCCTGAACCTACTAATCACCTTCCAACCCCGCATCCTAATATTCCACAACATCAGCTTGGGGGTTAAGACCTCAACGCCTGAATTTTTTCTTTTGTCTTTTTGAGACAGGGTCTCGGTATGCAGCCCGGGCTGGACTTCGACTCAATTTATAGCCCAAGCTGGCCTCGAATGCACAGCAAACCCCTGCTTCAGTCTCCTAAGTATTGGGAAAATAGGCATGCACCACCACGCCCAGCTTCAATATTTGAATTTTAAGTAGATACATTCAGACCGTATTACTAACTGAAACTATCATACTCTTGGAAGATTTCCTACCAATTCTTATTCCTTTTATTTTTATTTCTTGTTTTACCTTTTTTTTCCTTTAGTACTGGGGATTGAACCCCAGTTCTACATCTACATCTACTAAACTACATCTACATCTACTTTTTTAAAAAATCTGAGATAGGATCTGCTCAGACTAGTGATCCGCTTGCCTCACTCAGCTTCCCAAGTGCTGGGATTACAGATGTGTGCCACCACCCTTAGCCGTATTTCCGTTGTTTTTTTTTTTTATAGCAGGGATCAAACTCATGACCTTGCACTTGCCAGGCAGGTGCTTATGCTACTGAGCTAAACCCCTGACCCCTTCCATTTAAATTTTTTTTAAAAAAGTTGAGGGACTGGGGATTTTGCTCAGTGGCACAAGCGCCTGCCTGGCAAGCCTGAGGTCATGAGTTCGATCTCCAGTACCAAAAAAAAAATTTTTTTTGATACAGGAATTGAACTCAGGGCCTTGCACTTGCCAGACAGGCAATTATGCTGCTGAGCTATATCCCTGGCCTTATTTCCATAGTTAAAACAAGTTCTACCTATAGATGCATCATAATATTCAAGATCATTCTAATTCTCCTTTTGATAAGTATAACATGCTCTTTTAAAAAAGCAAAAAGCTGTGCTGCCCTATAGTAATCTGTTGTATTCTTTATGTGAATTAAGAAAGGTGACATACAGAGCACCCTTCTCAGAAGCGTGCCCGTATGCAGTGCCACGCTTTGTGTACATTTCCCAGACAGCAGGGAGAGCTCTTGGTCTGGGAGGTGGCCGTGGCGTCTGATGATGTACCTAATTGTGGTTTCTAATGTCTGCCACTGTACTAAGCATGAAACCACTGTAGAATGCAAGTTCCACAAAAGCAGGAACTTTTTCCTTTTCCCTGCTGGGTCTTTAACCCTAGAACAGCCTCTAAGCAGGTGCTTAGCACTTGTTCAACAGATGAGTGAATAAATTATATCTATGAGGCATGACAGAAAAACGTGGTGTGTTTAAATCAAAGAAAGCTCATTATGATAAAAGGTGAATTGCCATTAATCCACCTCAGAACGTTCTCTCTTGCTTCCAACACTGTTATGCTATCGTTCTGGACACTTTCTGAAGTAGTTCTGGAAATTTCCTTCCACATGTAAATGTTTACCTTTCATGGTCATTCTGACTTTGGGGAAGAGGCAGAGTCGCTCTGCGGCGCCAGATCTGGTGACCAAGGCAGATGAGGACACTCTGAGAGCTTTTCACAAGCCTGCCGTTCCACTGGGTGGCACTCAGCAGCAGTGTGCACCGCAGCTCTGCTCACACTCATACACACATTCACCAAAGAGTGCTTCAGACTGGCTTCAGAAAGTGCCAGGAATGACAAACAGCATTTGACGCAAAGAGGAGTATTCTGAGAGGGGTTAATGCTTATACGTCTCTATGCCTAATTAACACGCCCAGTGTTTCATTAAATGACCTGGCTCCATTGCTATGCACTTCCGAGTGGCACTTATTTTATGATGAGGACAAGATGACTTTCTGTGCACAGTCTCACCCAAGTGTGGCCTAAAGCAAGCCTGCCTCGGGCCACCTGCCACACTAGGGGGATTCGTTTCACTCCCTAGTGGCTATTGATTGGAGCCCAGATTCTGGGATGAATGTTTCCTTGCAGATTTAGTTACCAATTATTTCTGCCCTACTGAAGAAATAATCCCCCCAAACAGTTTTACTGCCCCTCAGGAAATTCACCGTTTGTGTGTTTGACGTGGCTGCCTTATTCTAACCGTGGTTTCTCTATCCTTTGCTTAGATAAGCTTTGTCACCAGGCTGGTTCCTCATTAATTACTTAATAAGGATTTGACACCTGTTGAAAAGACTGAATTAGTTATCTACGTTCATGCAAAATAAAAAGAATTCCCATGGTGGCTTAAAACAACAACAACAGCAGCAAAACAGAAATCCCTTATCATCTCTCAAGGTTTCTACTTGGTTTATCTCAAGTCCTCCACAGTGTGGAACTGTGCCCAGGGCTCCTGGTGCAGGCTGAGGCCAGCTCCTTAAGCGGGCACTTCTCCAACTCTGTCCACATAGGGGTCACCCAGGGATCTTGGCCTGCAAGGTAGTGTCACCCACGCACAGATACAAGCAGACAATCCCAAGGGAGCACAAAGAAGCAATCCAAGTGTCCTGAGAGCCCAGCGATTCCCAGAGTCCTGGCTTTGCTTTTATTCTGATCCTACAGCCTCCTTTTCAACTCCAAAGGAAATAGCAGGAGCATCTTCAGCCTTGACCCGTCTGAGAGAAGTGGCTTGTCCCTGAGCGCCTGACGCAGGGGCAGGCCTCCGCTGCCGTCCCCCAGGGCCCTGCAGAGCCTCGTCTTGTCCCCCCAGGCTCAGGGAAGACCACGCTGCTGGATGCCATATCCGGGAGGCTCAGGCGCACGGGCACCCTGCTCGGGGAGGTTTGTGTCAACGGCCGGGCGCTGCGCCGGGACCAGTTCCAGGACTGCTTCTCCTATGTCATGCAGGTGGGCCGGGCCATCCCCAGCCCCTCACCCACCTTCCGCCCGGCCAGGCCAGCCGCTGACATTCCCTGTCCCGCAGAGCGACATCTTCCTGAGCGGCCTCACGGTGCGCGAGACGCTGCGCTACACGGCGATGCTGACCACGCGCCAGGGCTCCGCAGATTTCTTCCAGAAGAAGGTGGGGACCCCCGCCCCTGCCTCCTGCCCCGCTTAGCCTTTACCCTGCTGAGCTCCACCTGCTCATTTTTATTTATTTATTTGGTACTGGGGATGGAACTCACGACCTTGCGCTTGCCAGACAGGCCCTCATGCCCCTGAGCTAAATCTCCAGCCCCAGGCCTTCGCATTTTGATGGAGAGCTGAGAATGTAAAATATGGGGCTGATTTCACACTCCATCTGGGAAAGACAAAACAAAACATATCACACCCCCCCCCAAAAAAAACCTTAAAAACAGAAGGTAGGTAATCTCATTCAGAATTTTCCAAAATATGGATGGTAGGTTGAAAGGATATTTTGGGTGTAAATATTATTTAATTAACCTCACCTTTGATTTTTAAACTTTTTACAAAGTTTGGCTGCTGACCTATCCCCTTCCCCATGTGACTTGCACGACCCTGTGGTTCTTGCCGTTCTGTGAGGTCTGTGAACAGCGACGTTACTTTCCTACTGATTTTTCTGTTTATTTTGCGGTGTATTGAATGGCCCTCATCCAAATGGGATTAAGTTAACGAAGGCAGAGACTATGGCACAGTCAGCGTGTTCAGGTTCCCGTGTTTCTTAATTTTGGAAGTAGCTGCAGGTAAGCCTGCTGGACCCTTCCCTGGGAGGATTGCCTCAGTTCTGTCTGGACTGTGAGGCTTAGGAACCCTGAAGGGTCAAGTGCCACCTTCAGAGAGACACAGCTCCCTGCCGAGGAGGCTTGTGGATAAGTGGCATTCTCCCTTCGGAGCATCCCAGACCATTCTGAGAACAGCCATGGTGGGGATCTGCCCTCAGGAAGGACCGTCAGCCATGCAGAGGGATGCTGGCCATCCCCCACCTTAGAGCTCTCAGAGGTATGGCAGGGTCCTACCATTTCACCTGGTCTTGCTTGCCCTCTCATCGGGCTGGCACTGGGCAGGGTTTGTCTTACACACAAACCTCACTTCTCATATCAACCTATGAGGAAGACATTGCTTCCATCTTGCCAAACAAAGGACTGACACCCAGTTAGGACCAAGCAACTGAGAGTGGCACAGCTGAGAGGGAACCCAGTTCCTCTAGCTCCATCAGGCTCCTCGAGCCCCTGTGTGGCTAAGTGACACCAGGGTTCAGCTCACCAGGACCCCTGAGTGCACTGGCGTGTTCACATGGCGTAGGGCCCCGACATGAGTGTACAAGAGGAACCAGGCCACAGGCCCTCTGAGGCTTTCTCTCTGGTCATTTAGCACTCCCCCCCCCTTTTTTTAAAAAATTTTAATCTTTATTTTAAAATTAGACACAACAAAACAGAACAAAATAGGACATAAGAAAGCAATGTAAGAGATATAAATTTCAAAGCTAGACAACCTGAGATTTTCACTATCATATTGTCTCTTGTTTTCTTCCAAATAGTTGTCCATGTCTTCACATACTGAGAATTCATACAAAACAACATAGTATAAAACTGATCCGAACAGAATGAGGGAGGCGATTTAGGTCTTCAGAACCAGATAATAGGGAAGTTGCTAATGGCTGTCTTAAGAGTCTCTAGTTCTCTTCAAAATAGCTGTCCATACTTTCATGTATATTGAAGTTCAACAAAACAAAACAGGCAGCAGGGAGGGGTTGTTGGTTTCCCAGCGCTCCAGGTCCCAGCATGGCACAGGTCCAAGCACTTCTCTTTCTAAAACAGGTAGGAGAAAACCCCACTGGTACCGGGTGTGTCAAATGAGGTCATAAGCAGATTCTTCTGGTGGAGTGATTCAATTCTATCACAGATTCTCCCTGTGTGGAGAGAATCTGAGAAACCCACAGGCATAAATCTTCAGCCAGGTCGGGTGCGTTGGCCCATGCCTGTAATCCCAGCACTCAGGAGACCGAGTTCAAAGCCAGCCTGGGCTACAAAGTGAGTTCCAGGCCAGCCTGAACTGCCCAGCAAAGCTCTGTCTCAAAAGGCACTCACACATTTACACACACACACACACACACACACACACACACACACACACACACACAGTATTCAGCGAATTCCTATGTACCATAAAATGGACTGATGGCAAATTTGCCTTCTCTGCCTGGCACAGGCAGCCCCTAAATGTTCTGAGGAAAGTGACAGCACAGAGCTGGCCCTGCTTGAGTGTCCTTCCTGAGCAAGTCCAATCCACGAGAGCTGAAATCTTGATGAAGTACTGTAGTGAGCAGCAGGTGATGGTCACAGCGCTCATGGTCTAGTAGACCTGCTCTGACCTTGGAGGGAGCTGAAAGCAGGCCTGGCTGATGTGAGTGGTCTGAGGTCTGCTGAGCGGTCAGCTGAGCTGTGTGCCCTGTGGACTCCCTGAGCACTCAGACAGCCCTGACACTTGCTAGGGGCGGGACCTCGGACGAGTTGTGGCCCTCTCTGAGAATCTGCTTCTGCCTCTATAATAACTCGAATGATAATATCTCTGTGCTACGGTTTATGTGAAGAAGAAATCAGATTATGTAATTGCCAGAGTATAGAGAAGAATTGGCTTGATGATTCCCAAAGCCTTTTCAAGGGGTCAGGGATGTAGCTCAGCAGCACAGAGCCTGCATGGCAAGCGTGAGGTCCTAAATTCAATTCCTGGTACCAAACATAACCAAATCAAACAAAAAACCCAGGCCAAACAAAACAAACAAACAAAACCCAAAGTCTTTTCAAGATTCTGAATTCCACTTCACATAGACTACACAAACAAGAAGTTTTCCCATCAAGCACAAAACATCCAGAAAAGATGAAATAACTGTCTCCTCTGTCCATCCAATCCAAGCCAAGCAACAAATGTACAACTTTCCTGAAGCTCCAGGCATGAAAGGAGGTTTGGAAGTTTACCCCAGCTGGTGAGCACACAAACCCAGCCATGTCAACCAAAGCTCAATTCTAGGATCTTTTAAGTCAGAGGACAAGCATTCTTCCAGATCATCTCAAACTAGTTTATTTACACTTTCCCCCCTTTTCATTATTTTTATTTATTTCAGATATGTCGCTTCCTTTGACTAAAACTTCATGTATGCTGGTATCCCATCCTCTGCTTCTCTGGTCCACACATCATCCTTTTTTTTTCCAATCTAGTTTGCTGTGGTTGTTTTCAGTGCAATTCCTCCCTCCTTCCCTCCCTTCTTTCTTTCTCTCATTTTCTTTCTTTCTTTCTTTCCTCCCTTACAAAAAGAACACAGCCTCACCAGGGAAGGATGGGAACAAACACATCACCAGATACATACTCTTGTTTTCAGCCACCTTCCCCCTCAGAGCTGCCTGCCTTTGGGCGATCAGTCAGGGGAGGATTAGAAGTAGTGGAAAGTTTCCATCAGATCTCTGGAGACAGGATGAGCTGAGGAAGAAGGGAAACGGAGGGAAAAGGCCGGCCTTCTAGACAGTGAAGCACGGATTTCCACTGTCACTGTTTTAATGAGTTGTGAATAAGGAGACAGGAGCTGCAGGTGAGCGTGGCCAGCACTAGAGGCGAGGGAATTTTAAGAAATGTGGCCGTGATTATAAATTGGGTCCCTTTGAAGTCCTGAAAGAAATCCAAGGAAAGAAGAAGGTTGCTTTTCATGACTTTTGGCAACTGATCACATTTTATGGATGCAAAACATACAGAGATTTGGCCCACATGAAACTCCAGGATGTAGCTAGGTGACAGAAGGAAAACCAGCCTTATTTCAAACCAATTTGGATTTTTAAAATGTATAAGTATTAATAAATTTCAAGATTTAAACACTTATAAAAGCAAGCTATATTATAACTACTTTTTTGGGTGTTTTTTCTGTACAGACCAGATAGAGGCAGCATCTGAAAATAGGTGCTCAATGAACTATCTGTCATTTCATGATGAATCTCCAGAGCCAGGGATTTAGCTCAGTGGCATAAGCTCCTGCCTTGCAAGCCCATGGTCATGAGTTCAATTCTTGGGACCAAAAAAAAAAAAAAGTTGGTTCATGATGAATCTCCTTGCAGCAAATATATTTTGTGTTCCAGGGTTTTAAAACATGTATGCCTTTTCCTCATTTAAATCTGATACAGGTGTAATACTGTAACCTAAGCCAAATTAGATTTTGCTGTAACTGGCTGGTTTCTGGACGTGGCTGGTTGCTTTGTGACATGTTCTCTCTCCAGCTGGGGAGCTGAGATTGCAGCTGTCACCTGGATGGCCCACGGTCCTGGGCTTTGTGTCTCTTACAGGTGGAAGCTGTCATGGCAGAGCTGAATCTGAGCCATGTGGCAGACCAAGTGATTGGCCACTATAACTTTGGGGGCATTTCCAGTGGTGAGAGGCGCCGAGTCTCCATTGCAGTCCAGCTCCTCCAAGACCCCAGTAAGTGGGACACAGACCTCTGGGTATCTGGGTGCTCGCCACATGTCTGCAGATACTCAAGGCCCTTTCTTCTTGATCCGCATGTGGGAAGGAGTTTGTGTAACACTGAAATCACTGAGCTTTCCAAACTGGGGAGCCAGGATTTTTGGAAGTACTATGTAGTATATTTCCTGATGCTACTTCATCATCTAAGTATAGATAGTCCCCAACTTAACAATGGTTCAGACTTAAAATTTTCAACTTTCAGATGATGTGAATGCAATACACGCAGTATAAACTGTGCATTGATTTTTGAACTTTGAGCTTTTCTTGGGCTAGTGAAATGTAATGCCATCACCCCTCCCCACCCACATGCACACACACACTGTACCAGTCCTGGGGACTGAATCCAGGGCCTTCAAACTGAGCTATTTCCTCAGTTCTTTCTATTTTTTATTTTGAGACAGAGTGGCACTAAGGCACTAAGTTGCCAGGGCTAGGCTTGAATTTACAATCCTCCTATCTCAGCCTCCCAGAGTGGGATTACAGGCAATGTCCTATTCTCTTATGATGCTGGGCTGTGTCAGCAGGTCACAGCCACCAGTTGGCTGTGTGGTGGAAAGGAGGAACCACCAACATCCTGCATGCTGTGTTGCTATGATGTTCAGATGATGCAGGGACCATCGTGCTCTCATCAGTCTAGATGCCTTAGCTGCATTTCCAACACACAGTGTTTTCACTTTACTATGAGTTTATAGAACATAATCTCTTAATAAGGCAAGGACCATCTGCACAAAACATCTCTTGAATTGGAAACATTGCATTTGTATTTTAGTGTTCTATTGGCATTTTCCATGAGCACAGGGTCTACACCATTCACTCTTCTTACTCTGGCAGTACCACTGTATTTGCAGAGAAAGGGTGATTACTTTCAGTATGATAGGAGTGCTTATGAAACCACAGGAATCAGTGTAGAAATTGAAGGCTGACACCCAGAAGTGTATATGCTTTGGGGCAGGGGTGAGGTTGCCTGTCCCCTTCTACTCTTGCCTGGATCACTTACTGCCCCCGCCTGGTAGATCCAACTCTTCTATGAGCCTGAAAGAGGGGACACTGTATCCGGGCCTTTCTTTACATTGGTAGATTAGACTCCCCGATCTTCTGGTGGTGCTCGGTGACTGGAAGGCAGATAAAAGAAATGCTCTTGGTCATCTTCATGCTGGAAATAAGTCACACTTGATCCACCTAAAGAACACAAATGGCAGCCCCACCTCAGACCTTGTTTTATGGAGATTTCTTTGCTATATAATTATGCTTTTAGTGTTAGTGCTATAGATATGAAACAGTTATGCCCTTTTTTAAGTCCATCTTCTCTCTTTTGAGAACAACTTGGTGTCGGTCAGTGTCTCCTGGATGGAGCCCAAAAAGGCCACAGCACCAAGTAGGGGGGCCAACCTGTCGCTCTCTGTCCCTGTGTTTGCTGCACAGCTAGGGGTTGGGTCCCTGGCCAGGTCCTTTCTCCAGGGTTTGGACTGAAAGCAGTTTGCATGCAGGTACTTCTCTTCACAGTCTATGTGGTTGGGGTGCAATAACTCAATAAAGGAGTGGTCAATATCTGAGTTTCAAGCACAGTGTCCAGCTGGGCAGTGACACCGACGTCCATCCCTCCTTTGCTGGCAGAGATCATGCTTTTCGATGAGCCAACCACAGGCCTGGACTCCATGACTGCAAATCAGATCATCTACCTCCTGGCAGAGCTGGCTCGCAGGGACCGCATCGTGCTCCTCACCATCCACCAGCCCCGCTCTGAACTCTTCCAGGTAGGAGGGTGAGGCCATTGTTCCACTCAACCCAAGGGTGGGAATGGGGGTGCTGAGCTGGGTGTGAGGGAAAGGACTCGCGGTGCATCATCAAGCAATCAGAATCAACAATCCTGATTTGGGCAGAGAAAGGATGCAAGCCAGTTTCTTTTCAGCACCATGTTCCATCTATATTTGAAACACTATCTCATTTTAGTTTCTTATAATCCTCTAAGGCTGGCATCAGTATATCTCCTTGAGAGAGGGAAAGAGTGAAGCACAGAAATGACTCAAAACAAAGTCAGTATGTCAGAGTTAGGAGGTGGACTTGCCATTCATGGTTGAGTTGGCCTCAAAGCCTGTGTTTTTCCACTGAATCATACAGATTTCTTCTGAAAGCTCTCATTTCACCCTCCCAGTATCCTGTTAGTTAGCTACTCTTCACTTTTTATAGAAGAGAATCTGCGATTATAAATATGGACAACACACAAACAGAACACCCCAGGTTGCTCAAGGTCACTCTCTCTGTATAATATCTGGAACTTTAACCTGGCTGAGCAGCTCTTCTGTACCTTAGAGGTGATGGGGGCTCGGGAGGGAGAGGGCATGACTGCCAGAGGCACCTCAGCTGGTACAGATAGGCACACTCTATTTCAAATAGGCCCACTGAGAACGCTGATGGTGACTGAGGTAATCAAAGGTCTGACCCACTGATTGGAAGTGAAGGACGTGGTGACCTGATCACACACTGTCTGTTTTCTGATCAGCACTTTGACAAAATTGCGATCCTGACCTTTGGAGAGCTGGTTTTCTGTGGCACCCCAATGGAGATGCTCGATTTCTTCAATGGCTGTGGTTACCCCTGCCCTGAACATTCCAATCCTTTCGACTTCTACAGTAAGTTTTGCTTTACACTCACCAGCATGAATATTTTTCTCATATTTCTGTGTGGATGGCACCTACTCCAGTGGGTTTTGGTTTTGTTTTGATGATTTTGTGTGTCAAGGAACTAATTTGGTAGATCGATGAACTTGACTTGCCATTGATGACTTATCGGAATGAGGTAGAGATCTCTTTCAAGCAAATTGGTGTACTCCTACCTTGTTAGAGGAAAATTAACTGAGCTTCTGAATTCTCTGATAGTCCCAGTGAAATTCTCATGGCCTTCCTGGATAGCTTTACAGTATTCTGATTTTATAGGTGGGCATTAACAACAGATTTTATTCTGATGAGATGCAATATTAGGATTAATATTCCTGCAATGATAAAACATTATTTTCCATTGTGTATGTATGTGCATTGGAAAAAACATGGATCATATTTTTTTGGGGGAAAAATCTAGTGGACCTGACTTCAGTGGATTTTCAAAGCAAAGAACGAGAAATAGAAACCTACAAGCAAGTCCATAGGCTTGAATCTGCCTACAAAGAGTCGGCAATCTGTCGTAGAACTTTGGAGAACATTGAAAGAACAAAATGCCTAAAAAACTTACCAATGGTTCCTTTCAAAACCAAAGATCTTCCAGGAACTCTCTGTAAACTGGGAGTCCTCTTGAGGTAAAAGCTTCAGACCCCCCCATCAGCATTTTAGGCCTTTAGTCACCAACAATGAAAGAAAAAGAATTAAAATGGGATTGTTTGGTTTTCTTTCAGGAGAGTGACAAGAAACCTATTGAGAAATAAGCAAGCAGTGTCTATGCGTCTCCTTCAGAATCTGATTCTGGGTTTGTTCATTCTCTTTTTCCTCCTGCGGGTCCAGAATGACATGCTAAAGGGCGCTGTCCAGGACCGCGTAGGTCTCCTGTACCAGTTGGTGGGCGCCACCCCATACACGGGCATGCTCAATGCCGTGACTCTGTGTAAGTGTTGTGTGCAGGAAGCGCACTTCTTTCTTCCTGGGTAGTTCCCTGCCTCAGCTGTTACCCTGCCAATGTCCACCACAGAAGGGTGTTTCTGCGAGCTAGCCCTGGCCCTCTCCAGAACCCCTCCCTGGGGAAAGGTAACTATTGTGTCGTGAGCACCTTACCGTGAATTAGCTCTCCAGGAGGATGTCTCTGAGAGTCTCAGGATTCAGGCAAACATGTAGTTATGAGGTCTTGGTGTTAGGGGAGAGGTTTTCGAAATGTCTTTCCTGGCCCCCAGAATGCCCACAGCCCATGGGGGCCCCATTACCTGGCCAATTTTGCAACATCACTTGCTTTTTGGAGCTTACTTTGGAATAACCGGCACGTGATATTTAAACTTGGTGGGAGTCCAGAAGCAACACCCAGATGCCTGATATTATACCCTAATCAGGAAAATAGGTGCCAGAGGGATCCCTGAAATGGAACACACAGTTCAGGGAATGAAAGGCAAGGGTGATGCTTTTTGCAAAGTTGTTTTTAAGGATGGACATGAAGGACAACAATAAGTCCATGTGTTTACCAGGCTTTTCTGGCTCCTCTGAGTCACTGTAAAATGCAGGCCGCTGTGGGGGCCAACGTACTGCACAAAAAGAGAACAAAGTGCCTTGCTCACTCATTCGTGCCCCCCCTTTTTTTTCTGGAATTGATTGACCCACCCTACCCCCAAATTTAAGAAGAAGGAAATAAATCACATCTTTTGCCACCACACTGGAATTCAGATAGAATGTAGACTTCTGTGGTGGGGAGGCTTTATTGTCCCATGGATGGCAGCACCGCTCCTTCCGTGAGTGGGCAGCCTGCCCCTCGGGGGCTTCCCTTCTGCATGGGGTAGCCCTTCCTCCCTCAGCTGTGTGGTGACGACTGTTCTGGAACCTGCCTTCTATGTCAGTCCCTGTGCTGCGAGCTGTCAGTGACCAGGAGAGTCTGGATGGCCTGTATGAGAAGTGGCAGATGCTGCTGGCCTACGTGCTGCACATCCTCCCCTTCAGCATCATTGCCACTGTGATTTTCAGCAGTGTCAGCTACTGGTAAGAGGGGTTCAGGGCCATCCAGGGGCCCGCATTGAGTAAGAGGGCCCGTGAGCCGCAGGGGAGAGAGCTCCGGGGTGACTGACCCTGTGTTCTCTGCTCTGGAGGATCTGCATTTTGTCCATCCTTGTTTAGTATAATGTCCTGTCTTTCAATGCACAGATTTTATAATAAATGCAATAACCCAGCTGTAGGTGGTATGGAACCAGAGTATAAGCCAGACAGACCACAGGTGCCAGGGAAAAGCAGGTCCTACTTTTTCAGGGCTGTCCAGAAAAGAAGGCTCTAAAGTGGCTGGGATCAAGGTTCCCAGAGAGCAGAGGAGGTGGCCACTGGTCATCAGCAATGATGTGTGGCCTCCCTAGGCTGATATGAGCTGGAGAGAAGCAGCTCCCCTGTCTAGGGTTTCACTGATATACTGGACACTGCAGGGACATCGCAGTCTGGGCAGAGTGAAGAGGGCTAGAGGAACAAAACAGTGACTATGGAACTGGGAACCAGCAAGTACTGGGAACCAGCAAGCATCCTCAGTGCTAGGGGGTTTAGATTGCCGCCTTTTTTTTTTTTTTTTTTTTTTTTTTGGTACTGGGGATCAAACTTATGATCTCAGGACTTGCCAGGTGGGTACTTATGCTGCTAAGCTAAATCCCCAGCCTTAATACCTTCTTTTTATGTCTTAGAACTTTAAATTTATTTTCTTTAGTGCTGGGAATCAAACTCAGGACCTTGCACTTTCTAGGCAAGTGCTTGCACCACTGAGCTATATCCTCAGCCTTCCTTAGAACTTTAAAGATAAAAATCCACAGATGTGTAGAGTGACAATATTTGCAGGATTTGCTGGGGGGAGAAGGATCTCCTCCCATCTTGTCACTTTGCTTTAAATGATCCAGCGTTCTCTGACTCCATTAGTGTAAAGGTGCCTAGCTCATGAACTTAGGTAGTTCTTGAGACCTTGTTTGGTTCACTGTCTGGCTTCATATGCAGACGCTCCTAACCATATCTAGTTCAAAGTCCCAAGGCATGGAGTATGAGTCATTGTGATAAACCAGACAGACAAGCACAAGATAAACTAGGGTACGGCTAATGTGAGCTCCAGATTAAAGGCTCAAAGGGGAAGAAGCGGATGGCCAGTTGGAGAAAGCAGAGGCATCAGAAAGTGAAAGGAGAAGCAGCCAGCAGGGGGCAGCAGAGAGGGCGGCGGGGAGAGTGTTAGCAGGTGTGGCTCACCTATGAAGTAAGAGCAGTGGGGTGGAAAAGAGGCAGGAACTGTAATTTCCAGAAAAGGACTTCATAGACTAGAGGGGGTAAATGTCAGGTTTCCCAGGGCTCTGGAGGAAACAGATGCTGTTTGGAGGAGCTTGGTGAACAGGGTAGGCTGAAAAGGTAGGATCAGTTGCTTAAGTGACCATCAAGCTCTTAGGATGGTTGTCTTAGGATGTGATAAGTAAGATTAGGAACCATTAAGGGGCAGAGGCCCTACCTAGCATGTCCAAGACCCTGAGATCTATCCCCAACACCACAAGAGACAAACAAAAAGAAAATACAACAAAAATTAGATTGTGAGTTAGATGAAGATACAGCCAAAATGGCATCAGTCACAAACCAAGATTTCAGAGTAGATCCAGGTAAAGGCAGGGAATCAGAATATCATGAGGTCATAGGTACAAGTAGGCAGGGGAATATTTGGCAAAGACAGGATTGGGAGAGGAGGATGAGAGGGCAGGAGAGAGAAATGGAGAATAAAGACGGCAAGAAGATTATCAAACAGGAGGTGAGTTCGGTCATGATGGAAAACACCATTGGAACCCAAGATATACAGATGAAACCTTAGGGGGCCAGATGAAATCCAGGGGCCAGATGAGGCAAACTGGATCCATTCAGCACAGCCATATTCCGCGGTCAACACACTTTGAACATGCTTTTCAATCACCTACGTGAGAAGGCAGGGCTCCCAGAGGTGAGGCAAAGAACGGCAGAAGCGGGCCAGGATCTGAGGCCGTGGGGACTGGGGAGCGGGAACAGGAAGGAGGCTGAGGCAGAGAGGGGATGTTCCGGCTGCAGCCCTGCAGGAGGGGCTATTCGGAATACTGTACAAACTGAAGTCACGCTGAGTGACCCAGGTTGGGCAGATGCCCACTGGAAGGACACAGTTAAGTAGGAGATGTTTGTGTGGATGATTCCCCCAAGGAAGCTCAAGACCTTAGGAAAATGGAAGTAAGTGACCATTAACAACACAGATACCAACCCAAGTGTTTCTGAAGCATCCTAATAGGGAATGACCCTTGTCCAGGTGCTATAAAATCATCAGAGGGGAATGTTTTAAATGTCACAAGACCACAGTAGGGAAGGGAATTAATAGTGCAAACGTCATGAATTGTGCAAGACGAAAGGTGAAGAAGGGAGGTGGAGGACACTGAGAGCCCAACTTCTTTTCCTTACTCTACAATGTCATGGTCACTTAACACCCCTATCACCCAAGGAGTATAATTCAGGGAAGACAATATGGGAGACAGCGGCACAAATATAGGGTTGCTTGTTTACAAGGAAACAAGTCAAATCAAGGAAGGGCAATTCAAATAAAAGGTAAGAGTGGAATGGAGGCTTGGAGAGGGAAGCCAGACAGCTGGAGGATGAGAGTGGCGAGGGGCTCCCATGCTGGCCCAGTGCCTCAGCTCAGGGATGCAGTTCTGGAAAGGGGGGCTGAGACCCAGGCTGGACCCTTGGCGCTAGGGTAAGTGTGGTGCTGGGAGGAAGAACATGGTTCTTTAAAGGAGGCCTGCAGAGTTCAGTAGCCTGCATAGTGCAGTTCATTGCAAATGTTGTCTAAGTAATTTATTATTTTGCCACAAGTGTCTCACTGAGGTGACTCGTACTAAGTAGAAGCCAATGGAAACAACCATGGCAATAAATGGTCCCAAGCATGGGCTCTGTTCCAAAAACGCCTTATACAAAGGCAGTTTGGCGTGCTCTGCCAGCTCCGCCCAGCCTGTAACCACCAAATATTTACTCAGAGAAGGCAAATATGGTGTTTTTCTTAAATAATGGTACTTGGGAAGGAGACTAAAGCTCTTTTGTTTTTCTAGGGCTTTAGGCTTATATCCTGAGGCTGCTCGATTTGGATATTTCTCTGCTGCGGTCTTAGCCCCTCACTTAATTGGTGAATGTTTAGCTCTTGTGCTACTTGGTATAGTGCAAAATCCAAATATTATCAACAGTTTAGTGGCTGTGCTGATCACGGCTGGGTTGCTGATTGGATCTGGATTTGTGAGGTAAGACACAAAGACCCAAAGGATTTAGGGTGGTATGATTTGTGGTTGATAACCACAGAATGGTGACAGCTATAAAGAAATTCCAGAAGGGGGGCTGGGGATTTAGCTCAGCAGCATAAACACCTGCCTTGTAAAGCAGGCAGTCATGAGTTCGATCCCCGTTACCGATAAAAAGGAAAAAGACAAAAAAAAAAAAAAAAAAAAAAAAAAAGAAAGAAAACAAATTCCAGAAGGGAGCTCTGTGATGCTAGCTAAAGAGAACTTACTCTACCTGCTAAGTCATTATTATTGGCTTAGATCTTGTACCAATTACTCAATAAAATGTCTTTCTATTGGGAATCAGGAAATGGTAAGGTAAGCAAATTAATGATATGATCCACATACAACAAGCTATGAAATCAAAAGAAGGAAAAACTAACCTGAATGTTCCAGAAAAATTCACGATCCACATTACAGGGTAAAGATTATGTATATTATTAGTTCATTTCTGACCTGGCACTGCTGAGGCTCTATTCAAGTTCTCAATTCCCAGTTATTTTTAGTAATTAAAATGTATAAGAAAAAACACTGCAGAAGAAAAGACTGCTCAAAGTTTCAGGACTTAAAGGACATGTGCCAAAGGTTAACGGTAATTACCTCTAGATGATATTTAATTTTTAAGTTCATATTTCCTATGGTTTACAAATTTGCTACAATTGGCAATCATCATTTTATAGTGAAAACACACACAAGAGAACAGAATGGGCAGAAAATTTTAAAACGTTAAAAAGGCAGATGACACAAGTGGGATCGAACTCTGGGTCCCTGAGGGTTTTATTTCCTTGACTAAAAAATCAAATCACAGGGTCAGGGATACAGCTCAGAGGCACAGCACCTTCTTGGCAAGTGCAAGATCATGAGTTTGATCTCTGGTTCACACACACACAATCAAAAATCAAATCCAAAACAAACAAGCAAAGAATTAGTGAATATCCGGTATACAAAATTACCTCTATATGTTCGTCATTTAGCTCTCAGAACAATCAATTTTCAGGCAGAAACAAAGCTCAGACTTGACTTCGCCTGAGTCCTGCAACTCTGATGCCTCTGGCTCCCTAGAGAGGGGGCTGAGTCAGACACTTCCTCCACCACTGCCTGCCCCATGAACAGGACTTCTGTCTTTTGTTTCTTTCTTTGTTTGAGACAGGGTCTCACTATGTAGTTCAGGCTGTCCTTAAACTCTCTATGCAGCCCAGGGTGGATTCAAACTCATGGTGATCCCGAGTTCCTGCCTCAGTGCCGGGATTACAGTTGTGTGCAACCACGCCTGGAACTCCTCTGTCTAAATCAGTTTCCTCATTCATAAAAGAGTTTCTCCTCTTGGCCTCGCCGACCTCAAGAGGTCACCAGGAGTAAATGATGTAACCACATGTAAACTCAGGGAAGCAAAGCAAGCTAGGTTTGCATGGATCTGTTTTTCACATTCCCTGATATTTGTCCTAAGTGAATTGTTAGTACCCATGAGAAATGCTTGGATCAGATCATCCTCAGGGGTGCACACTGAAGCTTGGCATCGCCTCCTCTTTTGTATTACTTGAATTATCATGAGCCAGTCAATCTAGTATTTTTTCCTGTACCTGCTTTTTAGGAAGAGATTAATTGCTGTTAAAATGGAAGAAATGGCCAAAATTACCACATGCTCTTGATTTCTCTGTAAAATCACCATATTGAGAGGCCTCACTGGGACTTTGCTCGACCTTCAAGCACTGATGCGTTGTCCCTTTTGGGGTCACTGTCCCTGACTGAGTTGCAGGCTGCATTTGTACTCCTGGCTGCCTCCTCCTCCAAACACAAATGGAAAGAGCTTTGCTGTTCCTTCTACTCACATAATATTCCAAGTTCTTTTGGACAAAAAAATGTACGTGACATGGACCTGTATGTAAAAGGAAAAGTTAGCCAAATTCTCACACCCCAGAGTTAAGCTTTGTTTCATATCCGGCTAGACTTTAGTAACACTTTTAGCAAAAAATGGGATTGTGCTATTGTGTAAGATGGGAAGGACGCATAGTGCCTTACCACTTAACAGCGTAAGGGGGGCATTTCCATGTTGACAAATCTAAATCCATGGTTCCTCCCTCTGGAGAGTACCCTCTGGGTTTCCGGGATAGGCCTGGCCCTCCTCCCTACCTTTTGCTTGGTTAGTCTTCCTGTGCTTGCCTGCTGTTCCCATGGCCTAGGAGCTCTCTCCGGATGCCGTTTCCTCTCACTGCCCACCCTGTGCCTCTTGTGTTGCAGTCTTTCCTTAATAGATCGCCAGCCTTCAAGGCTAGCAGAGGGGTCTCATTTATTTTTTATTTTTTTGTCTTTTTCTTTTTTATCGGTACCAGGGATCGAACTCACAACCACACACTTGCAAGGTAGGCGCTTATGCCACTGAGCTAAATCCCCAGCCCCAGAGGGGTCTCATTTATCGCAGTCCTTCATAGAGGCCAGCTCATGGTCTTGACTCAGGTCAGCATACAATTTTGCAAACCTAGTCGGTTCAAGACTATTTCACAACCTCTCAATGTGGGCCATCCACTTTGTGCCTTAGAAAATTGCCTCTAACTGAAAGTCATGAGGCTTGCCGGGGGCGGGGGGGGGTGTCACTTGGGAATAGAGGAGGTAGACCATAAACACCAAATATGAGAATGTCATGGACGTGTAATGCTATTTTTCATATGTTCTTGGGATAAACAGGTCACTATCCTATGTTTTTATGGTCTTAATCTTTTTATGCATAGTGTTTCATTTTTGGAATGCCAGTAACCATGGAACATAATTAAATGTTTTCCTCTTCGAATTCTTCTTCCTTGAGCTTTACTAGGTCGCATATATAAATTCCATGAAAAAATTCCAAAATTGCAGTCTTTGGCATAAACGGGTATATATTCTCTGTCTCTAACCACATTCATTGTGAGTTCAAGGACAAGACATTATTTATTAAATTCCTAAGGCATTCAGAACTACAGCTTTGCAAATATACTTAATACGTATGTTTTTGGCTGGTAGAAACCATATAGTGGACTAAGAAGGTTGCAGCATCCCAAGAAGGTTCTTCTGAGTTAGACTGGAGAGGAGTCCTATGGTGTCTTCACGGCAGATATGTGCCTGCTCGCTCCCTCCCGTTCCCTTGCATTTTAGTTTAGTTCTCACTTCATGCCCTAGAACCTTCAAATCTGTTTAATCACAGGTACCGTCCTCTCCTGTAAATGCGTGTATGTTTTCTCCTGTGTTATCTAAGTGGTGCTTACCAAAAAATTAGGCCTCTAACTAGTCTATCGTGAAAGTCTCTACTACAATGGTTGAGCAAAGTGTAATGAAAAATGACTGAATCCCACCCTTACTAACTAGGAATGTCTGAGACGTACGTTTGGGGAGAAATAAGCATATAAGGGAATAGCATAGTCTAACCCCATTTGTGTAAAATTTTATAAACACATACATAGGCTGTATATGTTACCAAAATGTTAACCACAGTTATTTTAGGGCAGTGTATTTCTTTACATTTTAGCATTAAAGATTTTTATAGTATCTTTTTTTGATAGAGATGGAAAATTATGTTTATGTTAGAGAACATAAGGATTGCTTTTCTTTTCATTTGGTCAAACTACTTAATTTTGTCTACTGAATTTTGTCTCTTTTTTTTTTTCTTTTGTTCTCTTAAGGAACATACAAGAAATGAACTTTCCTTTTAGAATCTACAGTTATTTTACATTCCAAAAATATTGCTGTGAGATTCTTGTAGTCAATGAGTTCTACGGACTGAATTTCACTTGTGGTAAGTATTGAATTTTGATATATTATCTTTACTCTTTGATATATTATTTTTACTTTGATATATTATATTACTCTGAGGAAGCAATTTCCTGAGAGAAATGTATTCTGGAGATAAATGGTATATTTTACAATGAATTGATTTTCAGTAACTTGTCTTGGAATAAAAGCCAACATGATTTTTAAAACAAAAATTAAGCAGTGGTCCAGTTTGTATCCTGCCAGAGGTCAATACTAAGACCATTTTGGTGTTACTAGCAAGTGACAGAATTTATGAACACAGCTGAGTTCTAGTATATTCTAGATAGACTGAGCTCCTGTATCTAGTGAGCTCACTGAAGCAAACTATAAAGTGGCTCATTGATTCCCAAAATGGTGGTATGTACCTGAGCAGAGCCATTTTTGATAGCAAAAGTCTATTCCTCAGTTCCACTGAGGGGCAGTGGGAACACACACAAAAAATCTCCCTGGAGATCCCAGGTGCACTCTGAAGAAAATAAGAGAACATGGCGGAATTTAGTGGTCATTTAAATATTTTTAGTTCCTTTAGGATATCTAGTGCTAAGTGAACATCATTTTATCAAAAATATGGTAAGGAATTTATACTCAAAATAGAAACAAACTCATCCCCGTGTCCAAATGAATCCAAGGCCCAGAATTCTCTCTTGCTTCATCCACCTGTGGGTTCTGGACTCAAAGATGTCTGTATCTTTCATGAAGAAGGGTGCTTCACTAAGGGCTACCTGGTGGCAAATACTTGGTGACTAAGTCACCTGAGGTGTGCCACAGCTGATATTGTCGACCTTTTCTTTGGCAGGCAACTCAAATAACTCTGTGATGAACAACCCAATGTGCACCATCACTCAAGGAATTCAGTTCATTGAAGGAACCTGCCCCGGTGCCACATCCAGATTCACAACAAACTTTCTGATTTTATATGCCTACATCCCACTTCTGGTCATTCTAGGAATAGCTGTTTTTAAACTAAGGGACTATTTCACTAGCAGATAGTATGGAGCTCTGCTGGGAGACGGAAGTTCAGCTGTCAGATGTGGACGACTGTTCCAAACGTCTGCAGTAACTACACCGTGGATTTCTTTCTTGGTGGGCACTGTCCTTCCTCCACTAAGACTTCACCTGTGCTCTTCAGATTCACACAGTCCTCGAGTCACAGCCCCTTGTCACTCCAACCTGTTAGGACGGGTGGTATTTGAAAATTGTGACAAGAATGTAAATAATAATAATCCGTAAGCCTATGGGAGACCAGTGTGAATATGTTTTCCTTGTTCTATAAAAAAAAAAAAATGAATGTTTATAAACTATGCTTATGCTTGATGCAGAATTTGCTAAGAAGAAATGTTTGAATGATTACTGACTGAAAGTACTAGGCGGAAAAAGGGTTTAACTGAAACAGAGAATTATGGGGAATTAATTAAGAAGGTTTTAGCTATCCGTTATTTTCTCACCTTGCTGGGATGAAATACCCATCACTCAAAATTAAGGAAGGACCGCTTAGCTCACAGTTTATGCAGGTTTTAGCCCATCGTCAGCTGTATCCAAAGCAGGGTGGCGTGGGACAGGGTCAACATTTCAAAGTGGCAAAAGACAGCAAAGGCACCAAGAACAAAAGGAAGAGCAAGCCTCTCCATCTCCCTCCCTTTTAAGCAGGCTCCCCGCACCCACACCCTGGGGACCAGTGTACACTCACACCATCTCTGCGCCCTTCTCTTGCACAGGGTGAAGATATTTACAAAGTGAGGGCCCTGGCTCCCTGCTGAGTCCCTTATTTAAACCTCCAAACTTCTCAAGGTGACATAGTGTATCAGCCATTACAGATACCATTTAACACCCACGTTTGCTAGGCCTTGGGGTGAATACCTGTCATACTAGCTACCTGGGAGGCTGAGGTGGGAGGCTGAGGTAAGAGGATCACGAGTTTGAGGCCAGTATGGGCCACCTAGTATAACTCTATCTTAAAATTTTAAAAAAAGAGAGAAAGCAAGCGATTAAGGAAAAGTCCTCAATGGTAGCACACCTCCCTGGCATACAAAAGGGCCTGTGTTAATTCCCAAAACTCCCCGCCCAAAGCCATGAACACATAGAAACAAACTGAAACCCACATTTATGTGCACTGACTGGTCCACAAGAGAGGGCTCAGCTCTCTGCTCACACTGACAGGGGGTTGACAGCTGTTGGATGGTGACCACCACTGATACTGAGGAGTGATACTGATACCTTTTGCTGAGGGTTAACATTTAACCTGCAGGCAGGGACTGAGTGGTGAGCACAGTACATGGACAACTTTCTGGAAGATGAGCTTGCTACTTTCCACATCCAGCTTAGCTTACTTACAAAATCAGAAGCAGCTGTTACTACACAAGTGCACGCACTGAGACATGACCTCTTTAAGACATGGAGATCAGCTGTTATTAGACATCCTTAGAGAAGAATATTCAACTGATAACATTTCCACTGAGCAGGCCAGAGTGACACATGAGGGATTCGTGTTTTTGAATTGTAAAGAGAAAGAATGTTGGTAAGTATAGACACATACATATTTCCACAGAAGAAATGATGAACATAGGATATTAAAAATGGATTCTCTACTAAATGACTGATTATCTTTCTGATTGGTCTTCAAATAATTCACATACAAGTCTGAAATGAAACTATGTCAGTGGTGCCAGTAACCTTGAGCGGAACAGCATAGCGAGCACAGGAACTTTGTACAGTTACTGTGACCTAACTTTTAAAAAGCATGATAAATTATAGCATTTGAGATATCTCACATTGTAGAAGAAAATATCATTTTTTCTTGAAAAGATCATTTAATTAAGGAAACCACAGCAAAATTCTACTGCTCTGAACAACATTTAAAGATCTGGAGACATTGGTAAGTCAGCAGAACAGTATCATCAATTTTTATAAAAGCTCTGTGAGATTGATGATTATGGTATAATAGTTACATAATGCCTTATAGGTTATATATGTCACATCACTTATAGACAATTCCGAGATGATAATTTATTAAAGTAGCTCAAAGACAGTCCCACAGGAACCCCTTTTGAAATCACCGATTTCGACATAGGAACGATATGGGTGTACACAGTAAGTGGAAACATTTCCTACTATTCATATGCAGATGAATTTCATTCTAGCTTGGACACATTTGGAAAATTGACATCACATGTGACTTCAAGCTATTAAATGTTAGTGATAGTATCCTGACAAAGCACAATGACTTGCAACATGTGACATTTTATATCTTCAACTAAAAAATGGACAGTGATGTGTAAGAAAACCAAATTATATAATAAAAAATCCCTATTACTATTGTGTGCTAGGATGCTTTGAAGATCACAGTGCTCGCTGTGAATGTAAAAAAGGGCTCCTTCTTCATAGTATGAAGCAGGAATCTATTCTTTTTTTTGGTGCCCGGGATTGAACTCACAACCCCTCACTTGCCAGGCAGGTGCTTATGCCACTGAGCTAAATCCCTGGCCCAGGGAATCTATTCGTAAGGCAGATTCCTCAGAAGAAACAGGAAATTCTGTTCTCTAGCTACCAATGACTGTGAAACTCTGAGGCACTGCACCGCTATGCTTCTTCTTAGTAAAGTGCTTAAAGCTGGGCGCAGGGCAATTACAGGTGAACTTCTAAAGTAGAAACAGAAAAACAAGAATAACTTTCCTGGTCAACAATAGCAATTATACTTAAAATGCACTATCGGGACACAAATCTACAGGACTGGAAAGGCTTCTTAAAGGCGTACCGTTTTGTAAAGAACTCTAGTTATCCCCAACTCACGACATTCTGGTTTGCTTCTCCATGGGACATCACCTTAATTTTGTCCACTCTTCAAAAAGTGTTCATTTCAAATAATGTGTCAGTCTCACTTGGTGATGATTTTTAAAATGCTTCATTCCAAACCAGTGATTCAGAGTCACCCGTAGGATCCTTGAAATGTGCATTTTTTTTTTTTTTGAGACAGGGTGTCACTATGTATTTGAGGTGGATTTTGAATTCACTGAATAGCCCAGGTTTGAACTCAATGAGATTCTCCTGCCTCAGCCTCCCGAGTGCTGGGATTACAGGTGTGCAACTACCTTTCCCAGCAGGAATGGGCATTTTAAATGAGTATTTGCAGGTGCTTCTTATGCCTTGCCGTTTAGAATAAAAGCAGGAAATCCAGGAGCCCAAACCTGGTTTCTCACCAACTACATTTGAGTTCAAAGTCTAGAAAGAATGTGTCCAACATGGACACTTAACATTGTATTTAAGACTGTTAGCAAATATTCTTGCTTTCATAGTCCCAAGAACATCTAAGCAAAATGTATAGAATATTCTGAGCCAAGTCTGTGCTACTGACACGTTAGACACAGGTAACAGGAGGTTCCTTTATTTTTGAGAAATATTACATACAGTTATAAAATGTTTTTCCTTTTTAAAAGTCTTAGAGTATCCAAAAAAAAGTTGTATTAGAGAAAACGGAGCTTTTCCTCTAACAAATCACACTTCTTAACTTTCTTCACAGACAGCCACGAGAATTAATTAATAAAATAATCTTACTTGAATTTGGGAAAGAAAATCAATAAAATAGCTGAGTTAGGTTCAAGAGTCAAGCTCAATTTGTTTCCAAGACTTGGAAGCATTTCTCTTGTACTGCTCCAGTTCCTAAAACAAAAACATGCATGAAGAAAAATCAACTTTCTAATCTCAAGTAGGCATCTTAGAACCTCCTTAGCCTTTTAAAGATATAACAATGTGTCCTTGATAGTATTATCATTCCCAAAGCTTCTGTTGTGATTGTACTACAGACTTGTTTTCTAGGAATCGTTTTTAGTCTCTGTAGTCCAGGTGTTGATATTTATTACAGTTTCAGATATAATTATATATTACATAGAACACAAAAAACTTCTTCCAACTAATAAAATAAAACATTTGTCAAATATTGACAAGTCAAATGGGAAAAGGATTGGGAGATGCAGGGGAGGAGGGGGATGAAAACAGAATTAAGATGCACTGTGCGCGCACCAACTTGCCAGGAGACATAATCATCATGCGCTGCAAACACGTATTAATAAAAATTTAAAAAGCAAACAAACAAACCAGAAGTCAGTGAAATAACAATATTTAAGATATACTTGTCAACTTTTAGAAATTCAGAACTGGGGATTTGCTCAGCGACACAAGCACCTGCCCAGCAAATGTGAGCTTTTGAGTTCGATCCCTGGTACCCAAAGAAAAAGAAATTTCTCATACATATTAGAGAGGTGCGTATGGCGTGAATGGAAGAAACTCGCGCTCAGCACAGTTCAGAGGTCCCGGTCAGGACAGACTCGCCACACTGAGGTCAGCGGTCACTCCCTGGGGCTCTGGACGGCAGGAAAGGAGCGGTGGACACGCTGCGTGGGCCTCAGAGTACAGTGCAAACCTGGGAGAAGCCTGGGCACTGCTGCTTCCTATCTTACAACTTCTGTACCTTTCGAATGTTTTTACAAGAATATGTTTTACATTAATTAAGAATAACTTTACATTGCATAAAGCAAAGAAAAATTTTACTGGAGATGGAAATCTCATAAGAGACAAATGAAAAACAAAAATGATTACCAAAGGGCTTTCTTCTTGGCTTCCTCCGTGTTACTCAATCTCTAAATAATGTACAGTTTCTTATTTTGGTTAAGTAACATGGTGACTCTGCCAGACAAGGTGATGGCTGCCCTTTGGTTAACAACAGTGAAGTTCACAGTAGCCAAGAAAAGAATATCTGTTCTCATTGTCAGAAAAATCATGGGTTGTGTCTTTAAGACAGCTGCATTCTAAGTTATAATTTGTGTCACAAGTTTTCACTCTATACAAGTGTTAGAATTTTTATAGCACTTTGCAGTATGCTTTTTCCCTAATGAAGTAAATCTAGTTTAACAGCTATGTACCATTTAAAAGATTGTTAACTTACAAAGAATAAACAAATTAGTATTGCCAAATTTGTCTTTAATTGGAAGTTGTTTGGGGGGAGTTTTTGTTTTGAGATGGGGGTCACACTATGTAATTCATGCTAGCCTTGAACTTATACGAGGTAGCCCAGGCTGGCCTCACACGCACAGCGATCCTTCTGTCTCAGCCTCCCAGAGCTGGGATTGCAGGTGCGTGTCTGCACCCAGCTCATGTCTTTAACTGGAAGTGTTGTATTTTTTTTTTTTTACCCAGATGAAGGTGTTAGCAGCAGCCCCTGCTGCCTGAGGGGAGAATGGGCTCAGCACATGGGTTAAGCCTGCGGGAGGAGGAGGACTTGCTGAGTCAGGACTTAATTTACCTGATTTCTAGTACAAAGATTAAAGGCCCTGAGACTCATTTGCTATTCTCTCATTCGATCATTAATAATGGGACCTGAGGGTTCAGGGGGGGAAAGAGGAGCACCCTGTCCAGTCTCCTACAGGTAATCGTGTTATAGTCCATAAAACAGCTGTCATCGCTACTGTGGAGAAGAACCAGAACCAGAACCAGCGCCACCATTGGGGTTGTAGGGACGCAGGCATGCAGTGCACAATCTGGACTCCTTTAGGCAGCAAGGCCCGCTCTTGTGTAATTATGGACACAGTCTTGTGTTATGTGAGAGTTTAAAATTTAGAAGTAGTTAAATCATTCTTTCTTTTAAATGAGGATTGCTATTCAGATGTCAAATCAAATCAAATCAAATCTAGTTTTATTGCAAAATGTTACACACAACCATAATCAGATTAAAAGCTCAAAAAGACAAACCATATGAAGAATGTTTCAGGTCCTGTGGGGTTTTGCCTTCCAGCTCCACTTAAAATTCCAGCTATAGACAACTGGCTAGACTTTCAATAATGCAAATGAATTTTTTGTGGGCTATATCAGTAAAACTGGCAGTGACTATCTTGCCCATATAATAATGAAATTTAAATGTTTAGAGGAAAATCAGTAAGAATCTTCCAAAATTAATCTATAGAGAATTTCTTATAGCTAAACAGCCATGTATGTCAGCACACAATTGGAAACAACTTTAGGTCCTGAAACTCCTTCGACAGAACATGAAATAATATTCAAATTTAAAATGCTAGATACTGAATGTCACATTCTGAAATCAGATATCAAATAATTAAGCATCAAATGATAACCACGATGGTATCTTTAAAGCAGAAGCATATATTTATGTTAAGGAACTATGAGTGCTATCTGAAATCAATGTAACTCATCTACTAATACAAGAAGGGAACTGGCTTAGATGCAAGACTTGTCAGGTAGGTTAAAAGTCTGTCAGCCCTGTTGGCAGGTACACACAAGAGTCCAGAAAGGAGTGATTCAGGCACTGTGGGATTTTGCCTTCTAGATCCATTCAAAATTAAGTCAGGGAAGATGGACCTCAAAGTGAGAACTCACAATGCTATGAAACGCCCTTGCCCTTTAATAATACCATAGCATGCGAGCTTAACGACATATCATTCCCATACCTAGACAGATACACTTATCACCAATAGCGGTTAATCATCGACTCTGAAACAGTAATCTAGGGATGATGTCCAACTACTTCCTCAGCCAAGGTTCACTGTAATAAGAGTTTAATAAATGTCGTAAGGGTTACCGCAGGTCATTTTACCATCTGTACAACATGCTCCTTACTTCGCTTTAGCTACTAAACCTCCTAAATACTCACGGACCATTTTCAGTTTATATAAAATTATTTGCTTATGTGTTCTTATGTGTGCTAAGAGAAATAATCCTGCTCACTGCTCCCAGCACTGCCCAAGTTAGAGAGCTCTACAGATCCCAAACCAGACGACGTCACAGGTTTCAAGTTCAAGTGCTCGCTATACAGAAACTTCCTCAGAGATGACAGGTTGTGGAATGTTTCTTTTGTTAAACTAAAAGCAGATCTGAAAAAAAATCTAGGAATAGTGTTTGAGTCATAGTGAATTTACTTCTATTCTGACATGAGCTGGTACACTGAAATGGGGCCATCACTTTGAAGCACCTTCCTAACAGGCCCTAGGTTCTGTGAGTTTATACAGGCTTTCTGGGGCTGGGGATTTAGCTCAGCAGCATAAGTGCCTGCTTGGCAAGTGCGAGGTTGTGAGTTCAATTCCCGGTACCAAAAAAAAAAAAAAAAAAAAAGAATTTTATATAGCTTTCCAATGGACAAGATAATTTTCCTGCAGTAAGAAAGGTACAGGCATATCTGAATGTTTGCATGAAACACCAAACCTTTCACGTAATCCCACAAGCAAAAAAAATATATGGACATGTCTCCGCAGCAGCAAGGTAAGAATCATGAGTTATTGTAATGTAAAAGTAAACCCGAAAACCACAAACAATAAGTGAATATAAAATATCTGTGGGTGGTGGAATGATTTTTAAGTTTCTTCTTTATGCATATCAGAGGTTTTCTATAGTACAGACATAATTTTTAAATAATTTTAAAAGTAAAAATATACTATATACATACATTGAAAAAGCACATGGAATTTCCAAGGCACTGCAGATTTTATAATAAAACACAAGATGAAATTAAGTAAGAAGAGTGATACCTGATCCTTCTGAACCCTCATCTCATCCACTTCACTCTCCGCATACTGGGGATCTCGTGCCGGGTCCTTGAGGTCTTTCAGTGTGTTGATTCTCTGAAATCACAGTTCTTCAAATCATGTCCCGCTCCTCCACGGCCACCATCAGTCTAACCAACCACATTCCCACCTCCCACCTACTGCTGGGCCCCTGGAGACCTTTCAAGCTTTTATCATCACTATGAGGCCCTTTCCAAATTCCCCAGCCTCCAGCCGCCTTGCCCTGCACTTGCTGCCTCTCGCTCCTCCAACAGCCAGGGAAGCAGAGCCGGCCACCACCTACTCACCTTGTCACCTCCACCGTGCTTTATTTACAGCAGAGGGTTAGTAAACGTTTAGTTGGTTTTTGAGCATGGGGGATTAAAAACAACGTCATCACAATAGGGCCCTTAGAACATTTCCTACAACCGAAATAGTGCTAAACATTCTTGCTTTAAAAAACTGAGAAATACCTACCTTTGGTGGGAACAGCTTTTCATAAACTTTTTTCCACAGCTCCATTGGTGTGTGAGCATGAAACTTTCCAATGTCATTATCAGGAGCAGGAGGAGGACCTAAAATTGTCAGTGTATTCCAAATGAGTGCATTGATTAAAACACTACAAGTTATCAATTAACTAGATGAACACATTTTAGACTTCTCATTTTCTACCTAAGTGACTATTAAAATGTACTCTTACCACCATAGCAAGATTACAGTATTGGAAGAGCTAAGGAATAATATGTAAACTCTAACCCTCATCTCCCACATTTTATTGCTACATTTATATTTTCTTAACATTAATTCCGGATCTCGCTTTGTACCCTAGCAATATCTGGATGTATGCATTAAAGATGTAACACTATATAGCATCATTTGTATTACGTAAAATTGACCATAACCAAAATGTCCACTGATAGTTAATAATGAAATAATAATGAAAACCTTGCTTTGTAATACTATTCAGTGGATAAAATAACAAATAGACTTGAATGAAGCAGTAGTATAGGAAAAAACATTAATGCAAAATCACTTAAAAAATTCCAAAACAATGAAGTGCCTGCCAAGTGCAAGGTCATGAGTTAGATCCCCGGTACAAAAAAAAAAAAAAAAAAAAAAAAAAAATCCAAAATAGTAGCTATAGACTGATAAAATTATGTTAAAAATATTTTCTAGGGGCTGGGGATTTAGCTCAGCGCATAAGCGCCTGCCTTGCAAGCAGACAGTCGTGAGTTCGATCCCTGGTACCGATAAAAAACGAGAAAGACCAAAAAAAAAAAAAAAATTCTCTATACCACCACGTATGTGTATAAATGCATCAAAACTAGAGATACATAACAAATTTGTTCCTTATATGTACTGTTTACAAGAATTATTCATGTATTGCTTAATTTATTTGCATAGCTTGCTTCTCTTTCCTTTTACTTCCTTTTCTCTCTCTTTCTCTTTCTCTCTTTCTTTCTTTCTTGTGCTAAGGAGAGTCCAGGGCCTCCTGAATGCTAGGCAACTACTCTACCATTGAGCTCCACACCTAGCTCAGTTTTATAATTTAAATTTGAAGCTAGAGCTTCTATTTCCGTTAGAGGTTATGTTTCACAGTGAGTGAAACAACAATATTTGAAAACTTAAAACAATTTAATGTGACTTTCTGGCAATTTTCAAGCTGTAACCTGGTTTATGCCATGTTTATCTTTTTCCACTGTCTGTATTACTCACTGAAACTTTTTCAACAATGACTTTGCAGGGTCTCCTTACTGCCTTGGTGGGAAAGGCACCGATATGCTCTACTGATCTTTGCTAAACTCCCTGGTGTGCATGTGGATGGGTGTGGAATTTGCATACAATCTCAACACCTGCACAGGGCCACGTGTCTGTCACCATGGTTCAGATACTCACCAATCCCGTGGCCCACCTCCTTTCTAACTTCTCCCTTCACTAAGAGTCCTGTTTCTACCCTCTGACAGTTAATTTGTCCTCCATTCCAAAGTTTTCATTTCAAAAACACACTGTATAATCACATTGTGTATATCCTTCACTGACTGTTTTTTCCTCATTTAGTGTAATTCCTTAGAATCATTTTTATTTTTATTTTTGGCACCGGGAATTGAACTCAGATCTTGCTAGAATCATTTTTAAGTGGATTGTTTGGGCTTTTGTTGTTGGTGGTGGTTTCTTTATAGATTCTAAATCTCAGTCCTCTGACAGATTTGTGGTTCAAAAAATAATTTCTTCCTGACTGTCGCATGTCTTTTCATGTTCTTCTACACATGCGCTTTCACAGGGCAACAGTTTTAAATACTGATGAGGTCCAAGCTCCATGGTTTTTAAATTCAGTAATTATCAACCTCTTTTGACCTCCACCTATTCACACGGGTAAAAGAATTGCATCAGCATTATCTGTTACCACACAGAGAAATTCTCCTTGCTACTGAAATTATGTTGGCACTAATGCCAATTATAAAAATCAGACTCCATGGCAGCTCATTAAGCAAAATCACTATTCCTTTCATTACACTTCAATCTATAATCTTAAGACAAAGATCTTTAGTCAAAGACTAAATAGTCAAATAAGTTTTAGTTTGTCAGAGTAACAGAGAATGGAAAATAGAAAACTATTGCCTGTTAGTGTATTAAAAGCAGATCACGCTATTCCAAAAGCATAGTGAACTGCTAGGGTCAAACATGTTCACAAGGAAAACGGTCGGTGTAAAGATAAAAAGTTTGAAACGTAAGTTCTAAAAATCTCCCTTGATGCAGAAGACTATGGAATCTGCGTTAGGAAACACACCCATTAGGAAAAGCAAGCCATTTTTATAATGAAAAACTAAGGCACTCTTCATTGGTACAAACGTGCTCTTTTCATTTTATTCTATCACTTCAGTTGTGAATTTCTTGACTATATTCTTGGTTTCTTCTAAACTTAAGGAGCTAAAATTTACAAATACCTGGAAAGCACCGAGAGAAAGGAAATACATGCAAATAATTTTCAGGCTAGAGATCAGAAGTGTTTCTTAACTGGGCAACATCTCTTCAACCATGAATATGTCAAGGTGATACAGGTCGCATCAACACTGGACACACAAGTAAATATATCAAAATAACTGCATCAAGAGTGAAGCCAGAAACAGTGGGGCACGCTGGAGATGAGGTGAACACGGAGAAGGATAAAATCAATAAGCAATTAAAAGGCACTGAGCAAGTTTAATAAGTCCACCAACCTATCTGACACAAAGAATCCAATCCTGCTGTGATAAACAGTGGTTTATTCTGATCCACACATATCGATTTGCTACAGGGAAAAGAAAAAAGAATCTATTTTAGTTTAGCAAATCAAATATGCTCCACACTCTAAACATGAGTCAAGTTTTATATCTAGCTTCAGACAAGAAAAACTGCCCCAAATGAAAAGTGATTTTTCCCACTGCCCCAAATTAGTGATTTGCAAACTTAAAGTACAGCATAATAACGGTTTTAAAGAGGAAAACGTGATAGATCCACATTACCTTAAATCCAAACCAAGAGAAAGAGCAAAGCTAAGGATGATACACACTAAACTTTTCAGTTCAATTTCAAAGTAACATAAAGAGTAATGGTAGAGGGAAAGTTCCTACTATGAGGAGGAAAGAAGCAAAAGAAATCAGTGAACAACATGAGAAGCAAGAAAGAGTCTGTAGTTCTCCCTTCTGGGCACTTTCCAGGTCAAGAAACAAAAGAATTTGAGGACAGTAATCAGATGAGGTCGCATTAGCAATTAAAATAAATAAAGTAAGTTTCAGCAGTACCTTCTATCAATGCCAAATGCCAACTGGTTGATAACTCCACGTATTTTTAGTAAGAGAGCTTCTGATTTGCTGGTAAACTTTACAAAAAAATAAAAAATAAAATGAGACAAAAGTCAGGAGAATCAGTTCTATGCTCTGCTTTCCAACTAACAGGTCAAATAAATCTGGCCTTGAACAAGTACGACTGCACAAAGAATTACAACAAATAGAGTAAGCAGACAAAGCAAAACCGGAAAAAAGAAGTTCTGGCGAGTTTAACTCATGCTTCAGACATCACGGGTGCGTGATGCAGAAAAGACTTGTTTGTGCACAAATCATCTCAGCAACTCAAATATTGTAATCATCATCAAAGTTTTTAAAAAAAATATAGGCCTATATGTGCGCATGATGTACATGTGTATGTATGTAAACATACTTAGTATAGTTTAAAAGAACAATTCCTAAAACACAACTGGTTTGGCTAGAAAATAAGAGGCATATATCAAAAATAACTTTTACATCCCAGGACACACTGCTGTCTTCAAAGCAGTCACTATGGACCTGCAGACTGGAACAAGACTGACACGAACATTATTTAACTTCTTTCTTTTGAATTACCTTTAGAGCCTGAAAAATTAAGCTACTGAATATTCTCACTTGTAGAGGATAATTAGAAGTACCACAACCAGAACACCCTTCTAGAATGAAAGGAGGTGAATATTATTAATAATTAAGGTCTAACATTAGGTTAACAAAACTTAGGCCACCACACAAATTGTGGGGGTGGGTACAGGACACTGAACTCAGGGCCTTTGCACAGGCTACATGCCTTTTTTTTTTTTTAGATTAAGTCTAGCTAAGTTGCCCTGGCTGGGCTTAAACTTGTACTTTAGCCTCCCCAGTTGCTGAGATTGCAGGCATGCACCTGGTTTACCCAACAAATAATCTACACTGAGATTTGATTTTTGAAGATACTAAGTTTTCAGAGCCAAATCAGAATGACTAAGATGTATGGAAGCAAAAAAAGTGAACTTAAACTGAAATGAAATATAAAATAAAGCAAAGATTTCAATTTTCTGATTCAATTTCAATTCCACAATATAAACTTCATTTTGAAATAAGAACAGGCTCCCAGGAACAGTACCCAAAGGTGGGTACTTTGTAAATATACAAGACCTGATACATTTATTCAAAAGAAAGCACTGAAATAATTTTGATCCTTCTAATGAAATGTTTTAAAATCTACACAGGAAATTTTCACCAAATTAAAAAACAATTGCCCTACTTAATTATATTTCTATACTTAATATGATTAATGTTATTTATATTCTTAATTTAAATTTTATGTAATTAAATTTTTACATTTAAAAATTTTGTATTTACTTATTTTTGTTGCACTTGGGGATTGAACCTGAGCAACACACAAGTTAGGCAAGTGCCGTACCACTGAGCTAAATGCTGAGCTACTCTGAGGTAGGCACTAAGTTGCCCACATTTGCCTCAAATTTGTGATCCTCCTGCTTCAGCCTCCTTAGAAGCAGGATAATCTTATTAAATATATTTTTATATTTATTATTAAATATATATTTATTTTATTATATGTGATAAGAAAAGGAGCCTAATCACAAATGTATTTCCTAGAACACAGGGGTCAGTGAACCTTATCTATTTTCTAACTCAACTCTGTTGAGTCTATCACCTGGAGAAGAGCCGCAGAGCCCCAGACCTCCTGTTGGAACAATCTCAGGGTTAGGAATGCAATATTCCCCAGTGCAGTTCACTTCACTTTCAGACTATGAGAATAGAAAGTCTTTCCTTACACAAATTATCTCTGTTGATTCTTTTCAAAACAATCAAAAATATTTTCTCAAGTGCTTTGTCAACCTATAAGCAAAGGGAATTCAAACATAAAAGGTAGTGATATTTTTGTTTTGTTTTTGTTTTTTGTTTTCTGAGAGAGGGTCTCATTATGCAGTTCATGCTGACCTTGAAATCACTGTGTAGCACAGGCTGGCCTTGAAAAGGCAATGACTTTAAGAAAACACACCATTAAATGTATCTAGAATGTTCAGAAAATATAAAATTTGAAAATGTATATTGTATTAGTATAGTCATAATATTCTAGCCATGAAGGCAAGGGGCTGGACCATGGTGTCTCTACCATTCTCTGATTTGGAGGAAAAGAGACCATTAAATAATTACCCAAATGTGAAAGAAGTATTTTTTAAATAAAAATGCTTTTATTTATATCTCCTTTAAAGGATACCCAGTAAATCTGGTCCTGCTATGGGAGATAATGGTAGCAATAATTACAATAACCAACATTTATTAATACTTGTTTTGGGTCCTGGTGTAAGCATTGCACAAGGGCTTCCTGTTAAATCTCACAAAAATCCTAGGAAGAAAGTATTATTTTTAACCATTTTAGCTAAGAGGACCTGCCTAAAATCACAGGCGATCACCTTTGAAGGCAGGCAGCATTACATCAGAGTTCATGTTTTTAACCTCGACAATAAGCTGACATTTTTAGAGTCAACAAAGAACATGAACCCAGGGCCTTGTACATGCCAGGCAACCTCACTGCACTGAGCCACCACCCAGCCCCAGATGAAGTCAAAACAGGAAACTCAAGGTGAATAAACAGGCAGTCACTTTATTTCTGTGCGTGTGGTTGGGCCTTATGGATATGAAAAGTGTAGAACTTTGCTCTCAGGAAAGGGGGAGTCACCTAGCAGACTGTGGTCCATATACATTCGCCAGCCCTCGGTTAGAAGAGGCCTTCGGCAGTGGGAAGAGAAAGGATGGGATGAAGTATTTATTATTCACAGTCATGCATGAAGTTGCTAATTTTTCAAATATGTTACTCTAAGCCCAAGGGATAGAAAATGTACAAACCATCAATGATGCTCCATAATAATGTGCAACAAATCGAAGTGTCTTGCATATTACTTTTCTCTTCTCAGAGTCAAAATCCTACAGAAATGTCATAAAAAAAAAAACAAGGGAAGAGAACTAAATATCTATAGCAGCAAGAAGCCAATTAAATAAGGCAGAAACAGATTCTTCTTTATTATTTAAAACCCACCCCGAGGAGTACGATTCCATCACCTTGATATTTGTTTCTCTAGAGACTGAACAAGAGCTTCAGTCTTTAGAGCTCCAGCTATCAGATCTTTTCTTTGTTTAAACACTTAGCTCAAAAGAATTCAGATATATGCACACATTTTATAGTGTGGAATACCCGACGGATTCCCTGACAAGCAAAGATAAGAAGAAACTAATTTTCTACTTTCTTCAATTTAAAAGTTGAGAAGAAAGTTCTATCCCTCAGCGGTTTAAGATTCATTTTCTAAATCTTCTCTGTCCCAAATGTACCTCTGTTTCCAAAACCTTTAAGACGTGTGGCTTCCTAACCCATCCCTTCCAGAGACAGTTCTATTTCAAGATTGTTTTCATACCTCCCCATAGAGAAGAGCCATGCACATCCAACAAACTCAGCTAAAAGTGGAAGAGTTTACCTGAAAAATATCATATTTACTTCCAATTATGACCAGAGGAACTGGAAACGGGTCAATTAATTCACGATCCTGTTAATAAACATATTTCAATGATTTACTATAACTTTTTATTGCTATGTGGCTCAGTAATTTCCCTCCAAGAATACATCACTTTAAGACTCTTGTTGGCTTATCATAGAATTTGATCCAATATAAACTTTCATTCACCAACCTATGTTTCCTAAGCATGAAACTAGAAATGGCAATTCCCCAAATTACTGGTATTTACTTTTTCCCTGGTCTGTTCTTTTGTTTTCTGATTAATACACCTTCCTGGTTTTTTTTTTTCTATGTTAACTGTTTATTGTATTTGCATGGGAAATATAAAACGCTGCTCTTAGTTTTCTAGAGGATAATATTCACTACTATACTTAAATAATTTGTGTTACTATCACAGCTACTTTGTAACCATCTGTCAGATGACAACCATGTGACAGACACCAAATGAACAAAAAGTACAGAGTGACAGTGAAAGCTGTTACACTGTACTCCTTGCCTAAATTTGTAGCTTCATCTAGTCTTTGCGAGATGACTTTTGTACAGACTGGCTTTTTATCTTCATTTTACAGAGATTATAAAATCAATATCAAACTATGACTTTAAAACTCTATTTCTTTTGACTGGAGTAATATGCCATAACAATCAAAGTAGATGTCTAATAAGAAGACATAAAAAAATCTTTTTTTCTTACTGAAGTTTTATTAAATTGCTATAATTTTCCAGTGAACAGGTTCATCTACATCAAGTGAATTTCAAGCCATGCATAAAAATCTAAAGTTGTTTGTGATGTTATCTTAACTATGTGCGGGATGACTAAAGATCACAAGAACAGGCCCAGCAGTAACTCACTGGATGTTCCTTCTGCATGGTGCTCCACATCTTCTGTCTCATTTCAGAAGCTGCTTTAGAATTTGTCCTTCCCAGTTTCATTATCACTTTATCTACATGGCTTCTTGTGGCTTGCAACAGATTTTCCATGGTGGGCCAAAGGTGATTAGGCTTTGAAAGATCCAGAACAAGAACAATAGAAAATGTCCTAAGGAAATAAAAATATCCTCACCAAAGCCTCAAAATAGTGATCATTTTAAAACACCAGTGTACTGAAATTTATCCAAGAATAACAACATTATAGCTTATGAGAATAAAAAAAAACCCAGCATTATCCTATTTAAAAAAGATAAAACTTACAGCCTTATGTATTCCAATGCTTTTCTCTAGTGATATTTCAATATTATAATCAATAGAGGTACTGAAATTTCTGTTTAAACTAAAAATAATCATTTAAATGAACAAACTGCAAGCATTTGGGTCCAACAAGTGCTTTGTTTACATATAATTTTATCATGTGCTCCAAGGAAGGTAAGCAAAAATACTAGTAAGTGGTAGCAGCAACATACCTAGTCAAGAGAGGATGGGAATAGACTTACTGATGGGCCTTGTTAGGAAACTATCCAACTTACTTATTCTTTATAACAATGCTTTCTAGAAGATGTTATGATGTATATTTTATGGAACTGAAGACTGATCACATAGTTACATAATTATAAGCTGTAGAACTAATATTTAGGTCTAAAGTTACACGTCTCCTTTCTATAACACACTGTCTCCCCGAAAGCATACCTATGCCCACCAGATAGATTCATCATGCCCATTATGCTGCCTATTTGTACAATGTTCATGCACACAAATATATATATATATATATATATATATATATATATATGCACTCAGTGAAAAACATACCCCGTAAAACAAAAACAAAAACAAAAGAAACCAAACTTTAAAAATGGTCAAAAGGCTCAAAAAGACCTTTTTCTAAAGAAGATATACAGATGCCCTATACACACAAGAAAAGATGTTTAGCAACACTAATTATTAGGGCAGTGCAATCCAAGGAAAGCATACCCTCTTAGCCATTAGAAAACCCGTTGTTAGAAGGAATAAAAAAGCTAGGAAACAACATGAACTGCTGAGGACACTGAACCCCTTGTACATTCCTGATAGGAATACAAATGGTGTGGAGCTGTGGAAAACAGCATGGGGTCCCTCAAGAAATTAAACACACAATTACCATGTGATTCAGCAGTTCTACTTCTGGGTCCATACTCCAAAATGAGAAGCTGGGATCTGAACAGACGTGTACACTAATGTGCTGAGTAACATTACTGAGAACAGGCAAAACACAGAAGCAACCCAACTGGCCACGGATGGATTAGTGGATAAACAAAATGTGGTGTGTACATATAATGACATATTAGCCTTAAAAAGGCAGGAATTTCGAACATGCAACCACCTGGATGTACCTTGAAGACATTATGCAGAGTGAAATAAACCAGTAACAAAAGGGCGGATACTGTCTGGTCTCATGCATATGAGGAACCTGCGTGGTGTAACTCACAGAGTGTGAGAGCAGAATGAGGCTGCAGGAACTGGGGGAGTGGGACAGGGAGCAGCTATTGTTTAACACGAGCCTCAGTTTGAGAAGATGAAAAAGTTCTGTAGACAGATGGCAGTGATGATTGCACAACAATGTGATACATATTTAATTCCACTGAGTTGTATAATACTAAATTTTATGCTATATATATTTTTCCACAATAAAAACCAAGTACATAAATCTAAGAGTGTTTTAGAAAATGGTCATGATGGCTAGGGACATAGCTCAGTGACACAGTTAAAAAAAGAAGGAAAATGGTCATAGTAAGGTGTAGAAGCATAATCAGGGGTCAACATCTTCACCACCAGGGCAACCATTCTGCTAACAGACACAGCCAGAGATTGTATGTTATTTAATTATTTTGCTTAGGTCAAGAAAACATGCTATTTTATGTAATTTATGCAGAACAGTAACTTCATTCTATACTGTTGGTCTAAATTTAGTAAGTAATCTGAGACATTAATTAGTTATCAAATTTTTCTATAAAATTACTGTAATACATGTCTAATCAATCATTTCTGTCACTTTAATAAGCTTAGAAACAGTCTAACCACAAATTGTAACACAGAGATTTTTTGAGACAGGGTCTCACTGTAAAACCCGGGCTGGCCTCGAACTCATGGTGATCCCTGTCTCCCTCTGCTGCGTGCTAGATCACAGGTGCATGCCACCATGTCAGCTGAAACAGATATATTTTCAGTAGTAAAGAAACTAACTTTATTTTAAGGGTTGTAGAATAGTTACACTTGAAAAAAACTATTATGATTTAACTTTTTTATAGTGGTAAAATATGTATGATAAACACTTTTTAAAGTGAAAAATAACTCTGTTTTAAGAAAAAAGAAAAATAGATTATTCAATTATTTTCTAAGGTTAAAATTTTTGTTTCCCAGTACTTTGAAAATACATGTGTTAGTTTTTACTTATTTCATAGCAAATGACAACTAAAAAAATTTTTTTTTTAATTTTTTATTTAAAGAAAAGGAAACAAAAGAATACATGGAGATTTTAAAAAAGGGTAGAAATGATACAAACTTACAGAAAAACAAACGGTAAGAAATTGCTGGTTGATAAGTTACACATTGTCATCTTAGAAGTAGCCGTTCATGTTATGGAATTGAAGCCTTTAGAATGACATTCATAAAGTGACACTACAAACCCTTCTGCTCTATGATCGAACAAGAGCTCAGTAACATGGTTATCAGTCCTACACATTCATTGTCTTACTATGACTGATCTTAATTGAATCTGAATCGTAAGACTATGGGTTGGCCATGGCTGATTTTATTTGAAAATGGTATGCTTGTCAGTATCAACCCTAAAAGTAGAGGCAACTACTCTGAGGATGACAAGTTGTAAAGAATATCCATACTGGTATTAATTAGTAACAGCTTCCAAACCCTACAATGCTGCCAAAGTTAAGTTTTTATAAAAATAGGTGATACTATATTTAACTATAAAAAAATTTTTTTTAAAACCACCTTTCTTTTGTTTTCCAGTACTGGTGTTTGAATGCGCGGCCTCCCCAGTTCTTTTTCTATTGTCTTTTTTCGTTTTGAGGCAAAATCTCACTAAGCTGCTAAACTGCCCAGGCTGGGCTTGAATTTGTGCTCTTTCTGCCTTAGCTCCCCTGAGTGGTGAGATTACGGGCATGCACCCCAGACCAGATTAAAAACAAAAAGTATCTTTTGAAACAGGAAATCATACCACAGGAAATGTTCTATTACAAATTATTCAAAGTCTGTGGTAATGTTCAATGCAATTATAATTTATGAACAGTTATTTCAAAGACAGCTTCTAATACCATTTGGCAACAGATTATTTCCTCAAATTACTGGGCTTTGTCCAACATAAGAAAATTATGTGTCAAACTAGTTCCAGTCCAAAAAATGCTCCGAGACCAGAAGCTGCTTTAAGAGTGAATGTTTTCCATGAATTCTTTGGCCACTTTGGGCCAGGTCTCTGGCTGCCTTTCTCTGTGTCGCCCTCAGTCTGACTTCTCCTCTGGCCTCCAGCTGGCTCCAGCTGTCATGGTTCCAGGGAAAGGAAGGCTGACCATCACATAGTAGGAAAAAAGCTATGGAAAGACGGGGCTTTCTGCAGAGCCCCAAATTCCCACAAACCTAGCAGACCCAGGTGGTCCTGGGTCTGCAGAAGGGGACAGAAGTCAGGGTCAGTAGTGGTGCCAGCCCAGGACCCGTTCTGAGCAGGCTGCGTCTTCATCTTTTCAGTCTCTGGTCCTGCAAAGTGGCTGCTGGGGACCCTTCAGCTCCTCCCCACCCTCCCCAGCTCTCTTCAGCCACACTGGAGCCACCCTAGTTCCCGTTCTGCTTGTCTCCATCACAGAGACACATGAAAACTGTGTTGCTGTTAAAGTCCATGTTTCTGAAAACGAATACCATACGGAGACGGTGGTATAGCAAGATATATATAAAGTCTGTTTATAACCACGAAAAAGACTAAAAGACATAGCCTGGCATGTTAATAATGGTTACTTTTTATGTGATTCTGAGTGCTCTTGCTGTCTTGGTATTTTTCAGAATTCTCCAAGTTTTCTTTATGAGGATAGTTTGGTTTCAAATAAAATAAAATAAATTCTTTTTCACTAGAAGAAAAATCTCTGGACAAACAACACCAACATTATCTGCAGCCAGCTAGCTCAAGAGAAACACCTGTTCTGCTAACAAGAAATAATTCCACATACTAAGGCTCTCAATGCCTGAAATATAACAAATATTTGCCAAACCTTTTGTCTCTGGTCCAGCCAGCAGCAATGGTTTGTGCTAATTTCTGACAAGAATAAGATCCTTCAGAGTTTAAGATTCTTGCTTTTCTTGGCTAAGATGAGTTCCCAGGAACATTGTGAGAAATGTCACAATTTTCCATATCTGATTTGGCCAACATGTGGGAGTCACTGTCAGAAAAACACCCCAAAGGGTCTGAGGTTTTCCCCTCTGTTCCAGCTCTTTAAGGTCAGCAAACAGAACCTTTCTTCCTATTTGAATATATAGTCTTCAGATGAAACTCAAGGATGTTAATTCTCATTAAATTAAAGGTAGACTTATACTACCCCACTGAAGAAAAACCTCCAGGCGGAATTGACTTGCACTGAGATGGAAAGTAGCAAGAATTAACTCCCCAAATTTATTTTTGCAAATGAATTCACCACCCAAGTATTTTTAGACATTTTTTTTGTTGGTGGGCTTGCAAAGTATGTTACACCAGTGGGAATGCCAGCCTTGGTTCTTTAAAAAACCTCTTTGGAAGTATTACAGTCTAAGCGCACAGAAAGGAAGTGGGCACGGACCTTCAGCAACATCAAACTGTCGCCTCAGGTTAATGACTCACCAAAGCCTACACACACAGCACCCTGCAGACGCTCCGTGTACTCGCGGCTTTCCTGACCTGGGCTCACTTACCGCAAAAGGTCACTTGTGATCGGTATGCTGATTAAGTCCAACAACGAGGTTCCTCCACCCAGTTCCCAAAAGTGAGCAATATCCTTTGGCTGAAAAAAAGTTTCCTTTTAATATTTAAATTAAAATTTTTATTTGTTAATTTTAAGTGCTTATTTATATAATAAGTTTCACTGTTGACATTTTTCATTACATACAATCTGATCCTATTTCTCCCATCGCCTCCCTCACCTCCCCTCTCTTCTTCAACAGTCTCCCTTCTACTTTCATGTTGTCTTTTCTTTTTCTGCCTTTTTTTTGTACCTTAGACTCCACATATGAGAGAAAACATGGAATACCTGCCTTGCAGTCTGGCTTATTTCATAAAGCAAGTTTTTGGTGAATTGTAATGTTTAAAATTTTGAAGAAGTTCTCACCTTATAATCTCTAAAATTATTTCATTACATTTGAATCATTACTGATTGTGGAAGAAATCATCACGCTGGAAAATCTCCCTTGATTCACAGTTTCATGAAAAAAGTTTTTAGAGCTTTTTTCAAAAGTTAAGCTTATGAAAGGTGCTTCAGTTTCCAGCAAAAAGCATAATTACATTTCTAGGCTTATCATTCATGTCAAAATTCAAATGAGTCATGTAATGAAGTTATTTCTTTTTAATTTCATGGTTTTAATAGACAACTTTTGTTGGTGGATCCAAGAAATAACAGGCAGTTTTACTTTTCTTTATTCACTGTCTAAAGAGCAAACATCTGAAGCCAATCAATCCATGGACACTGGCCTGTGCTGTGGGAGCGGTGAGTCCCTGGGCTCGGGACTGCTCTCCCACACAGTTAACCTTGAAAAGACTCCTTCTCATGCGGGACTCCCCGAGAATCCACATAGGAATTTGCCTCCACTACCCCACACATTATTATAAGCTCTCCCTCTATTCTGAATAGTTTCCAACATTCCTCCAAAGAGACACTAAGTGAAAATAGGAAAACAGAGTGTATGGTTTCAGTACTAACAAGAGGGTTTTGTTTTGTTTTGTTTTGTTTTTGTACCAGGGACGGAGTCCAGGGATTTGTTCCTGCTATGCAAGTGCTTTATCACTGAACTACATCCCAGTGCTGTATTTTTTTAAATGCTAAGAATTTAGATTTTTGAAAAGTATATTCTCATAAATACTTCAAAAGTCAAACCCACATTTTTAGCAGATTTTTAGAGAGACAGATGGTAACACAATATTATTCTCATTTGAAAACCAGAAGAAGTCACATTAACGCGATGCAAGTCAGCCAAGAACTGTAAGATGAAGCTGCAAAGCAACCTTATTTCAGCATTTTAAGATGTATCAGATGAGAAAGCTGAAATGCTTTCAGAGTTTGGGTTGGCTTCACATCAGCTGGACTGCACTTGAGGCTTACCAGCACAGAGCTCTGAAGTGTACAACGGGACATGCCTAGCGATTGTGGATGAAGTGGAAAACGGAAAACAAAGTCATCATCACTATTTCCTAGCCGACAGCACTGCAGCGTCTTTATGAAAACACTCACCGTGTTATGGCCTTTTGCTCTTCTTCCATACGTATATTCCAAAGCTAAGGTAGGCTTTGGTGGCTCGTCCCTGTACAAAAAAGGGGCAGATCATATTACCGTAACAGGTGAGATTAGTTTCTGGTGCTATTATCTTACTCCATTCATTTTTACTTCCTCTTAAAAACTTTATTAGAAGTTACCTTGAGTAAAAGCATTGAGGTAAAACATTATTTTAAAAACTTATATAAGAGATAAGCTTTTTTAAAACTGTCTTAGTGAATCCCTGCACCCTGGGAGGCAGAGGCAGAGGACTGCAAGTTTGAACACGGTATGCGCAACTGAATGAAACGATGCTTTTTAAAAAAGTTTTGTTTTAAAGGCTGCGGATGTAGTTCAGTGCGAAGGCTCAGGATTCAATCTCCCCACTATTGTTATAAACAGAAACAAACAAACAGAGAAGAACAGCGGCACCTGCATGAGGGGTGGCGCGTTCGGGGGATTGCAGAAGGCGACAGCACCAGCAGCAGCCACGGCTGTGCTCGGTCACGGAAGCACTGACTCAGGCCTACGCTGCCTTCACGTGGGACTTCAAAACCTAATGAATGTTAATTTATTGAGGATTTCAGTGGACGACTTTAATTAATATCATTCTCTTAACTGAAATCACGGCTTGGACATGGGCGTCCTCAGGCTGGTGAACATTGTAAACAAATTATGTAAGTCTTAAATCTCAACAAATGATACAGAAAATGTTAAAATGACTTGATGAATGCCACACTTTATATTGCTTGGTAAGTAGTTTTATGGTATATATTTCTTTTTTTTTATTGTGGTAAAATATGCAAAATAAAATTTACCATCTTAACCATTTTCAACTATCAGCTCAGTGTACTGAGTACACTCACATTGTTCTGCAAACAGTCTGCCAGGTTTCTTACCTTGCAAAAGATTTTTTTTCCAAATCCATTTTATTTTAAGAAAAAAAAAGAGAAAGAAAAGGAAGAAAACAAAAAACTACAACAATATTTCAAAACACATCAATCAGAGGACAAGACATCTGCATTCAACTGTCAGAACAATACCAGCACAAATGTTTTTCTTTGGTGTGAACTCAGAGAAATCAGTAGTGTAACTATTGTAACTATTTTTATATACATATACATATATAATGCTGATTCAGCTTCTCACACTGAAGAGACAATGTTTACGCATGTGTGAATTGTTTATTTCACTAATAAGTGTAGCCTCAAGTTATACCCATTTACCTATAAAAGTCTCCAGTTTATCCTTCTTTATGGCTGAGTAGCTCTCCATTGTATAAAAATACCACATCTTTTTTTATCCATTCCTCAGTTAATGGACATTTAGGTTGTGTCCAAGATTTGGCTGTTACAAACTGTGCTGCTATAAACTTGGGTGCACACATTCACTGTGGCATGATGTTCTTAACTCTTTTGGCAAGATACCCAGAAGGGGAATAACTGGGTTGAACGGGACCTCCAATCCTAGTTTTCTGAGGAATCTCCACACTGATTCCCACAGTGGTTGCACCAGTCTGCATTCCCACCAACAGTGGAAAAGGGTTCCTTTACCCCCGACAGCCCCTCCAGCATCTGTTATTGCTTGATTTCTTGATACTAGCCATTGTCTCTGGGGTGAGGTGGAATCTCAGTGTTGTTTTAATTGGCATCTCTCCAATGACCAGTGATGGTGAACATTTTTTCATATATTTATTTGCTGTTCATATTTCTTTGAGTGTATATTTATCTCAGAGGCCCATTTTTGGGGATCTTTAAATCTGGGAGGACTGATTTTTTGAGTTCTTTGTATGTTCTTGATAGTAATCTGAGGAACAGCTGGCAAACATTTTCTCCCACACTGTGTGTTGTCTCTTCATTGTGTTGATGCAAAAGCTTTTCAAAAGTGTGAGATCCCAGTTGTTGATTCTTTGTCACAGTTTCTGTGCAACTGAGGTTGTTCCTACACCAATGTCTTCAAGAGTTTTACCTACTTTATCTTCTATCAAATTTAGTATTTGTTTTAATATTAAGATCTCTGATCCATTCTGATTTTAGTTTGGTACATGGTGGAATATATGGGTCCACGTTTAATCGCTGGCATGTATAGAACCAGTTTTTCCAGCATCATTTATTAAAAAGGCCATCTTTCTTCCAGAAGATGTGTTTGGCACCTTTGTCAGATATGGAGGCTTAGTATGTCTGCAGTTGATTCTGCATCTTCTCTTCTGTTCCATTGATCTTCAAGTCTTTTTTCTTTTGCTTTTCTTTTTGTCAGTATCACATGCTTTTAGTCACAGTAGCTTTATAGTATAATTTCAGCTCAGGGATTGTGATGACCCCTGTCTTATCTTTGTTGCCCAGGACTGCCTTTGCTTCGTCTAGTTCCAGATGAATTTTAGGACTGTTTTCTCTAATTCTGTGAGATATCCTATTGGAATTTTGATTGGGATTGCATTGAATCTGTAGAACAGTTTTGGAAGCATGGCCATTTTCACTATAATGGTTTTTCCTACCCAAGAGCATGGGATGTCTCTCCATTTTCTAATATCCTCTTCAATATCCTTTTTCAGAGTACTGTAGTTTTCAATGTAGAGGTCTTTTACATCCTTTGTTAGAGTGACTCCTATGTATTTTATTTTTCTGGATGCTACTGTAAAAGAAAGGTATTGTTTCCCTGATTTCTCTCTCAGTGAGTTTGTTATTCGGGTATATGAAGGCTACTGATTTTTGAGTGCAGACTTTATAACCACCTATGTTACTGAATTTGCTTATTAAATCTAGTAGTTTTTTGGTGGAGTTTTTGGGGTCTTCTAAGTAGATTATCACGTCACCTGCAAATGATAGTGTAACTTATTCCTTTCCTATCTTTATTCCTTTGATTTCTTTCTCTTGTCTAATTGTTCCAGCTAAAGTTTCCAGGACTATCTTGAGTAAAAAAGGAGACAGTGGATATCCTTGCCTTGTTCTTGATTTTAGAGAGAAAGCTTTCAGTTTTTGTCCATCCAGTATGATGTCGGCTGTTGGTTTGTGGTAGATGGCTTTTATCAGATAGAGATAAAGATCAATTTTCTATAGGGTATTTTTTTTTCCTTTGGTTCAGGGGATTGAACTCACAACCTTGTGCTTGCCTGTCAAGTGCTTGAACCACTGAGCTAAATCCCTGGCCCTCTACAGGGTTTTTATGCTGGACTTTGTCAAAAGCTTTTTCTGCATCTATTGAGATGATTTTTGTCCTTGGCTCTGTTAATATGGTGTATTACATTTATGGATTTATGTATGTTGAACCATCCCTGTATCCATGGGATGAATCCCACTTAATCATGGTGTATAATCTTTTTTATGATTTGTGGAAGTCTGTTTGCCAGTATCTTATTGAGGATTTCTGCATCAGTTCATTAGAGAAATTGGCCTATAATTCTCTTTTTTAGTTGGGACCCTCTCTCATTTTAGTATGCTTGCTTCCAGGAATGAATTTGGGAGTACTGCTTCCCTGTCAATTTCATTAAAGGGTTTGAGAAGTAGTAGTGTTAGGTCTTCTCTAAATTTCTTTTTTCTTTTCTTTTTTAATTCAAGAGAAAGACACAGAGAAGAAAAACAAAAAACAAAAGAGACAAACAACAATATAGGTTTTCAAAACAAGATGACAAATTTAACAATGGTTGTTATACTGTGTATTGTTATCTTCAACAGGGTTGCTGAGATTACCAGCTACAGACATGAAAAACTGATCTAATCATGGGAGTATTGACTGTTCTTTTCCAACAGAATTAGTAGGATAGTATGCCTTTTTCCTTTTCCCTTTCTACTAATTTTTTTTGTAGAATTCAACAGTGAATCCAGGCTTTTCTTTTTTGGTAAGTTTTTAATTATATCTTTGATTTCATTTATTGACATTGGGTTATTTAGAATTCTTACATCTTTTTGATTCAGCTTTAGTAATTCATAGGAATCCGTCTGTTTCTTCTGTTTCGTTTTGTTTTTTGTCTTTTTGAGACAGGGTCTCGCTGTGCAGTTCAGGCTGGCCTTGAACTCACTTTGCAGCCCAGGCTGGTCTCAAACTTGCAATGATCCTCCTGCCTGCTTCCCAAGTGCTGGGATTGTCTATTTCTTCTGCATTCTCCATCTTATTAGAGTACAAGTTTTCAAAGTAGGTATAGATGATTTTCTGGATTTCTGCAAGGTCTATGTGATTCCATCCTTTTAATACCTAACTGCATGGATTTGAGTCTTTTCTTTCCTTTTTAACATAAGGCTGGCTAAGGGTTTGTCAATTTTATTTAATCTTTTAAAGAATCAACTCCTTGATTCACTGATTCTTTGTACATTTTTTAGTCTCCGGTGCATTAATTTCTCCCTTGAGCTTTAAAATTTCCCCCTTATACTTTGGTTTAGCCTGCTCTTCTTTTTCTAGAAGTTTGAGGTTCAACATTAAGTTGTTATAATGTGCTTGCTCTGTTTTCTTAAAACTGCATGCCCATTAAACAATGACTCCCCATTTTTCTCCACCACAGTCCCATTCTCCTTTCTGTGCCTATGTATCTGACTTTTTTAAACTTATTTCACTCAGCACAATATTCTCAAGGCTCATCCAAGCTATACAGCCTGTGATAGATTTCCTTTTGAAGGTGGAATAATATTGGTATATACTAATTTTTAATTTGGAGAACAAATAGAAACACAATTTTAAATTTGGGACTTGTACATTTATATTTCTTAAATATTTTTAATTTTACCCCGAATATATATTTCTTGATTCAGATAAAAAAGAATACTTGGCTATATTTCCTAAAAGAGGAAAATTTTTTATGAAACAAGATGATGCTTTTTAGTACAAAATTTGCAAATCTGATATTTAACATACAATATGGAAAATTATCTTTTTTCTGAGCAGACTATCAAGGAATTAATGTTAACTTTTAATTCCTTATAGTAGTTTATAGTATATTATCTTGAGTTAGACGATCTATTATAGGAAACATATGAAAATGGCCTAAGGAGAACCGTGATTTTTTTTTATAATGACAATTTTTTTTAATTTAAAAAAGATTAACATAAAAGAGGACATAACAAAACAGGTCAGAACTGGACAAGTTAAGCAACATAGTGTTTTACCACAGGATAATCTGACATAACAGTAGCTACCATAGTGTCTCTTTCCTTGAAATATTTGAATATACCTTCATACACTATAGTATCAAACATAACGAGACAGAGTAAAACCATTCAAGAGAATGAAAGTATTACAGGGTATTCAGAACCAACTAACAGAAAATGAACAATGGTTACTATATTATCTCCTTGTCCATAAAAAATTTTGTTTATACTATCACATCTAATCTATCACATCTAATAAAATCCAATAAGATAAACATGATAAAACCAATGGAGACAGAAGAACAAAAGCTTGGTGAGACTTCAAAATAAGATGATGTTAAATCAGCACTAGCTATTATAATGTCTTGTTTTCTTCAAAATAGCTAGAACAACAATTTTTGGAGATGGAAGATGATACAGGTGTTGGTATGAAGAGCTTTTCCAAGGCACAATGTTGGTAGATTTAAGGAATTACAAAAGCCAAGATTCTATTATTTGTATTCTTAAACAAATATTTTCAAGTGAATGATGTTTCTTTAATGTGACTGTAATTCAATTCCATCTGTTTTAATGTTTTTAGAAAGTCATAAGAAATATGCATTAGAATAAAGAGAACAGAAATATGGTCTAAAACTGAAGATTTTCCTTTTCAGCTCCCTGCAATATCCATTAATCATAATCCTAATGGTTAATCTGATCGTAGGCTTCTGCAGCATAAACCCATTGGGAAGTATATAAAACAAATGAGAAAATATGCAATTTGAGGACCCCGTGCCTCAAAATGTATCCTTGAGTAATTTAAAGGTCATAATTATTGTTCTAATAATTACATAGTAGATAGAATAATTTAAATACCAAAGTAACACAATCAAAAAGAATGTTAGTACTATTATAGGTTAGTAATTCTGGTAACATTTTTCCCTCAAACAAAGCAGCTCAGTATTAATCCTGTGTTTTTTGACCTCTCATTAGTTCTATCTTTAAAGAAGCTCTTAAAAGTTATACTAAGGACTCAAGAATTAAATATTTGTTTGGGTCTCAAAATCATTCTCTTTCGATGTCTTACAGACTTTAACTTGTCCTGTACACTAGAATAAACATAAATGAATTTGTAAGGCTAACATAACACTTACCTGTCAAGACACCTTAAAATAATAGTAGTCTTCCCCTAGAAATTAAAAAAGAAACAATACTGTGTTAATGTCATCCATATGTAAAATTTTATTAGTGTTCATAATTGTGGCCAAAAATAGCTTTTTAAATCACTGAATGATAAATTACCTAGAAATGAAAACTCAGAAACTTTCAGAACTGTTTTAAAGTTTGATAAGTGGAAAAGTTAACTGTCAACTTTCATCAAAGAGTAACTACACTGCTATTACTATAATTACAAAGTCCCACAGATGACAAATATTAGCAAATCATACCTTACTTTAGCGGTCAACTTGGCAGCTTTTAAAATTTTTTCTCTATTCAACAATGCTAATTACTGGCTAAGCTGATGATTAGTGTCTTCTAAAATGTTTTTCATTTCAATTGTTGAAGTGGAAATAAAGAAAAAAGCTAACACACAAATAAAAGACATGTTGCAACTATGTTCAAAACAGGCAATTCAGAAACTGGCTTAGAGCATTTAATTCTAGAGGATACACTTGTATTCCAACTTTCTTTTTCTGAGTCATGAAATACAGGTCCTGGTTCTATTTTGTGACTAGCCATAAAACTTAACCTCAAATCTTATCCACGGAGTAGCCCACTGGTTTGAATCATTGTAGATTTTTTTTAAGTAGAAAAACTCTTTTCTTTTTTAAAAAATAGCCCCTTAAAAGAAAGCAGATAAAAAAGAAACATCAGGAAAAATTCTGCCAGAGGAAATCTTTGGGCTTCAAACAAAAGAGTTTAGAAAACAGTAGATTAAGAAAACAACCTTTTACATTTCTCTTTTTCTTCTTCTTTTGGTGGTCGGGATTGAACTCACAATCACACGTTTGCCAAGTAGGCACTTAACGCCGCTGAGCTAAACCCCTAGCTCCTACATTTGTTTCTTTTTAACTAAAAAGCCTATAATTTTTTAAACCAAAAAGATATTAAATTAATCCAGATTATAGGTGAAATATCAAATTGGATGAATTTTTATAATGAGATATAGAAAAAATAATTGGAATATTATCAACAGTGTATAGTATATTGTTGAAAGATGTTTATTGGCTAGTATTACACCAAATTGAAAAACTAAAAACTAGTAATCATGATTCCCCATTATGTGGCTTTGAAGCCTTATAAAGTTTTCACTCATTAATTGGAATGGTTTTATTCTGGGCTGTTTGACATTACTGCCTGTGATGATATGAACAGCTATTTTGAAGAAAACAACACATCATAATAGCTAGTGCTGATTTAATATCATCTTATTTTGAAGTCCCACCAAACTGTTGTTCTTCTGTCTCCATTGGTTTTATCATGTTGTATCTTACTGGATTTTATTATATGTGATAGTATAAACAAAAATTTTTATAGGCAAAGAGATAATATAGAAACCATTGTTCGTTTTCCATTAGCTGGTTCTAAATACCCTGTAATACTTTCATCCTCTTGAATGGTGTTTGATGTCATAGTATATGACTCAAATATTTCAAGGAAAGAGACACTATGGTAACTACTATTGAATCGGGTTATCTTGTGGTGAAGCACTATGTTGATGAAATTGTTCTGCTCTGACCTATATTGTTATGTTGTTATGTCCTCTTTTATCTCAATCTCCCCCTTTTTTAAGGAAATTTATTTATTATTTTTTTAATTAAGGGAAAAAATTTAAAAAATTAGCAGGATATATTATAGTAACTTTTTTGATTTCCTATTAACTTGATTTGAGCCCTATATTGCTCCCACCATCTTGTTTTGACTGATTTTACTCTGTTCTGTTCTGTTTGATAGTATCAAGTTTGAGGGTATAGGCAACTACTTTGAAGGCAATAAGATTCACTATGACGCCCATTCTGGTTTGACTATTATCTTCTTTTGAAGTCCTGTAATGTTTCCAATGTTTAGGTTTATTGGTCTTGTTCTGTACTGTTTTGTTCAATTTTATTATACCTAATGATATAGGCAATTCTTTTTAAGGTAGCAAGAGACATTATGATAACCACTGTTGATTACCTTGTATTCTGTTTTTACATCATGTACTATGTCCATCCTTTGTTTTGACTGACTGCTTTGTTTTGTCATATTTGGTTTTATTCTCGCCCCAAAAAAAAGTAGTAAGAACTATGGGAGTAATAAAACCCAAAATGTGTAAATGTTGTTGTAAAAAAAGAGAGGGAAAAAAAAGTGCTCTAAAGGATACAACTGCAGGTGTGTTTAGGTGTGTTAAGATAGATGACCATATTACTAAGTTTTTGTTGGATCATTAAACACAACTGTTTGCAGTCTCACTGTTTGAATGTCCACTTTGTATGCTTTAATCCTGTAACTTGAACAACTATTTCTAAGATGACAATATGTAATCTATTAGCTAGTGATTTCTTACTGTTTTTTTTTTAATTCTGTATTACTTGTACCCTTATAGTTTTGGTTTTTTTCTCCTTTAAAATAAAAAAAGAAAAACTAAAAACAACCTAAATTACAACCTAAATTATAGGGAATTAATTAAATCGATTATAGTAGTCTGTGTAATAGACTAATGTGTAATTATTAGGAATGACAATATAGAAATATACTTACATTATAAAACACCTATAATAAATTAGTATGACCCTGTTTTCTTTTTTTTTAATTTTTATTTTAAAGGGGGTAAAATCAAACACAACAAAACAGAACAAAATAGGACACAAGAAAGCAATGCAAGAGATATAAATCTCAAAGCTAGATGACCTGAGATCTTCACTGTCCATCAAATTGTCTGTTTCCTTCCAAATAGTTGTCCATGTCTTTGCATACACAGAATTCACACAAAACAACACAGCATAAAACTGATCTGAACAGAATAAGGAAGGCGATTTAGGTCTTCAAAACCAGACAATAGGGAAGTCACCAATGGCTGTTGTAGAGTCTCTCGTTCTCTTCAAAATACTTGTCCACACTCTCATGTACATTGGAGTTCAACAAAACAAAACAGGTGTGGAGAGTGGGGGTTGCTTGGTATCCTGGTGTTCCAGGTCCCGGCATGGCGCAGGTCCCAGTAAATGCTGGTGGCTCCCATCCTGGGCCACCACAGCCTGCCATGCTCACAGCTGCTCATGGGGAGGGGTGTGTGTGGCTTCAAGCTGTTTCTAATGAATTGACTATTTCACTGCCTACGTTCTGAAGTGGTCAACAGAAAAGAAAGACATCTCTTTAGGCTCCTGCTTGAAACCAACAGCATCAGGAAGCTGCTGGCTGTGATTCAGGGCCAGAGGACCCTGTTTTCAATTTAAAAGTTTATTTTCCTGGTGGATATCATGGCACATGACTTGTAATACTGGCACATGGAGGCTGAGGCAGGAGGATCATGAATTCAAGGCTACTGTGGATTACACAGTGAGACTCTGTCTCAAACAACCAAAACCAAGTAAAATCTTTTCCTGTTTTCTTTACTTATACATGTAGAAACATACATACACATGCATATACATGCATACACACTCTTGACAGAAACACAAAAGAGATCTAGAGGGATATCACTATGTTAATAATGACTGTTTTTAGTTGGTAGATTTGCAAGTAATTTATTTTTTGAAGAAAAATCTAGATTTTCTTAATTTTCCTACACTGAACATGTATCATATAAAATATGTTTTTAAAGTTGTAAGTTAAAAGGTAATGAATTCTACACACAAAGTAGTCAGAATTACTGTTTTAGAATTGCAAGGAATTTCAGATATCTATCCAGTTTCTTCAAATTCTTATATAACCTAGCATTGATTTAAATATTTTTACTGTAATTTCACATAAATGTAGAGTACATATTGTAACAATTCCAAATAAACATAAACTCAGCTTTGGAAACTGTAATTAAATTTTAGGCTATCATCATCATTAAGATTCACTGGTAAACTGTGGTTCTTTAAGAATATGTCCACATGCTCTTGGGTTTCCTAAAATTCAAGAAATATTGACCTACTACAAATTCATTTAGGGACCATCAAAATGAATGTCATCTTCCCTCCCATGACCTCAATCATACCAGAGTCCAGTCTTCTGACCCACCTGAATCATACTATCCCCTATGTGGACCTTCCCTGACCCAGCACTTTCTTATTTTTCCCTGTGTCTGAAATAATTTTTAAAAATAATTTCATACTTGTTTTTATTTTAAAGAGAAATTTTTTTAATTTTTGAAAAATTCAAAATATGACAATTAGAGGGTAACAAAGGTTAATATGTCTAAAATCCTTGTCTAAAACTTCACTTCCCAGACAATCAAAATCTTTGACATTTCAGCATCTTTGGAACATTCTCTCCCTTTGATGGCCTCGACCACTTCTTAGTATGGAGGAGAACTCAATTACCTTCCTCCTCCACACCTGAGCCTATGCAAGTGAGTGAAGAGAGACAGAATTATAGATTGTTATGGTTTGTGTTTAGATGCCCCCTCAAGCCTCATGCAATCATGGATGCGGCTGAATCCAGTGGTCGCAATTGGTTCATTGTCTAGCACTGGGACTGGTGATGTGAGTGCTGCACCCGCCCAGAGCAGAGCAGACATATAGTGCAAGAGTGGGAAGAAGAAGAAGAAGACATGTCCTTCTCTTTTTACACAGTTTGACCTTGCTGTTTGTGGTGGCCATGAACACTGACCCCGCCATGCTACCTTGCCTTGGAGCCAGACGAGTATGGACTGAAACCTCTAAGAACTGTAAGAAATAAATCTTCCTTTAGACTTTGGGCATCAAGTATTTTGTCTCAACAATGAGAGGAAGGTAACCAAGTCACAGACACTTAGCAGATTAGTGTTGCCTTAATCCCCATCATCGAAACACAGTCCACACTGTTGACCAGCAATCTTGCCCCATTTGTCTAACAAAGTCCCTCTCCCATTTTTTGCTATAGGATATACAATATGTTGCTCTTGATCCTGTCTTTAGGATGCTCTCTTGGCCCTTGCCATTTGCATTGCTTCTTTTCCCTTCTTGCCTTTCAAGCTTTAGACATCACTCTCTTACACAGGTTTTCCCAGTCTTCCAGTCTCTTGGGCAGTTACATGCCTTCCTGGTTTTCAGCATAGCATCTCATGCTATTGTCATTGCTGGTATATAAGTACAGGTACTCAGGTTCCTTCATAGTAGCCAAAGTGTCTTTCATGTCTATTTTCACAGGTACCAGCAAGATACTTGGCACATCAAAGATGTTCAATAAATGTCTACTGAATGATGTATGAAAGCCAGGTTGGAAGGTGTGACAGATAATGGTGCTGCCAATTTGAATGGATAAAAAATGCCGGGCAGGTTAGTGGAACACACTTCTGGGTGTGTTTGTGGATGGTGGACACACAGGTCACAAACTGAAAAAGATCCACCCCAGATTCAAGTGGCACCAAACAATAAGCTTAGAGCCTGGATGGAACTAAGGGAAAGAAAAAGGGACATCCTCCCCTCTGCTTCTTCAGGAGGGCTCTGGTCTTTGCCATTGTCTTTGGATGTTCACCTCCAGCTCCTAACACAGACTCTTTAGCGTTCATCTCCAGGCTTCTGACACAGACTCTTTAGCTTTCTGACATTGACTCAAACCAGACTCTGCAGTGAGCTCCAGGCCTTTGACTGGGCATGCAGATGGCCATTTTGCATTCTTCCACCCTGATTCCACAGGTGGCTACTGTAATCCTATTTAGTACCCAATACATACAATATTTATTTTAAAAGCACCTGAATGTAAATACATATAATTTAACTGTTATAATATAATTGTACACATAATTTGTTGTTACTTTCGTGAACACTAACTGATACAAAAGAAGAGAGAGAAAAAAAAAAGAGGGAGGAAGCAGCAAGGTAGCTGAGTTTTTTGGTAAAGAATCGTTACTGTCAAGCTAACCGATAGCATCAATTAATTTCTTCTCTTTATAATCCACAATAAATCAGCACTCTGGATAAAGTATTTTTTAAAGAATAATACCCTCAAAAGTTCCAGACATTTCAAGGGAATTCTCAAGTCTTCAAAAGCAAAATTAGCTTTAATTTCATAATAATAAAATAAAGCCTGGATATGCCATATATTGCTATTAGGAAAAGAGTAGTTTCACAAACAACGAACCGTAACTGTAAAGAAGCCAATAACAACTGTTAAAGAAAGTGATTAGGAGAGAATCTTAAGACTAGTACTGATTATTGTCCACATTTATGTCAATCCACATGTGCATCTATACTGCAATAGGAGGAAATGTAGAAAAAAAATTTTTTTTTGGTACCAGGGATTGAACTCAAGACCTCCTGTTTCAGGGAGGTGCTTAGGCCACTGAGCTAAATCTCCAGCCCCAGAAAATTTTTAAAGTATTATATCTAATATAAAAATTACTCTTCACACAATGGTACACTCATGAAATAAAACTCATTTAAAAATTTAAAATATAAATGATCCCTATGATACTTTTATGTTAAAGAACAAAGTTCAGATATTAAACCAATATGAACCAATATGAAAACTTTTTTTTTGTCTTTTTCATTTTTATTGGTAGCAGGGATCGAACTCATGACTACCTGCTTGCAAGGCAGGCACTTATGCCCCTGAGCTAAATCCCCAGCCCCTCCAATATGAAAACTTTGGAAAGTACAGAAATTAAAAGCAAAACAAAAATACAGTGATTAAAAATTTACTATTCATATTTCTACTTTTTATCTTCACAGATTTATAGAAATCAGATCATAGTTTACATAACATTTATGTCCTACTTTTTGAATCCATATTATTTTCTTTCATCCCTTTTTTGTGGTTATATAATTATTTCCCCTTATAAACATAATCTTAACATAGTATCCCCACTCGATCGATGTATGTCCGGTTGCGCAGGAAGAGCTGCTCAGGGTGACCGAACATTGATGCTGCCCACTGAGTAAGGAGTTGTGCTGGGTTCTGAAAGCCTCCTATTTGTTAATACCCTTAAGTGGAAACACAAAGCACAAAAACTGAACAATAATATGAACTCCAGACAGAAAGATGTTACGATGCTACATGAACTTCAGCGTCTCGGGTGTGGAGAGCCTTGGCCTGTTTTAGACAGTGTCTGCAGCAGTTCTGCCTCCCAGGCAGGAATTCTGTGTGCCATGTGAAGTTGAATGAAGATATGATGCATCTGTCACTGCTGTGTGGCTACTTCCAAAATTCTTCTGTACTCCTGGCTAAGTACAACTGAGCTGACAGTGAGTGGGGAGGGGTCCCTCCTGCCAAGCCGTGGTCCAGCAGAACTGCTGCCTTATTTCCCCCACATTTTTCAAACCCTTTGATAAACATCACTGATAGAACTCAATTATCCCATTAGATTCCTAAATGTAAAATATCTGAATCCAAAGTATGAGATTTAGATGCTGACTTAGATATTTACAGTTAGGTGTTTAAGCCCTTTGTATTCAACAGAGGTAGAAGATGCAAGTATTTTCAACTTTTAAAATAAAAAACACAACAATTAAAACCTTTTTTAAAGATTTTGTTTACTTCCACAACTTTTCCTAGGTCAATAATACTCGGCACAGTCAACCACACTAGTCATCTGGTTAGAGTTGAAAGTATGTTAAGTTTTTGTCAAAGTATTACAATAAATTTTACCAGTGGTTGTTAAATCACCTTAATAAGGGGCTGGGGATTTAGCTCAGCGGCATAAGCACCTGCCTTGCAAGCAGGCAGTCGTGAGTTCGATCCCTGGTACCGATAAAAAACTAAATGACAAAAAAAAAAAAAAATCACCTTAATAATTGAAAAAAAAGTGAAAGCTTTACCCCATTTTTACTGCCTATGAAGAAAACAGACTTTTCTCCAATCTCAACTCCATCGCCTTCGCGGCCGATCCTTCCTCTTTTTTCCACTTCAGCTTTTGCGATTTCCCAGAGAGTTTCACTATATGACAGGCAGAAAAAAATGCAAAAAAGCAAAACATATTTATTTAAACACTTATATCAGGCAGAGAAGTTTTATTTCAGTAAAATTTTGAAGATAAAACATTATATTCTAGGGAACAATAACCTTGCAAATTATCTGGTGATTAGTCAGGCTGTGATTAGTGAGTGTTTTCCTTTGAACCAGTTCTCTGAAGAATACTGAAACTGGTAAGGAGAATCTTTACTACCACGGTTGAGTGTTGTCTATTTTGAAGCTTCCCAGTAAGGATAAAGGTTGTACATGTTAGTTTCTGAACATACAGGGACTTTAGGAAATGTACAACTTAAATCATCTAGAAAGATAGCAATCATGCAAAACCAGTATATCAAATAATCTTTCTTCCCTTAAACGTTTTTTTTTTTTTTTTTTGATTGTCATTACTTTGTTTTTAAAATTAGGTTTTGGCCCCAAATTTCTTTTCTAAAATACGAAAGTATAAAGACGAAAGGGGAAAAAAATCACCCTTCACAAACATCTTGAAAATCATTTTTTCATTTCTCTATGTACAAGCCAGTATCTTTCTAAAAAATAAATCTAAGTGAAAATGGAGTACCGTATTGAACTAAAAGGACCTACAAGGTCTACCTTGAATCTGCTACTTTTTATGTATGTGAATTTATGCAGACTCTGTCTAGATTCTTCATTTATTTATCAATTAAGCAAATACTTATTGAACACTAAACCAATGTTTATCCTCAGGGTCAAGACCATTTCTTCACCTCTAAAATGCCAATTTAAAAAAAAGTATAAAAAATTTAGAGGGTTGTTGTGATTGTTACAATGTGGTCAATTAGTTTAGGGGCTGGTCTATAACATTATAAAAATTATTGGCAGTTTATAATTGTTATTAGTCAAAAAACAGGGATAAAGAAAGGGCCAAAACAGGAATATAAAAAGTCAAAAACAGGTGTATTCAAATGTTTGCACCAAAATTCATCCTTTTATTTCACAGTGAGTCTCTGGGTACTCAGTCCAGGCCTGTCTGCTGTTCATTTACAAGTCATTCTTTCAGAACCTGATTATCTGATGTCCAGGTTCGCAGCAGACAGGGAAAAGGCGCTGTAATTAGGCATGCCACTTGTGGAGATTTTACTTGTATAGCTTTACAACTTTATCAATGACAATGTGATGGAAAGCTGACATTTTCTACCCTAAAGTTCGTAAATTCAACAGAAATCTATTGATTCAAAAAGCGAGAGAAAGCTTTACCCGGCTCTGTGACGGCCTCCCTGTCCCTCTCCCCCACATCCTGTTAAATTGTTCTGACAAGTCCAGATATTATCTCTAGTACGGGCAGTTTAAATAGGCCTCACAGAAACGAAGAGCTCCAATCAGAGCCCTCCTATCTCCTTAAACGTGATGTTAAACTTGCCACAGTGCTTTCCAAGTTCTCCCTCATTTACGTCCTTCTGAACCTCGCGCCTGGTGGGGACCCCGGGAGGAGCTTTGGGGGTTTATCTCGCCGCCTATCCCCCGCGGCTGCAGCAGTCCCTCAAGAAACTTATGAGAATCGAATCGGTGAATGGACGAAGTTCACCTTTCTAACTCTCTTACTTTTCTTCCTGTCTGCGGCAGTTTCGACGGCCCCTGCCCATGCAGACACGGCCCCTAGCAGAGCAGGACAGCCGGGTCTCCCCGCCGCAGGGCCAGTGCAGGCTTCCGGTCCCCACTCGGTCCCTCGCGGCCTCCCAGGTTGGGGTGGGAAAGAGGGGAGGTTTTGGAGGCGAGTTAGGCTGGGCGCAGGCAGGGTAGCAGAACTACCTGGGCATTGTGACAGGCCCCCCAAACGCGAAGAGGTCGGCGTGCGGCACTGCTCGGAAACCTGCGAAGCGAGAGCAGCAAAATAAACCAGGAAAGAGGTCTCCTGGATTCCCATGGCAACGACGGCGCAACCCTGTTGCGTGCAAAAGAATGGCATACTGGGAAATGTAGTTTTCAGTGCTCTTTTTAAGATTCATCTTTGACAGTGACCCCTAAGATTAGAGAAGAGACAGTGTTTACAAATTTGGGGCCCCAAAGCTGGAAGTGTTTTTTTTTTTTCCTGGCCACTGATATATTGGGGTTTTTTTTTCTCATTTTTTACTTTTCTCTTTTCCAGTAGCCATGACTTGGGAATAAAGAAAAAAAAATCCAGGGAAGTATTTTCCCAGTAATTCACCAGAAATGAGTATAATTAAAGTTTTAAAATTGAAATTGAAGCACACAGTTTTAATGTTCTCAAAATTTCTGAAAGTTTCACTGTATCATGCCTTGTGCAATGACACATTATGGGTAAATTAATGAAGCATGTATATCTCCTACATAATTCATTTACTTTATGGATGTAAATTGTTTTTGTTTGAACTCTGTGGTCTCTTCATAAATTGCCAGGAATCTCCTTCAATAATAAACCTTGGGTAAAGGTAACAAACCTTTGTAACCTTTACCCAAGGTATGCATGGTATGCCAAGCCCTGTGCTACACAGTAAGGAATAAAGAGGTAATACAAGATCTTGACCAGCAAGAATGATACCATATACCCAGCTTACTATGTTACAACCCAAGAAAGTGAGTGATATTGCATAATTATTTGATATTACAAATAATTACATGAAAACAAAAGTAATTGATTATGCCTGAAGGAATTAGTGGAATCTTCGTGGTGATGATAGCATCTGATCTGTTTTGAATGCTCAGTAGACCCAGTCTGTATTATCCAAGATACCCTGAATATCTGAGGAAAGTATCCTCTCCCCAATTCTCTGCTTTTTGGCTTAATTTCTATGGTGTGATGCCTAAGAACATGGGATTTGAACAAAGGTGTATACTATGGTTTATATTTTGACTTCTCCTAAAGCCTCACCTGACTAGGTGGAGTTTTGGGAAGGTGACTGAATAATAGGAACAATAGAGTTGGCTTGGTGTTGGAAGCAGGGTCTGCTCTGAAGGAGAGGGTCACTTTGGGCATGACCTGCAAAGATTTATCTCCTTCCCAGCTGCTCTTGGCTGTTTCCCAGCTGCCATGATGTGAGCAGCTCTCTCTCTGCAATGCCCTCTGCTGTATGCTATCCTGCTCTGGAGCCAGCAGACCATGGACAAAAACCGTGAGCCAAAAAAATCTCCCCTTATTTTGTTGATGTTGGTTGCTAAGTGCCTGTGATAAGGAAAGTGACTAAGATATTAGACACATTCAATTCCTGACTCAGTGTACTCACTAAAGTGTCCATACTGCCACACCTGGTCAATTAGTGTTTCTGAGCCTTAGTTTCTGATCTGGTGAAGCAAGAATGATTAGTAGTTTTAAATGAGATAAATTATGTGAAACATAACAAGCATATATGGCATATTGTAAGATGGATTCTTATTATTATCATGTGGTAAACTGCTGATTGGCTGTGTGTGTGTTGGGGGTGGTTTGAACTCAGGGCCTTCTACATGCTAGGTAAGCACTCTACCACTCAGTTATACCTCCAGCCTGGTAGGCAACTTTGAACAAAGCAGCATTAAGGACACATTCCCAGAAATGACACAAATGGTTGATAAAAGAGCATTCACTTCAGTCTTTGGGAACTAAATCCTCTAGCCCACTGGTGTATTTTGGAGACTGAAAAGACTACCTTGGCACATAAGGGTGTGATGAGGGTGGACTTCAGTGTAGTAAGGATGACTTCAAGGGGCATTAATATGTCTCTCACTGAGTCCACATCTGTATCCTGGTGTTAGTCAGACTATAAGCTCATAAATTAATGTGGGACAGATTGTAAGTCTTAATAACTTGGGTTCTGGCACCTAAGGGTCCTTACACATGCTAGTTAGGAAATCTTATTGATATTAATAACAACAGATAATACTTTTATCAAGTATATGCTGTATACTAAGAATAGTATTAGTACCTTAAGAGTGTGGTTGTTTCGATAACTGTGATAGGTGGAGGAGGAAGCCTAGTGACAGGAAGGCGAAGTTTATCTGGCTGGGTCCTATTCACCATCGTGGACCCAAGTAAGTTGATCTGATTGGGTAGGTGAGTTCCCTTTTCTTTTTATTCCTCTTGAGGCTTCATACTTGACTAAAGAAAGTGATCTTCCTGGGTAGATAGAAAGAGTTCCTACAGTAAGAGTATATGAAGACTTGAGCTCCAATACTGGGTCACCCCAAGAAGACTCAAGGTTTCAAAGCTTGTAATGAAGGAGAAGACAGTTTTATGCAGCTTAGTAGATGGAATGAGCTTAGTGTGGAAGGGTAAAGGGATGGTACTATATGTATTTGGGGAGCTCCAAATAGTTTGGAGTGGGATCATTTTAAGTGTCTGTTAGAGCTGAGATGGGATAGCAAACTGGGTGGGTAGCCTGGACTAGTGTGAAAGACCACAATCTGAATTTTGCTGTGTTGGTTATGAGAAGCCAAGTAAGATTTAAAATAGGAGTGTCCTGTGAGCAGGCCTGACTTTCAGTGAGATAATTTTTTGCAGCTGTCTGAAGGATGTTTTGGAATCTAGAAGACCATATGGAAGCTGTTAACAATAGCCATGAAAATGATGTTTTACATTCACTCTGCCTTGTTTTCAAAGTTACATAAGCTTCTTGTAGAAAAAATAGTATTTAGAATCAAGAGAGTGAAATAAACGTACCCCAGAAATGATTAAACATTTTGATGTGCTTTATTCTAATCACTTCTTAGAGTCGATTATACTGTTAAGCTAATAAACTGATTTTAACCTGTATTTCCCCTTATCAACTTTTAAAAATTCATGGTAAATATAATTTTAATATCTGCATTATGGTCTGCCATGTCATTTTTTATAATTTACTGTTTTTGTTTTGTTTTGTTTTTTGATACCAGGGATCAAACTTATGACCTTGTGCTTGCCAGGCAGATGCTGTGCTGCTGAGTTATATCCCTAGCGACTTAGGCATTCTCTTAATGTTGACTAAGTTTGAGTTGGCTCAGAGCAGCTCCTGACATGAACCCTTCTCTGGGACTTCTCCCAACTAAAACTGGAGAAAGCAACTCACTACCTTTTTGGAGAAAATCAGCATTTTTTTTTGCAAATGAAATGTTATTTGTAGTTAGAGAATATGAATCAGACACTCATCAATGCAAAGAGAAAACCCTGGCAGATGTCTCATGATTCCAGCTGTCCTGACTTTACTTATGACATCATTGCTGAGCATCCCTTTGATTAGGGTATTCTTCTATCCCTGTAATAAAAATGAGAAAACATCTTATTTTTGTCTAAATTAATTCAAGTTTAAGTTTGGAGTTTACAACTACATAGTGTTAGTAAAGTGAGGCCTTAGGAAAAGGGAGACATCCTGGGTGACTGATGACTTGATGATCCTATTAACCAAGTTATAGGGCTCAGGGGAGGATAACCAGCTCTACAAGACACGGTGTGTTTGCAGAATCATCCAGCTGACAGCTGGAACATGTGGGATCTACTGGACTTGGCAGTTAGATACCACACTACGTCAGTGGATGGCACTAACTTCACGCCTGCAGAAAGAACAGAAACATGTAGTGATCTTCACATCATGCACAAGCCAATAAGAACCCTTCTCAAGTTTTTCTAAGGTTACACACTTTCCATACAGTTTTTTCTCATAAAAGGCAACTTTTACTAGAGTTTGCTAATATTTTCCAGAAATTCAAGTGAATAACTTGTAGGCTATCTCCTCTGAGATTGCCCAACATTAGTTCTTAAGGATCCTTCTTGGGAAGTCATTAGTGCCATATTGTAAGAGAGGGAACTAGCTTTCCTTTGTCATTGACACAGCTAAGGAGGAGTCATCTGATGGTAGTAAAACCACAATATAACCCCGTGGCAACTTCAGGAATGCCCCACTCTGTGCTATCTCTCTGTCTGTTGCTCCCAACAGCCTTATTAGATTATATTAGTAAAAAAATTATATTTAATACTGAAGTATTATGGTGTCTTATTTTGCACTTGTTTTCTCATGTTCCTAAAAAAGATTTTTCTCTCTTGTCTATTATTGGACTGCAGGAGTTGATAATTATAAAGCACACAGTGAAAATTTTTAGATCAATGTTAATGCCTCAAAAATCATTGCAACTATGCACAATTTAGGTAAAATTGAGTTTGGCAAATGAAATCATGGTTTAGAGCCGGTGTAATCTCATTCCCTCAGCCCAGTCCGCTGGCTAGGCCCACCAGCACTTCAAGGGACAACAACCTTCCCACTTATATGTTCCAGAGACTACATCTTAGTCCCACTGAAACATGAAAGTTTTGCTTTACCCTACATAGCTGTATTTGGATTTACCTTAATTTTGACTTAAAAGGGAAAAATTACTTGTAGTTAAAATCTCTTTCTTCTTTGGGCCAGGGATATAGCTTAACGGCATTAGTGCCTCCCTGACAAGTACAAGGTCCTGAGTTCAATTCCCAGCACCAAAGAATAAATGAAAAAAATAAAGAAATCTCTTTCAGCCTTTAGGGAAATAGAGTGGGGGAAATGTGAGGAGAGTGCAGTTTCTACAGGAACTGGTAGCACAGACAGGAGCCTCCCCGTGGACTTCCTCCTGCTCCTTCCTTTCCTCCTCACTCCCAAAATTGCCAGGGTCTCGCCCCAGAGAAGCCAGCCCAGCGCCTATCAGCCTGAGGAGGGCAGATGCCACCACGGCCTGGAGAGGGTGGATGGGGGAACTCTGTTCTTGGCACCTCTGGAACACGTCAAGCCTTTTACTGGACAAATGCAGTTACTTACAGTGAGTTGTTCAGGATTGTAGTTCAGTTCAATTATGTATTAAATGCATTTGTTCTAGGAAACTGATCACTATCTAATAAGTAATAAACCAACCAATAAACACATTTTTAGAATGAAGTCTCTATAAGCTGTTACACTAACTTGTAAATCAACAGTTACATTTATTTCCAAGTGATAGCAGTATGTATTTGATTTTTAGGGCATAGACATACACATTCACACAAAATCAAGAACAGTGAAATAAATTTTAAAACAAAGTTCATGGGCTGGGGATTTAGCTCAGCGGCATAAGCGCCTGCCTTGTAAGCGTGTGGTTGTGAATTTGTTCCCTGGTACCGATTAAAAAGAAAAAACCCAAATTTCATTAAACTCATCTAAGTGAAATAAACTCCCTTAAGGAGTTCATTATGAAGTCATGGGTAAACCAATATTTCTATCTGCTTTTCTATTGAATATATCTAATATATATTCAATATATTCAATAAGTTTGCCAGAACAACTTGTTTTATAAGGATAAAACAAAGCAACACGGAAGTCAAAGCATGACTACAAGAGGAAAGAATAACTACCATTTTCATTAGGAGTAGACCTCAGGTTTGACAATTTCTTGAAGATTATTCAAAAGATAATGCTCAAAGTGGGTTTTGTAAATCATTTATTATGATTGAAAGGAGAGAAAATGATAGGTGACAAATATTACAGTTAGACAGGAAACATTTTTCTTTTGTAACCAATCATAACAACATTCTTTGCATTTTAAAAATGGCTGTATGAGTAATTTCCCAGAAAATAAAATTTTCACATCAGTTACAGAAAATTGATTTCCTTCCATCAAAATATTTTATCTCTCCTCTCTCAAAAATAAATGCCAAGGCTAAGATACTACAGTTTAAATTAAATCTTTGCTACTCATTCTTAAATTAGAAGATTTAGTTGGTGGCAGCTTACCAGATGGCTACCTACTGCCTGAGAAAGTTCTCACACGTAAGTAACCACTCTGCCAAGCTTCTGGCTTACCAGATAATGACTAGTAAATGGTTTTCTGGAAGCCCAGAAATGCTACTGTATCCTGGCCAAAAGAATCCTGAGAATCATCCCAAACTGGTAATCAGTTTGTTCTAAAAATTGAATTTATTTACTCAGTGACTGGTTGTGGCTCAAAAGATGCAGTGAGAAATAGTCAATGGAAATCTCTTTTGACGGGTCTTTTAACATCCTTTTGTGATTAATTGTAAGGCATGATGTTACTTGAGCACCACATTGCTTGGCCCTGCTCTTCTTCTTAGGATGGAACATTTCTGAAAGACTGTGAGAACAGTACATTGCCACAGGGAGAAAGCAGCAGAGAGGAGAATACGAGGGCTCTGCCAGCACTCAATGCAGCAGCTAACATCTTTCTCCAATGCTTAAAAAGTATGACACGAAAATTGATAAATATGTCCAAAAAATAAATACAAATGTTCTACACATAAATAAAGTTAACTCTACTCATGATTACTATTTGTTAAACATTTCTATAATAGAATTTTCATGTTTTATCACAGTTTTATTTTTATGATGAATACTAATGATATTGCTTTGACATATATTAGAGTGTACTGGCCATTTATGACCTGGTATAGTAATACATTTTAATATGCTTCCAATTAAAGTTTTTACCTACTTTGATGGAAGAATTATTTTTCGTTTAAAACAAAAAAAATTTGGAATTTACTTTTAAGCTATAATTAGAAAGAACTGTCTGGAGGGGCAACACTGTCAGGATCATCTCCATTTCAAAGGCACTGATATTTAACAAAGCAAGGTCAAATCGACCTAGCACCAAATGCAATGAAAACTGGGCAAGATTCCAGCGAACCTGGTACAGGAGAAATGTCAGGAGTCACGGTCTCATGTTAAACTTTACACACCAGTGATCTGTGAAGGGGCAGGTACCCTTCTAACACCACAGAGGAGGTGGTTCCCGGATTCCTGTCTTCTCACACGATGATTCACAGAGCCAGAAGGTTTATTGCACTTGCTCTAAAAATCTTCCCCACCACACCACTCCACAGCTGCTCCTTACACTGTGCATCCCGCTCCTTTCCCAAAGCCATCTCATTAATTAAAAGCGCATGTAATTACAGTACTTAGATTTTTGGCAGTGAGCTTTTCCAAATAATCAACTGGTTAGCAAATGTGAGCTTGGAATCTCCTTAAGATCGCCAGAATATTTAAAAGGGGGAAAAAAAAGAAGCCATTTTGCATTGATGTCTCTGATGGCCACAGAGAAAGGAGACAGGGAAAATGACAAACTTTAACCTATTTTTAAGAGAAAATGAACATGTTGGCAAATTTTGTGTTTGTTTTACTATGGGCTGGCTATTTAAGAATCAAACAGGAGGTGGTAACCCTGGGAATGGCTGGCGTCTAGAACACTGGCGTGGTGCCCCGTGACAGTGTCAATCATCATGGCGCAGCTGACAGAGCCGCTACACCGGGACAAGGAGTGATGTCCCGCTCCTGAGCTTTCAGAGCAGGGTGGGACCCTTGGTGGGTCTGCTGCTTGGCAGCAGGTGCTGGCTTCCCTTCGCCCTGGCTTGGGGTTCCTGGGGCTTGACAGAAAGCAAGGCTGGAGCAGAGAGGTGGTGAAACGCTGCCTTTTGTTGATGGAAGTTGTTGATGTAACTGGCAATCAAAAGAGTGATTTCAAGAATCTAAAACAAGAAAAATAGAATTGTTATGCTCCTGAGAAGGTCCCACAATTCCAAGAGGACAAAGGGTGGGCAATGGGTGATCCCCTTGTATAAGTGCCCAACCTGCAAGAATCCCCTTCTTTCTGGCTCAGAGTGTGAGGCTCTTACATGCCTGAACCATCAAGGCACTGCCACATTTTTCCCATTGCTTAAACCACCAGAAAGAGTAAATCTCAAAGACAATCAAAATTTGCGGCAATATTTGGAAATGTGATGGTCAGTATACAACTCAATCAAGTATATTAAAGTCATGTTTGTGAATATATAAGAAATTCAGTGTGTTACATCAATTATTTAAACAGAAATACTGAGTAATCTATGCCATTTTGTTCATGGCTAATCATCTTTACTCATGTACAGAAATGATTAGGAAACAGAGCTGCCATATTTTAAACCCCTCCAGATTTGAAGAAATTGTCTATTTAACATTTTTGTGATAACTTTTAGGAAAATCAATTTCTTATTCTTTTTACTAAAATAGGCACCACACGTTAGAATGCAGCCCTTTGTTGTTTTTACTTAGAGACATTAAAACTTTATAATTTGTTTGAAATAGGAAAAGAACAAATATGTTTTAACTATAAAACTCTGCTCTTCCTCTGAGTTCATAAAGCAAATAACTCCAAGTAGATAAGATAATGTAGATAAAATACCTGATTAACAATAATTCCATGGTCATTTCTTTTGAATATATTATATACGAGGTGCAGGGCTAAGTTAAAATAAGTAGCATTTTTCATATAAAAGAAACCAAGCTAAAGTTGGCCAGGATTTGAATTCATGGTTGTTAAATTATAAGCAACATCTTTTTTCCCACCTGGAAAAGCCTTTGCTTAATAAATGTTTTGGTACGGAAAAAACTAGTACAAAAATTTGGCAGACAGGTTCTACTCACCTTGGGTTTTGCCATGGCAAAAAGTAATTTCTCTGTTGGTTTGTCTTTTGAATGCAAATTGTTAATGACTACCATAAAATCATCTTGATAACCTCCAAAGGTCATTAGATTTTTGTATGCATAGCTGATTAATAACCTCTTCAAAGAAAATAAAAAGCACTTATGTTATATACTCTTTACACTTAAAGACAAATGAGAAAGGATTAATAACATACATCTCTATTAAAATGCTGATGTTAATTAGTTATGGCATAATGCAAAAAACATATTTTCTAAAATCACGTCTATTATAACTTACAATAAACAGTGTTGGGGCTAGTTTTATATTTTATTTACAATTAGATTTTGATCCTGAAAAAATTCACTGCAAAAAAAAAATAGAAACTATAAGAACATTAAAAACACCAGTATTCTAGCAGCCAGTGAAAAATAGCTATTAATGTATTTGTATATGTTCTTTCACTTAGCTCTTTTTATATGTCAGATTAAGCTATATGAAATTGACACTTCTATGGCCAAACACTGTATGTCAAAACTGGCAAAGCTACATGGTTCAACCTGATAGGTAGATTTTGAGGTATATAAACAGAAACAGTATCATGAATACTGTTGTTTAGCACTGTACTTTTTAAAGTTAACAGCAAGTTGTAAATATTTTTTCATAGCAACAAAGGCAACTGTATAGCATTTTAAATTATTCTATAGACAATCTATTATTTTATTAGTCTCCTATTACAGCATATTTAAACCATTTTTACTTGTTACTTCATAGTACACATACTTAAATATTTCTTTGATTATAAAACCAAACAATAAGAATTGTTTAAGGAGAAAAGACAACTGGGGGTTTTCCCCAGCTCTCCTCTGAGGGGGTTAATACCATCCACATTCTCAGCTCTATGGTCTTCCTAACACTGGATAGCATCATTCTCTTAAATGTCTGCAACCTAATTGGTAAAAAGTAGAATCTGTTTTAAATTGCATTTATTTAAATACTAGTGAAATTTAACATTTAAAAATATAGGGGGCTGGGGATTTAGCTCAGCAGCATAAGCGTCTGCCTTGCCAGCAGGCAGTCGTGAGTTCGATCTCTGGTATCGATAAAAAAGGAAAAAGGAAAAAGACAAAATATATATATATATATATATATATATATATATATATATATATATATAATATTTGTAGTTCTCCTTTTGTGAATTGTGTTGGCCCACTTATCTATGAGTACAATCATAATTTTTCTTGGGGAGGTAGGGCTTGAACCCAGGACCTTGTACATGGTAAGCACATGCACTACAATTGTGCTGTGCCTCAGCCCCAACCCATAGTTTTCTTATTTTATAAGAAATAAAATTAAGGATAGGCAACAAATATTTTTCCCAGTATGTTTCTAAAACCATTTAAAACACGTAATTTCAAGTTGCGCAGTCTAAAAATAATGGAGTCTACACCTATAATGATAGGCTGAGAAGCGAGCAGACTGCTCTGGCTCTAGATGCTGTGACTCTAGACTGCTCCCCCGCTGTCTGCCTCCTCACTGTCTACCTCCTGGCCTTATGTTAACCATGGTGAATCTGGGGAGCTAGTTTACTTAATAGAACTTGATACTGATACATAATCTGTCTTCAGTTATCCAGCCAACAACTAAAAAGTATTTGGAAAACACAAACTCTAACAAATATTTTAGGTACTTACAAGGAGAAATGGTAACTATAACATTAAAGGATAGTTTTGTTACCAAACCCATTTTCAGTGCTCTCTGATGACTATCATCAAAGTTAAGAATAGCCCACTACAGCTCTGAAGTCAGCAATTCCTAGCCACTAGACCCCCCCCCAAAAGGAATAAAATATTTTCTGATAATCTGACATGTGAACCAGGTGTGGTGGTGCATACTAGTAATCCCAGCACTTGGAAGGCTGAGGCAGAAGGATCACTGAGTTTGAGGCCACCCTGGGCTACACAGTGAGTTTAAACTGGCCTGAATTACAGAACAAGAACCTGTCTCAAAAAGCAAAACAAAAACAAAATGAAACAAAAAAACTCACACATGAAATAGGATAGACAACATTAATTCAGATAAATAAATGAACACATAAAAAAGAGTAGTTTGACTTAATTTGTACTTATGTGAAAAGCTCTAAGGCTCTAAGTTTTGTATATGTCCAAACTGGACTGGAAAGTAATGTTATGGAAAATTATAGAAATTATGCTGTAGAAATAAAACAGTGAAATTAAAACTGTGATCATTAAAGTTTCTATTTAATATCTTAACTATTTTTATTTTACATAGGAAGCAATTATCCTAGCACGCAAAAATATTCATGTCATCAATACAACCATGATGGTAATTTAACCATAGGATCTTAATATTTTTCCCATACACAATAAATAATCTGGCTTATCTTACTTTAAAAGATTTAATTGTAATCATAGCTGCAAAATGGAGCTCAGATATGTTTTCTGAGTATTAGAAAAATAAGATTAAGATATTATTACCTTCTGTTTATTGTATACTAAGAAGAAGCAATAGTGGATTCAGTGTAAACTTTTAGGGCTTAGTCTTACCATGGAGTTGAATTCCAAGATGCTTAAACCATTTTCATTGATAGCAAGCCACATGAAAGCATTTCCAAGTGATGGTGGCGTTATGGGCTATGAAGAGATGAAAACATACTGTATTATAAATGCTAAAACAAATTACAGAAATTTGCTTTCAGTCTAAATGCAGGGAATACCATTATAAAGCAACAAAATAATCACATTATTAAAAATATCTCTTGGAAAGGAGATTGTTTGATATACTGAACAGAGTAAAGAATTTGATTTTAGGACACCGGACTTTAAAACCCAAATCAGTCATCTCATAATCTGCACTTGGACAAGACATTTAATTCCTTTAAGGCTGAATTTCTCCATCTTTAACATGTAAACAGTTTTTACTATTTATTTTTTTAAGAGGTTACTAGCTGAAAAAGCTTTTAGAGTTTCCATGATGGCCAAAATCCTAAATGAAACAAAATATACTGATGCACTTTGTATGATATACAGCGTTACTACAATGTAGAAGATTACTATAATTGTACACTTCTTCTAGAAGTTTATTAAATTTGATATTCAATATTCTAACAAAAATAGATTAAAAAGAAAATATGAAACTGTGATTGTAGTAGTGAGAAGTATTAAAATTTCTACCAAATTCTTTATTGCAAAAAGAATGAAACTATATAGTCTCCTACTACTAAAACCAATTAAAATTCATGAATGTTTTTGAGCATTCCATAGTAACTATTTTATTCAGTTAACAACTGAACTTCTACAAAAATTAATTGTTTCTTAAATCAAATGAAAGAATATCAAGACTACAGATGAGCTGGAATGAATTTTGTGTTACTTCTATATAGTAAAACTTAAGAGAATCTCATATTTAAAAAAAAAATCTAGCTTATCACTGTCTACTGAGTGCTGATTTGAAAATGTAGGTAAGCACTGAATGAGATGCTACTCAACCCAATGTCTATGGATAAGTGATTAAACAAGCTAAATGAGGGCGCATCAGTGTAGCTGGAAGCCATTCAGTCTAAAAGGGAGGAAATGCTACATGTGCTACATCATGAGCTTTCAAGACATTATCCTAAGTGAAACAAATAATCATGGGACAAATACTTGTAATTCCACATACATGTGCTTCATAAAAAGTGCTTTCCGGGGCCTGGGGGTTGAGAGAACATAGAAAGTTAGTGCTGAATGAATCTAGACTCTCAGGTTAGGGAGATAAAACTGTTTTAGAGATGGATGGCGGATAGCAATGTGAATGCACAGAACTGTCTACATAAAAATAGGTAAGATGGTAAACCATATGTTACTTATATTTTAATACACACACCAAACAGAGACACCATTAAGCAAGGGAAGTGTGACTCTATTATGAAGAAAAGTGCTAGTCACACCACACAAAACTCTTATAATATCATAAGAGTTTGTGTGAGCAAATTTAGGTCTCCCTATGTCTTGGTTACTTTTTCTCATTGCAGAGACAAAATACCCAACACCCAAAATTAAGGAAGAAAAGGCTTATTTAGCTCCCTATGTGTGGAGGTTTCAGTCCATAATAAGCTGGCTCCAAGGCAAGGTGGCGTGGCACTGGGGCAACACTTCAAGGCAGCAGCCAGCCAGCAAAACCAGCCTGGGAGCAAAATGGGTTCCTTACATTATACACAGGCCACCCCCTCTCCAGGGTGAGTGCAGCATTCACAAAATCTCCTTGTCCCCCTCTTGCACAGGAGGATGTTTACTAAGTAAGAACCCTGGCTCCCTGCTGAGTCTCTTGGTAAAACTTCTAAACTTCTCAAATTGATACAATGTAGTAACTGTAACACTTTATTTTGCCCAGGCTGGTCTCAAACTCCTGGGCTCAAGCAATTTCTCCTGCCTCAGCTTCTTAAGCAGATGGGTGTCATCACACTGACTTAGAGTATTTAAAAAAAATATATACTTAAACTCATGCATATACATTAATTGCATAAATGTTTAAGAATACTAACACTAGGGGCTGGGGATTTAGCTCAGCAGCATAAGCACCTGCCTTGCAAGCAGGCAGTCGTGAGTTTGATCCCCGGTACCGATAAAAAAGAAAAAGACAAAAAAAAAAAAAAAAAAAAAAAAAAAAAAGAAAAGAATACTAACACTATCAGGCTGGGGCTATAGCTCAGTGGCACGGCACCAGCCTGGCAAGCGCAAGGTCCCGAGTTTGATCCCCAGTGTGTGTGGGAGGCCTAATCCTATCATCTTTCCCGTAACTTAGTATGTAGTTTCCAATTCTAGTAGCAAAAATAATTGCTTGCCCAATAATAAATCACTGATAGAGTTGAAGGTTCCTTAGAGTTGACTTTTCCAGTCCACACTGTTTATTAATAGATGAGAGCATGGAGGGCCAGAGACAGTAACTTGTCCCAAGATGGGAGCTATTCCGCAAGTGTTTGCTAAGTGATAATTGTATGCAAAAGCACTATGGTGGGCCCCAGAGGACTGTAGGATTACTCTGGAGGAGTCTGAAACTTATTAGTGAAGGTAGAAGAAATACACAGAAAAAATACAGTGCAGGACAGGATGTATTTTAAGTCTTTGAGAGTCTAAAGTGGTATGGTTCAACAGAAAAAACAGAAATTTTAAAAGCACATTTTGGGGGCGGTTTGGCTCCATGGTAAGGTGTGTACTTAGCATGTGTTTCCCTTCCGGGAAGTGCTGGCTACCTTCCCCAGGCGGGTTCATGGCTTTCCCCGGTTTCCACAGCATGCTGGAGTCACTCTGGGGGGTATTTACCATGGAGTGCTTTGTCAGCAACACTGGACTATGATAAAAGATACCAGCCTGGAAATTTGGTGCAATTCATCAGAAACCAGAGGTTGATGTTTCTCTGAGGTTAGCTCAGCACTTGCCTAACAGTAAATACTAAGTCAGTGAACCAGAGAGAGTGTAAAGGAGAGCCTGGATAAACCAATGAGGAGAAGAAGCAGTGTCCAGCACGGTTTATCATCTCCTGATTTGGGTAACGAGTCTGGGAAATGATTTAAGGTGAAGAAAAGTTGAGCAGAGGGGAAGGAAAGGGAGAAACCTTTCCTTTTTCCAATACTCTTTCATTTTTTTTCTTTAAATTTTGGGGCATTTCTTTGTTTTTCATAAAGCCCAGTATATTAATACTGGGGTAAATATGGTGGACCACGTACCCAAAAGTTTTTACAATGTGTCTTCCCCCCTTATTCCTTCTTACTTTTGCAAAAAACAACTTGGCACCAAAGAATGGCCACTTCCTGGCTACTGTCAAATAAATGCGCACACAGTCAACACCACTGCGTCCCCGGAGGGCCATCCATCTGGTTGACAGTCGCTGGTAAAGTTGCCTAAAAAAAGAAAAGAACAGAACAAAAATACAAAAGCCAAAGCATACGTGGTGGATCATCCTCCCAAAATAAAGCTCTCCAGGGGCCAGTTCTAGGCCTGCCTGTGCCACATCAGTTCCCTGCCTTCTCAACTATCTAGAGAGTTTATTTCAGCAAATTCTCAGACTGGCATTGTTCTCAGCATGACTAAGGTACCCTCAGCAGGTACATTTTAAACATCTGAATAGCTAACATCAAACCCTACTGTAACTTAGTTCACAAGGTAATTTCTCCTGAGAATACTACAATTTTTATTTTTTAAAATTTTTTTGGTATCGGTGAAAGAATTCAGGGCCTTGCACTCCCCAGGCAGGCTCTTTGCAGCTGAGTTTAAAGAGAAGTTCGAGAAGCCCAGTTGGCAGAATTTTAGGTGTTAGCACTACCATCTTAGAGAAAGGCTAAGTAGAAAGACAACTTCTCAGACCAAATCACAAAGACAAACCAGTCACACCACAAAGACAAAAAAGACTGATCTTAAAAGTTTCTGTTTTGGAAAATTCATAGAAAACTTCATCTTTATCTTTAAAATTCAATCAGCATTTATTTATACCTTCTAAATACTGAAATTGCAAATTGATTTAATTCAAACCTTACATTAAAAAGTTTCGTGTACAAAGATAGCTTATTTTTTATTTTACTTTGTTTATAATAGAATATTCTATGAGATAATTGTTTTTGACAACTGCTTCATAAGATTAAATATCTTATCAGTCAATTTTTTCTTCTTTATTATCAGGATTAATCTGCACAAGTATGAATAAGACCAAAAGTGGATCTAAATCAATTAAAAGCGTTTTTTTGTTAATGCAGATTGTATATATGCTTCAAAATACAATGTCATACATGATAAATAGACTCTAAAGCTTCTGGGCACATCTGAAATAGAAATGACTGTCATGTCTTGGGGCTCATCAATATTTCTTTAATTTTTTTAACCCTTAAAATTAGAACAGAAAAATATTACAACAACAACAAAAAACAAGTGTGACTCTACAGAAGAGTTTAAAAAAATACTTCCTTACCTTAACTGTTCTTCAGTAAAGCTATCTCTATACCTTTTAGGATAAAATTTTTCTATGACTTGTTTTAGTGTTTGATTTGCTTTGCACTGGTTGGTAACATGCCCTTCTGGAGTTGAGAAAGGTCTTTCAAAATCTCCAATTTCCACCTGATTGGAAATCCAAAAAAGAGAAAATGTAGGCTATTCAAAGACATAAGACAAAAATCAGTTTTAGCTTTTCTTTAAAAGTACATAACACAGGGCCAGGGATTTAGCTCAGTGGCGTAAGCGCCTGCCTGACAAGTGATCCCCAATACCAAAAAAAAAAAAAAAAAGTATATAACACATGAACCCATTTTTTATGATTCTGTGATTATGAAATTTATAATCACATGTAAGAACTTTAAATCTAAATTTCATTTGAATTCTAACTTTGGGGGGAAAAGCTATTGATTTAAACATTTCAGTATGATTTCTACATTAACCTCCCTAGATTACTCTTAATATATAGTGGTCGTAGCTGACGTTGCTATTATTTCCCGTAGTGCAGGATATTTCAAGGTACTATTTTAATTGCTAATAATAAGGTAAAATGGAGGTTAAAAATAAAAAGCAAAGAAAATAATAAAGCTGTAAGACATTTTGAAATAGTTGGAATTTTTAAGCCTCTCTAGTGTAATGAGAGCAAGAATTACACTATCACTGTTTCCTCCTTAGATTTCCCTATAAACTTCGCTGTATCAGCCACTCATTCTGCTAGTCTATTATTCTAGGAATGGAGCCCTTCATGTCCTTCTCTAACTTGAAGAAAGAATGGTCAGTCTCTGACCTGTTAATAGACCACGGAGATGCCATTCTTCACCACCCATCCAACTACCCACCCATCCATCTCTCCACCAACTCAAGTACCTATTCCTTTATCCAAACCGGTACTTATAATACAGGTGCTGTGCTAAGTGATGGAGACAAGAAAAGCTGAGCTTAGTCCCTACTCTAAAGAGTTTGCTAACTAGTAGGGGAGACTGAGGCACAAACACTGTTGATGAGGTGTGTTAAATGCCTTGAGCAGGATACCAAAGAGGGCGCGGGGGAACAGCCACATCCTTACCTATAGCTCATCCAACAAGCAGGTGGCAGGCTCCACCCAGCCTGGAATGGTCCTCCAGCTGTCTGGGCCCTGTGGTTTGTCTTTCCAGTTCTGAAGCTCATCAGTTACTGTGTAAACGCTCAGCTGAGCTCTGCCCATAGCCTTTTGCTCATAACCTTCTTGGCTATTTGGCATGGTTTTGCTGTCTAGCTACCAGCCTTCATTTTTCTTGGTTTCTATCAATTCTTATCTCTTTGCTCAACAAGAATCCTTCTCTAACATCCTCACACCAAATAAAAACTATCCACCAGACCTTCACACTGAAATCCTTTCCTCAGGGAAGATGCGCCCTGTCCCTGCCTCTCACCAGGCAGCACACACCACAGCCGTCTGCAGAACCCAGACCAGGCTTAACCTCCACAAACAGTTAACAAAGCTGCAGACTGGTCAAGGCAACAATGCCTCTTCTGGAAGCGGCAGCGGTGCGTTCAAGCTCAGTGTCTTGCCTTTCTAAGTGCCCAGTATACTGTTGGGCATAGAATCAACACAGCAGATACTTGGAGAACAGCTGAAAAGCAGCTCGCTCCCAACATGTCCCACATGGACACGACACCTTACCAGACACTATAGCAGTTATGATCACCAGTCTGAGAATTTCCTAAGACAGAGAACATTAGCATGGATCTACAGGCATTTAAAAGAAATAACTCATCTAAAAAGAACCCCCATCTATAGAGCTCAAATTTCTTTGGTGTATTTCATTTATCTTCATAAAAATTGCTCTGAAGGAAGAAGATTAGAAGTATTTAATTTTCCTTACGTACAGAAATTATACTTTTTAAATTTTTGAGACAAGATCTCACTAAGTTGTTCAGGCTGGCCTGGAACTTGCAATTCTCCTGCCTCAGCCTTCTGAGTAGCTGAGTTTTTTTTAGTCATGTGGCCAAAATTTTATTGACGTGTTGTCTTCACTGGTCTCTCTTCCTCAAATTCATCTAAAATGTTGTAAGTACATGTCCCCAAAATAGTTTATAATTTTTCTTGGAGAAGTTTCTTGACAAAATTAAAAAAGATGAAATTAAATCCTAGTTTAAAAAAAAAAGATGCTAGGTTTGGCGGTGCATACTTGTGATCCTAGCATTCAGGAGGCTGAGGCAAGAGAATCACTGTGAGTTCGAGCCCAACCTGGGCAACATAGGAGTTCAAGACCAGCTTGTACTACATAGGGAGATGCTGTGTTTAAAAAATGCATGCTTTTAATAGAGAATCTGTACCAAGAATAACAACTGGCAGGGAACTGTTCCTAATCCTATGACCAAGAAAACGAGTGCCCTGTTTCTCTTTCCTTCAGCATTTTATCAATGAGGTCAAGACACCAATACCCATGTGTAAAATTTTACAGAAGGACATTTGACCCCACAGGCTGGATTCAGAGAAGTTTCTTGGAATAAGTTCTCCTACAAAATTAAATTAAAGGATGACATGAAGTTGACAGATGAAGGGTCAGGGTAGAACATTCCAGGCAGAGGGAACAGACCAAAAAACATAAGAAGAAAAGCCCAGTTTGTACATAAGAGCAGAAAGTTCAGGGCCCAGTTCAGATCAGGAATGTCTGTGTTTGTAAATGAGATTCGCATTCTTGCTTTATCTCCATCTCAGTTACTAGTGCTATGCAAACAAATCTGCAAGCCTTAAGGAAACTGCAGGCTTCGTTCTCTGTCTCTTTTGGGTTACTGCTTTTGCCGTTCAACAGCTATTCTGGGAGAAGCATAAGCAGTCACAAGAAGAGAGCACCTGCGATGGTCCACTGACAGTCCCTGTGGAAGTGCCATGAACAGAGCTGGGGATAGGGCCTGCCTGGCAAGTGAAAGGTCCTGAGTTTGAATCCTGGTACCCACAAACAAACAAACAAACACACAAATGAAGTCCCATGAGCAGCCAGCATTAGCTACGAGACTGATGCTCTGTGCCAGCAAACGCCAGGTGAAGCAAGGACAAGCTGCTCTCTCACATTCCTCCCCTGTTATCTGAAGAGACTGAGCCTTGGAGTCATTTGTTATGCAGCCATGGCTAACTGAAAAAATCTCTTTAGCCTCTGTGTGAAAGATAAATTAATGAAGAACATAGACGATGCTTGGCAGGACAGCAGGCAGAATGTGACAGGGTCACATATGGTAATTATCACATTCAGCAGAGAATGGGGGAAGAGTATCTAAGGCATGTAGCCAGTGGGAAAGGCATTAGGGAGTAACGAGGCAGCCAGGAGCCCTGGATTTGAATCTTACATGGGGAGTGACTGGACACAGCTTGGCAAGGAAGATACAGACCAGGAAGAAAGGGCACGGAAGACGATTACTGTGGTTTTCAGTATACGGAATTTAAGGAACTCATTAAGGAAGTATGAACCGGAAAGAAGGTGAGATTTAGGAATCACTGGCATAGGCGGTGGAAAAAATACAAGAAATGGATGAGATGTCCCGGGATGGTGTTGACAGTAAACAGCCAGGGAAAGAAGACCCTGGGGGACCCAAGCATTTGTCTCGATGGCATAAAAATCACAATGTTGCTTTAACATTTTTCCCTTAATTGTCCTGTGCAAAGGCTCAGGCATGCTAGAGACTGTAAGCTGCCACGTGTAACCATCCTCCTTTATTCTTGGACAGTAAAGACCTTAAAAGAAGCTGGCCACACTGCCACCCAGCTTACCCTTGGCCTCCTTTGATAGGTCCTAAATCCTATCCTGACCAGAGAGGCCTCAGTGGAAGTGTCTTACGTAACTTCAAAGAAATAACTCCTAAAGGCAGGAAGGCAAGCCCTTCTTCAGCCCTTCCTTTGTCTGGAGGCCTGGAACACTGACAAAACAGCTGGAGCTCTGGCAGACCTCCAGAAACATGAGGTCAACATCCCAGCGACGGCAGAATGGACAGCATAAAGATAAAGCCTGTGGTCCCAATGAGTCTGCAGAGGAGCCACAAGACCATTGCCCACCTCATTGAGAGATGAGCATACTTTTGTCTGATTAAGTCACTGTCAATTTCATGTATGTGTGCTCACTGAGGTCTGAACTTAACCCTACTAGATACAACAGGTAAATTAAAGAAAGTGCTTCTGCCTTTTCAAAGACTAGTATTCTTGTTAGGTTACTGAATGGTTCCCATGGCCTTCTCAGCCCCAGAGCTCAGATTCCTTTATTAAACACAAAGCCTGAAAACATAATTTCAAGAGTTAAGAATCAAAGTCCCCCTTATGGAATTCTGTCTCATTCTATGTTGCTGCCAATGTCAGTGGTTCAAAATCCAATCGTAATTTTATAATGCCTGCAAATTTTAAGGTGATAATCATATCAAAAAAAATCAGTGTAAGGAATTACTGAAGGTCTACTGTTTTATTGCATCAAACTCAGTGAAGAAATTAGTATCTTATCATTTCTGTACGTTACTCTGCATAACACAAGGGTTACCTGAGCTAAGAGAGCTGCCATTTCTACTGCCAGGTCCTTGTTTAGAGGAAAAAGGCCATTTATTATTTGCTCATTTGTCTGATACATTAACAGCAATTTTTCCCTATCAGTCTCTCCGTGAGCTTGCATTGAGAAATACAACCTGTAAAAGAAAAAAAAAGAGGAAATTTCTCATTAAACGATACTTTTCCTCCTGCTTGCTAGCAATTGAATCTACCGCCTCACACCAGCTAGGCAAGCACTGTACTCCTGACCTTCACCGCCAGCCCCCAATTACATTCTCAAAGACCAAGAAAGTAAAGATAAATCCTGAAGACTGAGATGGGGTTGTTTTAACATAATTCTCAAGCAATATAAACCCAGACATTACTGCCAGTGCGCTGTTTCTTTTCCATATAACATTCTCAGCAAAATGGAAAAACAACAATAAACTGCTTTGAAGTGGAGGAACCTTCTTATGCTATTTTTTATGCCCTGAAGTACCAAATCCTTAGTAGGATGGGCCTAATACATAGAATAATGCTAACTTTTCCTCCTCTAATAAGAATTTTTTTCCAAGAGCCTGAAGAATCCCATTTCTCTCTGTCTGTCTGTCTGTCTCTCTCTCTCTCTTGGTACCAGGAATTGGACTCAACCTTGCACTTGCCAGGCAGGTACTGCACCGCTGAGCTACATTCCCGGCCCCAAGAACCCCATTTCCATAGCTCTGGCTAAGTGACTGTGACTCTCTAAAGTTTTAGTTACCTTAACTCCAAGATGGAAATAAGGACAGTACCTACCCGACTCCAGTATTATTAAGATTCTATGAGACATTGCTCATGAAGAGCTCAACACAGGCCTGATGTGGGGTAAATGTTCACTAGATATGGTGGTTTCTTATTAAAAGTATTATCTTTTTTTTGTACCAGGAATTACAGTCACAACGTCATGCTTGCCAGGTGGGCACTGTGCCACTGAGCCATATTCCTTACCCTTTCTTTCCTCTTTATTTAGGCAGGCTCTTGCTGTGCTGGCCGTGCTGGGCTTGAACTTCCAGTCCTCTTGCCCTGGCTGCCTGCTTAGCTAAGCTTTCTGGCACACACCACTGAGCCCATCTCAGCAGCCGCATTCTCCTCTAGAGAGCCTTAGAATCACAACAAAGTTTCCTTTCTTTCTTTTAGTGTGAACATAGCCAGAAGAAATGGGACAAACTAAATGCTGTCAGGTTCTGACTTAGGAGACAAAGGACACAGGGCCCTTATAGCTGGACAAAGGTGGCAGAGATAAGAATGTTGAACTATGTTCCAGAACATGACAACTACAAAGCACTACTGAGCATAATCTTTGACTTTCAAGAAGGGGGAAGGAAGAGTTGTTCCTGCAGGGAAGGATGCTTATCAGATACATTTTGTCAAAAACATGCTTTGACTTTTGTAATTTCAAACACACAGTAAGAAATGGGGCAAAATATGAAGTTTTAATATGAATAAAACTTAAACACTAGTTTCCAAATGGTTGTGTATGAGAGTTCAAAATCCATTAATTCAATCTGTAAGCCCCAAGTCTACATTATTAAAAATTTGTAACTTGCATTATAATTTAAAAGCTGAAAAGGTACACGATTCAACTTCACGGGCCTCTTCTCAACATTTAAAATGCAACTTCCTTGAACACCTGGGATACCCCTGAACACACATCAGTCCTCTCTGACCTTGGCATAAACATTACTTCCTAAAAGAAGCCTGGCGATGTCGCCTGTCCCGGTCGGGCTCTGTGTTATACACTCTCATGGTATCACACTCTCCCTTCAGAGAACTCAAGTGTAACTGTGCAGTCATTAGGGTGGGTATATGATTAACAGCCCTCTGCCTCACTAACCCGAGATTCCAAAAGATCAAGAACTGAGCCTATGTCTGCTATTATTTCCATTTTATCCAGACCATTTAGCTAAGTGTCTGGCTTATGGTTGAAACTCAATAAATACAAAGAAAGATAAAAAGAGAATATGAGAGAATGAGAATTAGAAACACAATTGAATGTACTCATTTCTTCTTGTAGATGACAGCTGTCACTCAGAGGAAAATAAATATGTAAATATATAAATAGTATGCAAGGATATTCCCAGGAAGCTAAGTTGCGGGTGCATAATTTGAACACAGCTACACCCTCAGGCTCTGGCATCGGGACACAGCGCTACACACCTGTTTTTATAAGTCAGACGAACGGTTCTTGTACCTTCACATTTCCCAGGTTGCTGTTCTTTGGATGCCTGTTCCCATTTGGAAATAATGTCACAAATCTAGAAGAAAAGTGGGAAAAGGAGATTCACAGGGCTTTCAAAACCAACATTTCTGAGTCCTTTTTTTTTTTTTTTTTTTTTGGTCTTTTTCCTTTTTATCAGTACCAGGGATCAAACTCACAACTGCCTGCTTGCAAGGCAGGCGCTTATGCCACTGAGCTAAATTCCCAGCCCCAAAAACCAACATTTCTGGAAGACAAGTATATCTGTAGGCTGGCAATTCTTAATGAATATGATCAAACCAAATGCTCTCAAGCTTTTTGTTTTCAGCTTCTGTGAAATTCTAGGTGTGGGACTTAATTATAAATTTTTTTCTCCACTTATGCTTTTGGGCACATGTTAACTTTGGACTCCGGCCATGAATTTTTTACTCAAAAAAGAATCTTAATGCAGGACTGCATGAGACTGGAACCAAAAGATTCCAGGGATTTTTTTTTTCATGATTTGGCCACTGATGAAACAATTTTTCCACCTTCTGAGTTTACAAAGATTGGAATATCTGGAAATACATAAAAGAAATCAGAAATATAATACAAGAAAGGGTCTAGCCCCAGTTCTTGCTGTTTGCTTTCCAGTAATTCTTTTCTCTCTCTAGACTTCCATTGCTTCATTTGCCAAATAAGCAGACTGCGCCTGTGGGTCTCTTTATAACTATAATCCTATAGTTCTATCGTTCCCATCACTTGATGGAAACTTCATTGGATTTTTTTTACTATGATCTGGAAACTATTTTTAAAATCTCTACTTTATTTCCATACATCTGTTCTCTACCCATCCTTTCAGTTGCAGCTGTAGCTTTCCAGGTTCCCAGTGCTCAACTCAATCTCTTCTGTGCACAGTTCACAGTGCTCGCAAACATTTGTCATGTTCGGTCCTAGCTGACATTATGTGATGAGTCTGTTTTTCCCTAAGCAAAATTGAAATTCTTTGTATGCAGATGACATTTCTGTCCTTCTTTTGTTCCCCACTGGGTCCAGTCCAATGCCTGGGACCCTGAAAATAGTTCAGTAATATTGTTCAATGGAAAAGAAAAAATGAAAAGCCATTTTGTGAGTTTCCACCCTTCATTTTTCGTATATTCCTATCAGAGTATCAATACCACTATGATTCTCTTCGCCTCTCTTTCACGTGGATTATGTGCAATTATAGGTTGTGAATTAGATTTTTATGGCTTCACCAAAGTACTGTAGTTTCCTTTTTTGGTGAAGATCAGATTGTTTAACTTTATTTTACAAACAAAACAACAGCAAATACATAAAAATGATGATATAGAATTTTAAAACAAAATAGCAGGAAATTAACTAATTAATATTGCACATTGTTAACTTCAAAGTAGTCGTTCAGATTACAAGATTTAATGGAACTATCAAACTATCAAAGCACAAACTTATTTTGAACAGAGATTAGTAATATAGTTATCTATCTTGTACATATATTTATATATACACATATACATATATATACATATATACATACACACATATATATATATATCCACACACGATCTTTTTCATTCTTTCTTCTCTCCTTTCCCCTTGCTTAACTTTTTTGAAAACTACTGAAATCAACTTCCTGTAAAGTTAAAGAGCAGCTTCTCTGCTGTTTGCCAAGTTCGGCTCCTTAAAAGAGCTTGGCATCACCTTGATGTTCCCTTGAAGGCAGTGCTCTAGGTCCCTGCCAGCGGGGTCATCCGTGAACAGTGCAAATCCAGACAGCACCGGCTTCCTCATCCCTGTGTCCTGGTTCAGAGTATTCAGAAACTCTTCCACGGTGGTGGACGCATCAAACCCTACAACCTGGACCGAAATAACAAAGCAGATCTTTTCATAAAATGCATATAAAATTTACAGTAACATGTCATGGGGAAGTGAGACAGACTGGATGCATGATTAATAACAACATATATTGAAGTTCTCTAGGTGCTGTAACTTTTTGTCCCAAAGCCCCACTGGAGAAGTTTAACAGGAATAGGGCTGGGGATTTAGCTCAGCGGCATAAGCGGCTGCCTTGCAAGCAGGCAGTCGTGAGTTCGATCCCCGGTACTAATAAAAAGACAAAAAAAAAAAAAAAAAAACAAGAAGTTTAACAAGGATACCTCCATAGTTCCATTGGAAGAATTCAGAGATCTCAGCTTCAGCCAACAGGCATAAAGATATTATGCTTATCATTGGATATAAAACCAAGAAAACAATATGCAATCTTTAAATAAATGAACAGTAAGTGTATTTAAGTGAATGAATGCTTTTATGTGTTTAATGGTTCTTTACTAGGCAGTTGAGTATCTGAATTATGTGATTAAAGGCTTATGGCTACAATGTCTAAGTGATAACTTTGGAATAGGTTTCCTCCAGTTAGTAAGCAAGATCCAGGTCTCAGAGTTGGGAGGGCCTTGGTGAGTTTTCCCAGATAGTTCTTGAGATTTGGAGGTTTTAAAAGATTACAATTGTACATACCCAGTGTGACTAATCATTTGCTTACCTAGGAGGTACATGGATGAGGAAAAACTTGACCAAAGTGTTCTTGGTTTTCTCCACCAGATAGTAAAACTCATCCCTTACTTGGTTCAATGTGCATTTGTTTTTAGTGTGAAGCCTTTTTAGTAAAACTATTTCAAAACTGAACTGTTTGTCTGCTTTTGGTTTTTTGAGAACAGAATTTTATCTTGTGGTCCAGGCTGGCCTTGAACTTGTGACCTTCCTGCCTCAGCTTCCCAAGTGTTGGGATTTCAGGTGTGCACCATCATACCTGATTAACAACTTACTTATTCTGATGGAAGATTGAATGGCAGCTTTATCACTGCCAGCTGATGACCACACTAGGTGGTCTCCCTTCTATATTCTACGTGTAGGATTCGTGTCCAAGCACGTTTTGTTAGGGTAAAAGGCTAACCCACCTGGTACAGCCCATTCATGAAGTGCACTGGTATACTGAAGGGCAGCGAGTGATGATAGGGGTTTCGAAGTAGAGTGGAAAGAATTTCCATCCTCGAGGGTCTTGCTTCTCGGTCTCCATTCTGTTGTGTTCTTTCAACACATCTCTGGCAATAAATGGCATATTTTCCAAATTCTGTCCTGTGATACAAAATGTAAGATAAAATCTGAGAATAAATTTAATTAGGATAATGTAACGTATGTACCCATTAAAAAAGTTCTCATGCTGTTTATTATTACAATGTATTATGCTCATTTTGACAGTAATTTTTATTTTACATGTGCTGTTTTATTTTAAAAGTGCTCTTAACTTTTCTCAAATTCCAATTTCTTTTCTTTTGCACCAGATTGACTCAAATGTCTCTACAAAGCAATCTTCATCTTTTCTGTATTTGTTTCCTTTTGTTTGTGGTACTGAGTACTGAGCCCAGCTGCACTTTACCACTGAGCTACATGCCCAGTCCTTTTTGTTTCTGACTTTGAGACGGGGCCTCACTAACTTCCCCAGGCTGGGCTCAACTATGCACTCTTTCTGCCTCAGCCTCTCAAGTATTTGGGATTGGAAGCCTGTGCTTGCACATCTGGCTTTCTGTATTATCATAGTCACAAACTGGATTTACATTTACCAGTCATTATACTCAATATATGACTATATTAACAAAAATTTAAAAAAATAGAATAGTATATGATAAATTAAAAAACATGAGGTAGAGGGTTTTCATTTGAAAAACTGGAGGTTCATGCTTCAGTAAGAAAATGTCTTCAAATAAAACTAAAACAAAATTTAAAAGCCGGGTTTGGTAGTGCACTCCTATAATTCCAGCACTTGGGAGGCTGAGGCAGGAGAATCATTTGTAAGCTCAAAGCCAGCCTGGGCTACAAAGTAAGCCCAAGGCCAGCCTGAACTGCATAGCGAGACCTTGTCTCAAAAAGAAAAAAAAAAAAACTTTGTTTATACTACAAACTATGCACTTGTTAAAAATGTTAACAATTAAAACAATTAGGGTAAGTAATGTAAAAAGCTAGAATATGACCCTTTTTTCTTCATTTGTAAGTAATATAAAAATTACACGTAATGTTTCTTATAAAGGTAGGGTGGTTGGTAACAACTTTAAATATATTTGTATTTAAATGACTGTTACAGCAATCATACAACCTTAACCACAGACGTCCTAGAATGTGTAAGGAACCGCAGGGTATTTTCCTGTTGTTTCCAAGTTGCCTTTTGTTTCTACTGTAATTTGTTTGTGTTAGTGCCTAAGTCTATTAGCTAACCTAACATGAACCTCTGGGTGGGCCTGGTGACCCTGGGTAAGCCTCGGCTGAGTGTTCTGGGCATCCCAGTCCAAGAAAACCATTCTGATGGCTAGATTTGAAATGTCTTCTTTAAGGCAGTAAAACTTCTGAAGTAATTCAAATTCTTTTTTTTTTTTTTTTTTTGTCTTTTTCCTTTTTATCGGTACCAGGGATCAAACTCACGACTGCCTGCTTGCAAGGCAGGCACTTATGCCTGCTGAGCTAAATCCCCAGCCCCAAATTCAAATTCTTACAATTGCAAAAGCCCAGGGAAGATCAGAGAGAAAATCCATCACAAAAAACAATTCAATGTGGAGAAAAACAGTAAAAGGGAAAACTAAGGAAATAAAGTAGTTGTTCCTATTGAATGAGCACCCATAATGCCAGGTTGTTCATCGCTGAAATGCACAGAGATGTTTCACTTGACAGTGTTCTTTGCTTTTACTTCAATCTTCCATAAGAAACTTAACAGGACAAACGAAATACTTTCTCAGTTCCATATAAATTGTAACCAAAGGCTTACTATTCCAATATTTGTTTCACACATTCTTCTGAAAATGTAATGTTTTCAAACACTTAGGTTGTTTGTAGACTTTCAGGGGCCATATAAACGGTTTGCTGCATACCTGGAATCTGCATTCCTCTTTAGATGGAGCCTGAGGAGCCACAGGAAAGGATGATGGGGAAGGAAGAGCCCAACACAGAGTGCCAGGAGCTGCCAGCCCTGGATGGAGAGAAGTACAGCATATTAGAAACCATGCCGGTCACACAGCCACGTCCGGAGAAAGCACCTGACAGGGCTGGGAGCGCAAGGAGCTGATGATCACTGTCTCCCTTAATCCAAAAATGTTTTGTTCTGCTCACAGATACATGATCTCTTTAAAGCATTTTAAAGCACATTAAACTGATCTCTTTAAAGAATTTTAAAGCTACATTAAAAGCACAGAAAGTCTACATTGAGTAGCTAGTTGTGTATATTGTTGTCTACAACCGAGCCACCAGAGCAGTCGTACATGTGGTAGTATTTTTGACATCACAATCAAAGATCAGGGACATTATTTTTGTTCGATTATGTGTTTACTCATTCATTGACTGTAAGTAACTTTGAGAAAGGCAGATTATAACACTGTTAAACAAAATCCCTTCCCCTATGTGGCAAGTATAAAAATATTAACAGAACTTTAGATGTGATTTTTTTTGTGGAGGACCACCAGGACCTCTCTCCTTGAAAGAACGGCAGTTATTCCCATTATGACTAAACCTGGCCCTATTTCCATGTGTCGATATGCACAGAGCTGGCTGGGACTTTTCCTTATCCCTTCAATTGGCTTTAAGCAATGCAACTTGGTCTAGCCAGGAGCTGATGTGCAATCTTTGAAGCGAGGTGACAGGTCAGTGTTACAGCAGCCCCATGGCTCCCCAAAAGCATGTATGAGCCAGGCAGGAAGAAAAGTCACGCTCCATGCTGTTCAAGACAAGAGGCTATGACTTCCCAGGGCACTAAGGATCACACATCGGAGGGGAAGCACTGACCCCAAGACATTGGACAGTCCTCAGACCGTGTCATGCAGATTGCTCCTCTGCACATCCTTCTCTCTGTGCACTGCAGAGGGGATTTCAGGCCGCCTGCCCAGCCCGGCTCGGCTCGCAGGACTCATGCACTTCCCGCCTCTCTCACGTCATTCATCCTGGAGCTGCTCCCCTCGCTGAGAATTAATAAACCCTGGATTCGGCCTTTGGCCCAGTTAACCATCACCCTAGCTGGACTTAGGACCCCTTTGGTTCCCTACAATTTTAGACACGCCTTAGTGTCTTTATTCTCACTATGGGTTGCACTGGAAGTGGTAGATGGAATTAACCTGCTACAATTCCAATAACTTTCCATGGGATTACAAATATAAACTTCCCAGACTGCCCTCTAAGGGCCCTCTACAATGCTTATTTTTTCTTTGCTCTGTTCTGTATTCTCCTTCCTATGTATTTTTTCCCACTAAGCAAATGCAGCTTCAGTAATTTTTAAAATATTATATAAAAATGGGGAAGGGAATAGGCACTGTCCCTGCCTTGATAAGCCTACAGCCTAACAGGAGAGAGTTACGGATCTAAACAGTAAATTATCATAGAACATAGTAATACCATAGGTTAATTTTTTAAGTGTAACCAATGTGAGGAATGACTAACAGCTGGTGGAGTCCCGGAAGGATTCACAGGGAAGATGTCGCTTGGGTGAATGAAGTCTGCCAGTCGGAAGAAAGACCGAAGAGTATCCAGGGAACAGGGCAAGTGCCAAGTACAAGAGAGAGAACATGCCAAAGGCCTGGTATATTTGAAGAACAGGGAGGATTTGTTCACTGTTTGCTGGAAACAGGAAGTGGAGAGAGTTGCCAAGCTTATGATGTAAGCTTCAGAACTCTTTTCTTATATAGGCTCCTTCCAGGGTCTTATGAAGGACACTGGCATTATCAGCTGTGTACATAGTCATGGGTTTTTTTTTTTTGTTTGTTTGTTTTTTTTGTCTTTTTGAGACAGGGCATTACTAAGCAGTTCAGGCTGGACTTCACCTCACTTTGTAGCCCAGGCTGATTTTGAACTTGCAACGATCCTCCTACTCAGCTTCCTGAGTGCTAGGATTACATGTGTGCGTCATGTTTTTAAAGATGACACAATATACTTTTTTTCTTAAAGAGGATTTCTCAATTTGTGTAAGCTTCAAGTCTCCTAAAACTTGGATCTAAACCCAAGAGTTTTATGCATTTGGATAAGCAATTTCAGTTTTATTCTGTGTAAACAAGGCGTTATTAGGCAAAGATAAAAAGGAGTTTGGCCAGGCACAGTGGGGGACACCTATGTCCCTAGCAATCTGGAGGCTGAGGCAAGAAAATCATGAATGCCAGGCAAAATGGCTCACGCCTGTAATCCAAGTACTCGGGAGGCTGAGGCAGGAGGATCGTTGTGAGTTCGAGTCCAGCCTGGGCTACAAAGTGAGCTCAAGGCCAGCCTGAACTGCATAGAGAGACCCCGTCTCAAAAAAACAACAACAAAAAAGATCATGAGTTCCTGCCCAGCCCAGGCAATTTAATGACTTATTTCAAAATTAAAAGGGTTGAGTATATAGCTCAATGCAAAGGCCCTTGGTTCAGTGTCTAGTACCACAAACCCCCACCCACTCAGGTGTTCCTTAAAGTGTTAACAGAAATAACTAAAAACACCCTGAAAAATATATTCAACTGCACTAACCATTATAGAAACGCAGCCTGACTCAATAGTAACATCATTTTTTATCCTGGAAAGAACTTAAAGGAATAATTAATTACATTGAATAGCATTGACAATATAGGAAGTTGGGCTGAAAGGAATTCACTGGGTTTTTACGTAAGATTTACTTTCAAAGATGTCTACTCTAAAGGAATTTGTTATAGAAAAAAAATCTATAATAATTAGTATTAATGTGGCCATTAATGTTTTGAAGAATGTTTAGGATATAAAGATGTGATTATGTTTTATGGTTCAAAATATCCAGTGTAACTTCGGTAGTATGAAACATTGTGTCGGTGAATCTATGCATACATACACATTCATAAAGAAACATATTGATATATAAACCAAAAGGACATGGTCAAAATATTAATTGGCTATTTTTCCTTTCACTTTTTATGTTTTCCAAAAGGCTATACTAAATGCATCATTCTTACAGTTGGGAGAACGGCATTGTTTTAAATTGCATGCATACGTATTGATATATACCTGCAACGGCCCCGGTTGGTTCTGTGGCTGTCTTCGTCTTGTCTGTTTAATAAGCTGACAGCAAATCTCATTCTGTAGTTCAGGATGTGTCAGACAGATCTGCAAAGCGCTCTGGGCTAGAGATATGTGGTAATCGATTGCAGGGGAGTCAACTGCAGCATTTATAAAAAGTTGACAGGTCTGAATTAAACAAAAAAACGAATAAGGTAAGAAATAAATTTTTGTCTAAAATGATGGGGAGAGATATAATAAGATAATACTAATCAAAAGAAGTCTTGAGTGGCTACGATGATAGTTGACAAAGTAGATTTTAGGGTAAAAAATGCTGCCAGAGATAAAGAGGGTTATCCTTATAAAGATAAAGGGGCCAGTTTATTTAGAGGATGTAAGTATTCTAAACAGCTATGTATGTAATATGGAGCTTCAAAATACTATATATATTCATCTCATTCAGTATATTATTCCTTTTAGTCATTGCATTTTCATCTCTAAAAGTTCTATTTAAGTCTTTTAAATAACTTTCAATTACTCTCCTTAAAACATTTGTATGGCCCCCAGGGGCTGCCAACTCCCAGTATTCAGATCCTCAATAATGTCCTTCCATACTGTAAAGGCCAACAGAAAGTGCCAGTCCATTTCTGGGGTTAGGTTATAAAAACACGTGGCTTCCATCCTGGCTGCTCTTTCCTTCTCGGCTGCTAGATGAGGCAGTTATAAGGAGAGAACCACGCAGTGAAGAATGGAAACCTCATGGGAACAGCCATGCCAGCAGGTCTGGATCCCTCTGTTCCACTCAGATTTTCAGATGCTCCAGCTAGCAGCTTGCTAACTTTCTGAGAACCTGAGCCAAGACCGACCAGTCAAATGCGTCCCAATTCTTGGCCCTATGAAACTATGTGAAACACTAAGTGCTTTTGTTTCAAGCCACTAAATGTTGGGGAAATTTTTAAAATGGAGTAATAAATAACTAGTATATAGAAATGTTCTTGGTTGCTATCACCTTTATCATTTCTAGAGAGACTTCTGTGATTATTTTTTCTCATTGTTATATGCCATATTTGACCCTATTCTTGTATGCCTATGATTTTGTTTGTTTGAGACAAGATCTCATTACACACTTCAGGTTGGCCTTGAAATCATTATACAGCCTAGACTGGCCCCAAACTACCAGCAATCCTCTTGCCTCAGCCTTGCAAGTGCTGGTATTACGGGCACGCACCTCCACACCTGGTTCTGGCCTGTGATTTTGGATTTAATGCAGACACTGTGAACTTTTTATTGTTGAGAACTGAATTTTTCAGTATTCTTTAGGTATTTTCGACCTTTGTTCTAAGATAGAGCTAAATTACCTGCAAATAGTTTGACTCTTTCAAGGCTTCTTTTAGGTTTCCATCAATGTAGGGCAGCGACAGTGAACTTTTTGGTGCTTCAAGGATATAAACAGCTTGCTGTGTTATGCATGCCATAGGTTTGCCACTGCTGGTCTAGGACTACTTTGGGCCAATTACTCAGGCAATAATCTGGACCATTTTAATTGATGCCCAATGTGTTAGGCAATCTCTCCCTTCTCAGTGATACAAAAACAATTTTCATTCTGTGTGAGCTCCAGGAAGTTTTCTGTTTATTCCTTTCTAGTAGTTCTTTCTCCAGTCTTGGGTAGTTTTGCATACATGTATGCTTATCAATTCTCAAAAGAAAATATTTTTAATGTTTTATCAGTACTGTACATGTTTGTGGTACATAATGTTTGCATTCCTTGTGTTGGGTTGGTACATGCACATAACACATCTTAATTCTTTTTTCATTCCTTCTCTCTCCCTTTCCCATTCACTCCAGAAAGATCTATCCCCCCCATTTCCTATTATACATCTTTTATTTTGCTCTTTATTTATATTTTGAGTTTCTCATATAAGAGAAACCATGCTATATCTAAACTTGTGCATCTGATGCTGGAGGAAATATAGACTTTTTAACAAATGGTTCTGGGAAAACTGGCTTTCCACATGCAGAAGACTGAGTGTAGACCCATATTGTACACCATGTACTAAACTCAAATTGATCAAATAACTAGTGTTAAACAGAAACAATCTTCTGAAACAAAAAATAGGTAATACTCTTGAAGACATAGGCATAGGCTAAGATTTTCTGAACAGAACCCCAATGGCTCATATCAATGGATCATATCAAATTAAAAAGTTTCTACACAGCAAAAGAAACCATCAACAACTGCTGGGCGTGGTGGCTCACAACTGTAATCCCAGCACTTGGGAAGCTGAGGCAAGAGGATTGTTGTGAGTTCGAGACCAGCCTGGGCTACAAAGTGAGCTCAAGGCCAGCCTGAACTGCACAGAGAAACCCTGCCTCAAAAAAAAAAAAAAAAAAAAAAGACAAAAAGAAAGAAAGAAAGAAACCATCAACAGAGTGAAGAGACACAGATTGGGAATTTTTTGTCAGCTATTCCTCAAACAGAGAACTAATACTTGGAATACACAAAGAACTCAAAAACTTTAGACCCCATCCAGATAAAAGAACCAATCAAAAAATGAGCAACTAAAACAGACACTTCACTGAAGAAGTGTAGATCACTTAATACATGAAAAATGTACTGAGGTTCTATCTGACTCCAGACAAAATGGCTCTCATCAAGCAATCAAACAGGAACAAATGCTAATGGGAAAAGGAACCCTCCTACATTGTTGGTGGGAATGTAAACTGGCACCAGCATTATGCAAATCAGTAATGAGATTCCTCAAAAAACTAGAAAATAAGACATGCCATTCAATTCAGCTGTTTCTTTTCTAGGTATCTTCCCAAGAGAGTTAAAAGCAACATATAGCCATGTTTACAGCAGCACAATTCATAATAGCTAAATCTTGGAAAAATGTATATGTTCAACAGATGAATGGATAAAAAAGTCTGATATTTATCCATAATAGAGTACTACTGTGCAATAAGGAAGATAAACTTGGATCATTTGTAGGAAAATGTATACTATTGTGACCATAGATAGCATTAAGTAAATCAAACACACAAGCTTAAATATCCATAGTTTCTTTTACATGAGAAAACACATACGATAAATAAAAAGAAAAATATATATACATAATAGGAAGTAGGAAGGTAGATCTTTTGGAAAGGGAAAGAGATCAAGAGGTAGAGCAAGGAGGAAGAGAGCAGAGGGAAAGAGGATAAAAAACTCGGATGTGCTGTGTACGTGTACTAACTCAACACAAGCAATGCAAACACGTACTGCAAATACGTAATAACAAAAACTGAGAAAATAAAGTGATGCAGCTGGAGAGCGAGTTTCAAGTGATCAACGGTTTCTCATAGAGACAGAGAAAGAAGAATCTAAGGGCAGATCCGGAGAGGAAAGGGTCTGCTGGTCCTCTCCCAACAGACGCTGATGTGATGTGGAAAGTCTTCCCATCTGAGAAGCAAATGGGAAATGCCATCTTTTGACATCAGGTGTTTCTATGGCCTAAAGCACACATGGTCTGTTTCAGTACATTTCAAATCATTACTGAGGAAGCATATTAAATTCGCCTAATTTTAGTTCAACAGATTTTTCTTAATGATATTTGTATTTTCAATATTCTTACAGGTGAACGTTTATAACCAAAGTTGTTATTTTTTAAATTTGGCTCAATTATTTACCAACATGTAATACTTTTACCTTAAATAACTTTATAGCTTCTGTCTGCAGAGCTTCAGAAGGCAGTGATGTCAGAGGGGAAAGGATTCCTTCCTTGCTGTGACACAAAGTGGGGTGTCTCCATATCTGAGAGGCTAGAACGGAGAACACAGGAACAGAAAGCAGAATGATTCATTTATCCAAGCTCCCCATTAAGGGAACCCTGAGCTTAGTTAGCTCTATCAGGTCTGGCCCACAACTTTCACCACAAAGGTCAGGGGAAACTTTTGGTACTGTTATTTTATTTCTGTTGCCAGGGTAGTGTGATTCTCATGTTTCTGTTTTGGATAAACTCAGTGTAAAAGCATTGGGGTTCTAATTTTCTGGCCTGCAACATATCTAACAGGGCAATGTCGTGGTGCTTAAGTGTGCCAACAGGTGGTGACCATGCAGGGCGTGAGGAGGAGTGGGGATACATAGAGTTAAGATACAAGGATAAAGGGGAGCTAAAAGTGATTCCTAAAACCACTATTGATTAAATTCTTATACTGTAGACTATACATAAAATAAGATCTTGGTTCAAGCCCAGGACAGAATCTAAACTCTCAATGGAAACTCTTGGCTATGGAAGATAACTTCAACACAAAGCTACAAATGCTTTAAGGGAGTTACGTGGCAAAGAGCACTGGGATGTGATTTTAACACTATTAAGCACCTTTGTGAGTCAGGCGCTGAGCTAGAGAGGAAGGGGTCTCCTAAGGCTACCAGGATTTCATCAGGTTGGTGATGTCTGCCAAGGAAGGGGGCACCCCAAGCAGAGAGAGCAAAGAGGTACAGCAGGACACAGCATCTTGGGGACATATGGCATCCTGGGAGCCTAATAACCCCAGTGACAATTCTGGCCCATTATAACGACAAGCTGGGTAAGCAATTGGGAAATAAGACAGTCCACAAAGTGAAAAACCTATTAGGCTAAGGGATTTGGGGTTCACTTCACAAACAATAAAACATAAGCCATATATGCTTCTGAACTTACAAGGTTCCCCTTCTATATTTAGCAATTTGCAAACCAGTTGTTCAAATTCAGATCCAACATTTACATTGTTACTTCCAGCTGCAACAGTCAGATGATAAAGCCAAGTGTCCTTAAAATCAGAACATAGTATTAGAAATGTTAACCAAGATACACTTTTGATCAGTGAAGGTAATTGATTTGCAAAAACAGTGGGGAACTTCCAGACTGAAAAGAAACCACTTGCTTTAAATCGTAACGATTAGAAACCATTTTAGTGAAACCTCTGAGGTGGGCTCATTTGAACTGTACTCATACTACTTTTTTCTTATTGTTCACATATTTATTTTTTCTATATGTTTCTTAGAAATTGCATGACAAAATTAAAAAGAGTAACACATGTTAAGAGACTAAACACAAGCTAATATTCCCTGTAGTACTATAAAAATTTTATCCAATTTAATATCTTACTCCCAAAGCAATACATAGAGAATACTTAAGAAATCCTGAAAAAAAATTTTTTTTGTCTTTTTCATTTTTATCGGTACCGGGGATCGAACTCACAACCGCCTGCTTGCAAGGCAGGTGCTTATGCCGCTGAGCTAAATCCCCAGCCCTGAAATCCTGAAAATTTAAAGAGGAAAATAATATCCAATTTGTTTTACTCTCCAAAGATAACTACTTGTCTTTTATTTCTTCTGTGAAAATATATGTAAATTTTTTTCAGTTATCATGCTAAAATATATTATTATAACTTCTAAATTTTACTAGTAAGAATTCCCTAGTTGCTACAAATTTGTTATACATAAGTTTTTTTAAGACAGGGTCTTGCTCTCTGGGCACAATGGCCTTTAAGTCATTATGTAGCTCAGGCCGGCCTTGAACTCACCATCCTCCTACCTCAGCCTCTTATATAAACAAGCTTTAATGGCTACAGGATATTCTATTATATAGCCATACCGTATTTATTTAATCAATTTTCCATTATTAAACATTTAGATAGCTATTAGTTTCTCACTGATAAAAATACTGTAATATTTAACATCTCTTAGTTAAAAGTATATCTGCTACATTTTATTTTTTAAAAAATATTTCAGAGACGAAATTACTTTTAAAATAACACTGTAGCTGGGCATGGTGGCACATGCCTGTAATCCCAACACTTAAGAGTCCAAGGCCAGAGGATTGTGGTGAGTTTGAGGCCAGTTTGGGCTACATAAGTGAGTTCAAGGTCAGCCCACACTACATAGAAAGACCCTGTCTTGGAAAAAATATTATAGCCAATAAATTTATGCATAAATCTTTGGTTGTACTTACAAACATTTTGTTAGTACATATTCTTCAAAAACAGTGATGGGTCATTACTAGGGCAGGAATATTTATTGGAACTGTTTTAACATGTTTTTAAAATGCTCCCCAGATCATGTCACAAGTTTACATTCCCTTTAATGCTGCGTGGGAGTCCTTTGGTCACTACTGCTGCACTAACATGATGTTTTAAACCTCTGATAATTTCAGAGATAATAAAAGCTTTGTAATTTTTAAAATTTTACATTTATTTGACTATAAATGAGTCTAAACATAGGATAGCCATGAACTGCCACCATCAGTTGCTCACGAGTCCTCCTCTCATTTTTTCTGCTGAAAATAAAGCTCTCAAACCAAACAGGAGGCAGGGCAGGCAAGCACGAGAACACAGTCTGGCATCAGAGTCAGGGGTTTAAACAGCACCTCAGTCTCCAGTAAGGTCTTTTTTTTCCCTTTGAAAGTACTTTCTATTCAGAAATCAGATAAAATCTTTTTATTTTATTTTAATTAATTAATTTATTTTTTGAGACTAGATCTCAAACTCCAGTCCAGCTGTAGTCCACTATGTAGCCCAGGATGACCCTGAACTTGTGATCCCCTTGCCTCAGCCCCTGGAGGTGCTACATAAAGGCTTTGTAGCAAAATAATTTTATTAAAACTCTTTTACTCCTTAAATTCATCTGGAAATTATTTTGCTGGATGTTAGAGATGAAAAGCAATATTTTACCTTAACACACAATTTTGTCAATATATAATAAACATACAGTACTATATATAATAAACACATAATTCAACACTTCCATATTAATTTGTGATGACTCCTTTATATACATATATAGGTTTATTTTTTAAAATTTATTTTATTTTTTATTTATCATCATTTTTTGGTACCAGAAACTGAACTCACAACTTCACACTTGCCTGGCAGGCACTTACACCGCTGAGCTAAACTCCCAGCCCCTTTATATACATATATCATAACAATTCACACATATAATACATAAAATAATTCTCAATTATACCCAACCTGAACTTTTATTAACATTAGTAAAAAATATAAGGTAGAGGGGCGGGGGATTTAGCTCAGCAGCGTAAGTGCCTGCCTTGTAAGCGCATGGTCATGAGTTCGATTCCCAGTACCAATATATATATATTTTAACCTATATATGGTAGAGACCTTTGATTTATCAATAAATATCATCAGGTGAGACAGATATGTTGGTTGCTTTGTCCCGCACTGTCACACACTGATTTCAGCCTTGAGATGACATTTTATCAATAAGATTGAAATAACATTCAAAATGTTCATTTCCAAAGAGGTGATGATCTCTGAAAATTCTGCTGAGAATCCTTAGCAAAATTCTATTTCTCATTCCCACAAAATTGATTTAAAGATTTTCTACCAATAGCTGAATATTGGTCTAAATCATTTAAAATCATCCAGCATGTCTTTAAGTACCTTTTCATGCTTGGATCCAATCAGGAGGTAAGTCGGGCCTTGATCTTTAGGGTGGACGACGACAGTGTAATGAGTGGATAACAGACTGCGTCCACTAGCTTCATAATCTTCATCTGAATCGCAGGACCTGTCCACCTCTTCAACTTTAGCCTCCCACAGTTTGATCTGACCTAGAGGAAACTAAAGAAAATGTTAGCAGTTGTAAGGGTGTTACTTTCTAAGTCTTTTCCCACTAAAAGGTTTTGTGGTTCTCTTTAGTTTTACTTTTAAAAGGCATATTCTGTGTGTGTGTGTGTGTGTGTGTGTGTGTGTGTGTGTGTGTGTGTTACTGAGGCTTGGACCCAGGGTCTTCATAAGGTACATCTCTTGTCCTTTATTTTTTTATTTTGAGACAGTATCTCATTAAGTCACTAAATTGCCCAGCCTGGGCTTGAACTTGCAATTCTCCTGTCTCAGCCTTCAAGAGTGCTGGAGTTACAGGTACGTGCCACCATACCCAGTGAGCATACCTTCTTTAAAATCAAATGATTACCCATCTTGCTATGAATGTAATAACAAGCAATAAGCTCAGCTGTGATATAAAAGAACAATATGAATCCCACATACTTAACTTTTGTGGAAAAGGCAAGAAGCAATGTTTCAGATTACTCAGCCAGAGTAAAATGACCCATTAACTGGTCACATAATTAATATTAATTAAGCCAAAAAATGATTTGTTTCACCTACAGAGTTGATCAGTTATTTGATTAAGCTACTGGATCAAAGACTAAAGAAAAGTTTTTTGGGGGCAAGGGGTACCAGGGATTGAACTCACGACCTTGTGCTTGCCAGAAGAAAACAGTCTTAAAACTGTTCATAAAAAAAAATAAAATTGGACAAACAGTACAAAGATTTAACTCTCAACCCAGATCCCAATAATCTAAGGCTATTAAAATATGCAATGTGTCACAAAACAAAATAATAATTGCCTGCATCTTAATTTAGGCATGATAAAACCATCCTAGAGTGAATTGACATTAAATTTTATCTACACTTTTAGTGGTCAAAGCAAATATATTTGCCATCCTGGATAGTTGTCATATCTGCTTAAAATTTTCATTTAAGTACATTTATTCCAGGAAAATCCACAGTGTACTTCAGATTTTTAACTTCTAGGACCTTTGGCCAGGTTTGCAGTTGCAGTTCTGAAAACGTCTATTCTAACCATTCTAACCATGAGGACGTTCCCCATCACACATCTTTCAGGCTGCGTTCCAGGACTCAGTGCTTGGTCTCTCTTCTGTCTACACTCATTCCCTGGGTGATCTCATCCAAGCTCCTGGCTTTAACCCCACCACACCACACATTAGCTCTTCCCAAATGCATTTCTGCAGACTCGGGGTCTCTATTAGAGAGTGAACAGCATCTCAGATTTACCTTGTAAGTTCACCTCGACACCCTGTCCACCCAGTCTTCCCCAGGTCAGTTGTTGGTAGCTTTTTCTAGCTGTTTATACAAAAACTTTGGCATCCTTGCTGACCCTTGTCTTCTCTCATCCCTCACACCTTTCCAGTCAATAAATCCTGTCCACAAGACTGTCAGGCATACCCAGATTCTGATCACATCTCAGATCTCCGCTGCTACCACTCACCCCGCTGTCTCTGGCCTGGGTTGCTGTAACAGCCTCTGACCATGGGAGGCTCAAGCCCCTTCCCTTCAATCTGTATCTAAACAGAGCCAAGTGTTTCCACTGGCCACGGCAGGACCACTCGGCTGCTCGGCTGAAAACGCTCCAGGACTTCCCACATCACGCAGGGCAAAGGCTCGAGCGACCCTAGGAAGCATCTCTTTAGTATTAGATTATTTTGAACTACAGACAGCTTTAAAAACAACAGATCCAAGAAAGGCTCTGATCCTCCTCTTTTTCTTCCTAAAAGCAAGAGATCAGACTCACAAACGGAAGAAATTCTCCCTATAACCGAAGCAAAGTAACATTCTCACTGACAAGGACAGGAGGTTGAGGCTTTGGCTTGTTAAACCAGCCCTCACGGTGCGGATCACTTCTTCACCCCACTGGGGATCCTAGCCCAACTCTCTCCGCCTTATTATATTTTTTTTTCACCTTAACTACTCTTTGTCCAGTTCAATTTATAATGGTTCAACTCTATGTGTTTGGGTCTTCATTGCCATATGAAGTCTCCAGTGCCAATGAGACACTGTAAACTATAATCTGTCTTATGTTAATTTAATTCTCAAGACCAACTGAAAATCCTATGAAGGTACAGGTAAAATTATGCCTCTTTTAAAAAGCTAGATTTTTCACTTTGACCTCTAAGATTCCATATAATTCAGATCCCATTACAACTCTGACCTTGTCTCTTATTATTTTTCTTCCTAACAGACTTTAACTGAGTCACACTTTCCTTGAGATTCCCCAAACACGACAGGCCCATTCCTGCCTCAGGATCTTTGCACTTGCTGCATCCTTTGCCTGCAGTGCTCTTGCCTCCAGTGCACTCGTGGCTGCTCTTTTACTTCCTTCACACCCTAATGAAAATCTCAGCTCCTAAGTGCAGCCTTCCCTGGATGTCCCACAGGGAATTCAACATTATCTGCCCAATAGCTGACTAATTTAATTAAACGTACTGTCTTTTGGGACAAAAATGATTTTCTGCATATAATTAATAATGATTATATACTGAGTAGTTACAGTGTGCAAAGCACTATGCTTGGCATTGAATAAAGCATTTGCTTCTAAAAGAAAAATGGAAAATTAATTTACTTTTTGGGAAAAAGAATGGTAGTATGTTAAAGGCAAAATAATTAGGCAGAAAAAGTCACGTTCATAAATAAAAAGCAGGATTTTAAAAATGAGATGAAAACTAATATAACACAAGACAATACTGTCCTAATTTAATGCTCTAAACCCATCGATTCTAAGAAAACCTGTGCCTCATTGGCCATAATATTCAGTATGGTTATTCATCTTACCAAAAGACACACCAAAGGTCCAAAAATAGCCAATGGAACTAGTGCTTTCCAGTATTTCCACTTAACAAGAAGGAAAGGCACTGATCCATATTTCAAAATTATTTTGGAACGTCTATGGCACACAGTAAAGTGGTCCTATACAGATTCAAATGCATTCCCAAGACTCTTCCAACAATTTTAATGGATTTCTGTCATTTACCTGCATTCTCAATAGTGTCTGGGATCAAAGTCTTTCATTTTATTAAATAAGTTTATAATTTAGAAAGACAATATATACTTACTATAGAGGTACTTGGTAAATATAGGAAGTTATTTGTGAAGAGAAAGAACAAATCACCTGTAGTATTATTATTACAGAGGCCACGCAGCATTTTGGTACCGTTCTGGTCAAGGCGCTATACATATTTTTACCTAGAGGTGACAGACTGGGAATTATAAACGCAGCATCCTGACAACCCTCTTGGAAGGTCTCCACACAACTGCAGGAAAGTAGTTTGAAACTACATGTACCAGACTCTCCTAACCTGACAGTTCCAAGGTAGGGTTTTCCTGCAGGAGAATCTGCAGAAAAGCTGAAAGAAAGGGCTGTCTCCTGAGACACCCTGCAGCCAGATGTCTGGGCAGACGCCTGAGATCTGCAGCGGCTTCCCAGGGAGCTCCCGAGCAGCTCCTGCCACAGGGCTTTGGTCTGACATCTGCAGTGAGGTTCCTGCCCTCTACTCCCTCAATGTTTCTTTTCTTCTTCTTCTTCTTCTTCTTCTTTTTTTTTTTTTTTTTTTTTTTGTGGAACCAGGGATTGAACTCACAACCTTGCACTTGCCAAGCAGGCTCTTATGCCACTGAGCTAAATCCCCAGCCCCCCTCCCTCAATTTTTCTAAAAGTTACATAAAGTGTGTTAACTTTTCTATAAGTTACATATAACCCCAATTCTTTTTGTTTGTTTGTTTGTTTGTCTTTTTTGTTTTTATCGGTACTAGGGATCAAACTCACGACTGCCTGCTTGCAAGGCAGGCGCTTATGCCGCTGAGCTAAATCCCCAGCCCCTAACCCCAATTCTATATTAAGGCCTTTTTTCAGGATGGCACTGGGGATGGAAATCAAAACTTCACACTTATATCTCCTATGTTTTTAAAAGTTAATAGATTTTTATTTTAAGACACAGTCTTGCTGAGTCTCGAAATTGCCTAGGATAGGCTTAAACTTGCTATCCTACTTCAGCCTTCTTTCTGTTTGGATTACAGCTGTGCAAAAACCACAACTGGATTATATTAAGACTTTCATAGGTGGAATATACAGAGCAGCTTCTGTTTTTCTGACTGATATGTTAGAATGATGCTGAATACATAGCGTTGCACTGTCCTTATTTAGGTACTATATTATGTATTTTCTCACGTTCATTGTGAAGCATTCTGTTGTTGCTGGCTTTTTTTGTCTTTTTGAGTCAGGGTCTCCCTGTGCAGTTCAGGCTGCCCTTGAGCTCACTTTGTAGCCCAGGCTGGTCTCGAACTCCTGTCTCAGCCTCCCAAGTGCTGGTATTACAGGCATGCGCCACCACACATGCCTGAAACATTCCTTTTAGTAGAGGCACTGTATTAACTCCCACCTCATAAGCCATATCTAGAATAATAGCAAGTATTTTATACACAGCTGATTGAAGCCAAAAGTGCGCTCTGTGAAAAGGGAGTATAATTAATGGACTCACATGGCCACTGGACCAAGAAATTCAGTCTGAGTAACACACTGATCAGTCCTAGGCTGCTCTTCTGTGAACTACATCATTATTTTCTGCATATTATTCGTGGCCCGTGTTGGCTCAAGTTTTATAGTTCCAGGGGGCCCCAGGTGACAGGCCACTTGTGCCCTGAGGCTGACTGGGGATACCAGTCAGACATCCCATTTTTTTTACTCTGAAAGTAAAGAAGGTAACTCAAGTTCCTTGGGGCAGAAGACTAGTTTAAAATGAGTAAATGAGATATAAAAGGCAGATGCCTGAACAGATAGGGTCTCTTTTCTAGCTCACTGCTGTTTTCTCCCTACCTTATCTTGTCTGTAAGAATGCAGGGACACAGGGGAAAGTGACAGAGGAGGTGGGGTAGGGCAAGGCTTTCTCCTCTTCATCTGAGAAGATGCATTAGTTAAAAGTTGGCAAGGCTTACAATGAAGCATCAAGACCCTTGAAGGTGATAAGGATGTGATGTCCTCAGTAATACATTTGAAGTTCATCCTTATCAAAAAATTCCAAGTTTTACTTAGCAACAGAAGAGTGAAAAGGAAAACCGTGAGCCATTAGCAAGCAAAACAAAATCCTTTAGTTAGCATATTACAATATATACATACCTTATCTTCTTGACTACGGAAATAATATAACATCTTTCCTATGAGTATACACCAGACTCTCTTGGAGTAGCCATGTTTTACCTGAAATTAGATTTCAATGAATTACACAGGGAGCTCAGAATTCTGAAAACATAAAGAATAGGTGATATATTCCACTTGAAGTTCTACAGGTATCCAGTTTGTCCAAGATATAAGTGATTGTCCAAATGCTGCTAAAATGCTGCCTAAAGTATACCTGTGATGGCATTAGCCTACCATGTCTGCTTTGGAGCTCCTCATTCAAAGTTTAATGTCTACTATATGTTAAGTACTATGCTCAAGATGGATTTAAGAAAAGGTGCCAATTTCTCAGGAAGTATATTTCACAGTTTACATATAAACTAAGTTTATATAGATTGCCAATCAACTTGTATCTCCTTGTTAGCATCTTAATGCTACAATTACAATCATGAAGATCTGAAGAATTCTAATAATTTCCCTAATGTAAATGAGTCACTCATTCAAAACATTTGCTTTCTACAGAAGTAGTCATATAAAATTATTAAGTATACTAAAAGCTAGTACTATAGAGTGAGCACCTTCCACATGTTTGGCACTATGTTAAGTGACAGGCAGAATTTGAATCCAGCTCTTGACTTTGACAAGCCAGAGACTGGTTGAAGTCCCAGATAAACAAATATGAAACAGACAAAATCTTTTGCAAGGAGCTCACAGCTTTGTGAAGAAAACAGTTAGCATTACATTGAAAAACTTCATCAAGAACACAAAGAGTTTCCATTTATATATGTTTTTGTGAAACACATTTTATCAAAATCTAAGCTGAGTATCATTTGGTGATTATCATTTCTGTGAGTTTCCTAGTGGCCCACGTCCTGTTCAGGCCCTGGCACTGAAGATCTTTATCAAACAGTCCAGACCATATCCTTCATCCTGGAGAAGCACGAAGAACCTGGCTCCCAACAGGTAATACTGAAGTAAAACCACTGCATGGTGGATGGACTGCCTCAGGCAACAGTCTTGACCACTTGGTTTGTCATAGCAATGTGAGATTGGTGTAGACTTCACGGGGCTGGTGTGATGGCCAAGTGCAATGATGTACATATAAGATAACAGGAGTTACACAACAAATGCTTCCTTCTTCATAAAGAGAAGAAGTAAAATACATGTTGCCTTCTAAACCCCAAACCCGAACCAGCCTTTGGGCTTTGGAAGCTCTGGTTTAAACAAACAACTCTGCCGCTAACAGTTCGAGGGAGTCGGAATGCTCCTTTAGCAAAAACAAAAACAAAATGTTTAATTTGGCTGGACATGTTTCAGTTTAATTAAATTGGGAAACATATTTACAGACAAATATCTAGGCACTTTTACAATGGTCTTATGTAGAGTTCATTTGTTTTTTTCTTGCTTAAACAACTGAAGAAAGAATTCTCTTAAAAACTAGAGTGTGGGGGTTGGGGATTTAGCTCAGTGGCATAAGCGCCTGCCCTGTAAGCACACAGTGCAGAGTTCAATCCCCAGTACTGATGAAAAGAAAAACAATTTTTAAAAAACTGGAGTGTGTTACTTCTGTCTATAATCAGTATACTTCTAAACAACTTTAACATACATCAACAGCTACCTTTGGAGAACCACAAATAAAGGAGGCTGTGTCTACTTTCGCATGCTTATAGCATAAAACATTTTATTAGAAAAATCCTTACTAAGATTTAAAGGCGATATGAAGGCTAATTGAAAGAATATTTTTTGGGGCTGGGGATTTAGCTCAGCGGCATAAGCGCCTGCCTTGCAAGCAGGCAGTCGTGAGTTTGATCCCTGGTACCGATAAAAATGAAAAAAGACAAAAAAAAAATTTAAAAAAAAAAGAAAGAATATTTTTTTACCCTGGATCCATAAAGGTCCTTCCCATCAGTGGTGTTTTGAAGACAGCGTATCACATCCCAGTGAGCCTTCGTCAGCACAGAAAACAAACTTCCAGGGTCTCATGTTTTCCCCTGTATCCTTGTCACCTTGGCATTTGCCACTACAGATCGTGTCACCAGCCTTGCTAACTTCAGTATCTGGGTGAGACTCTCCTGATAGAAGAGCTAGCAGTTTTGAGTGTTTACAATGTGCTCGGTATTGTTCAAATGCACTTTCTGTGTTGAATCCTCATTTAGTCCCTCCTCACCCTGGGAGTTTGGCACTACCATTATCCACAGTTTACAGATGAGGACACCAGGACCCAGAGTCCAAAGGTAACTTTTTCTTTTTTTTTTTATCGGTACCAGGGATCGAACTCACGACCACACGCTTGCAAGGCAGGTGCTTATGCTGCTGAGCTAAATCTCCAGCCTAAAGGTAACTTTTTCAAGGTCACACAGCCGAGACTGGCAGAGCCAGAGTCTGTGCCTAGGTGGCCTGGCTCCCAAGCCCCTGTCCTGACCCCTTGCCACACTGTGAGCTCTCTGCTCTCTTCATGTCCAATACCCCTTTCCATCCCTTCATCTTTGTCACCCACCTCCTCAGCCACACCCTAGTTCTTCCACACACACCTAAGTGTTCCCCTCCTGTGGTTCACACACTACTCCCCGATCCCAGCCTCTTTCACCTCCTCAATTCTTTGTACCACTGTTCTTCTTTGACTTTCTCCATGGTTTTGAAGCTTCCAGATCTTCTACTGTATTCAAATATCTCAGTTCTTTCCTGATCTCTTTCTTTTCTACCAACCTGAGATTCCATTTTTGATCAGAAAGAAATTCTTGCTCCACTTCTATGCTTCTAACAAGTCCACTCCACAAACCTTTCTCTCCATTTGCCCAGAAAAGGCTACAGGGGGTTTTATGAAATAATATTAGCCACTGTTAATAATTGCTGAAAGTGGATGATTAATGTATTATTTCCTTTACTTTCATACATTTGAAAATTCTCATAATGTAACATGGATTTCAAATCATTATCTTGATAGATACGGGATTGTTAAGGTTTAGATCCGAAGTGTCCCTCAAAAGCCCCATGTGTCTGGAGGGAGAATGGATCGTATAGAGGTCATACTCTTTAGTGAGTTCCTCTACCAATGAGTTCACAGCTGACTTGCTGTTGGGTGATGAGGCCTGGTTAAAGGCAGGTCACTAGGGTGTGACCTGGACGGTTTTTCTCCCTCCTCTGCTGCTCCTTCCTCTTTTTGCTTTCTGGCTGCTGTGACTGGAACATCTTCCCGCCAGATCCTTCCACCATGCCTTTCCTACCTTGCAGCCAGCCAACCATGGACTGAACCCTCTAAAACCATGCACCAGAATAAACCCCTCCTCCTTTAGGCTGTGGGTCTTGAGTATTTTTGTCACAGAGACAATGGCTCAGAGGGTATAAAGCAAGTAAAAATTTAACTGTAGCATCTAAATGGTGGGAACATAAGTGTCCACTATAAAATTCTTCCATTTTTTTCATACTTGAAATAATAAAATGTTTGGGAAAATAAAATCATCACTCATATCACCACAACGTAAACCCTCTACCCCTACTTCTAGGCATCTGATAATACCAGAGAAAAATAATCACTATGAATTCAAATCATTAAAGTCAAATGAGCCCTAAGTAACACTTCTCAATCCTATGTGTCCTTGGCTACATCTTACTTTCCTTAATGATTATTCTCAATCCTCTACCCACCTCTCTCAGTAAAAGACTTTGCCTTATGGAGTGAAATTATCAAGAAACTGAAGACAATAGCGGTGACATCGCCCTGTGTCCTACAGGTTAGGGCTTCACCCATAAGCCCTCATCTTTCTTCCGTCTATCCCTGCCGTGATGCATTCCCTCCACATCCATCACCCTCTTCTGGATCTTTGTTTGTGTTCTCCTGCCTCTCCTCTGTCCTGAGTTCTTCCCCCCAGTTTGTAAATTCAAGGCACATGTCTTTCCATCCTAAAAATGCCTCTTCTGACTCCATGTTCCCGCTAGCTTGATATTTTCTAATGTGCTAAAAAAAAAAAAAAAAAAGTAAATAGTTCTCCAAATTCAAATACTGCACCCAAGGGCTGGGATTTAGCTCAGCGGCACAGGTGCCTGCCTGGCAAGCCTGAGATCATGAATTCGATCCCTGGTACCAAATACTGCACCTACTTATCTCCTACCTCCCCTCCAGCCCATCAGCCCCCCGCCCCAGCCTCCACATATGACACTGCAATCACTTCCTCCAGGCCAAACATCCTGCTCCCTGGTATCTACAGTGTTACTCTCACAGCTCTTCAGAAAGCCCCTTTATAGGGCCCTAAATTTTGGAAACTAAAGTGTTCCTTTCACAGGACCTTTCTCTTGAATACACTACACATTTTTCTGGGTAATTTCTTTCACTTTATAGTATCAACTGCCACATAAATGCTGCTAAGTCCCCAAATCCTTCTCTGTTTTTGACACACTTTTTTTTTTTGGTACCAGGAATCGGACTCACGACCTCGCGGCGCGCTTGCAAAGCAGGTGCCTATGCCACTGAGCTAAATCCCCAGCAAATCCTCCTCTCAAACCTAGCCCTTTCCACTGAAGCAGACTTGGGTTTCACCACTTGCTGGGCTTCTTAATTAAGATGTTCTCATGAGTTCTAATGTGTCCCAAAGTATTCAGAGCTTAATCTTCTTACAGGAACCACTCCCCCAACCATCCTAGGGTCCCCACCTTACCTCCCACAAACTCATCCTCCTGTCAGCAGGGTATCCTGTTAATAACACAAATGTGCCAAGGACCCTAGGGAGAGTTCTACTTAGCCTTTCTGATAAAGATCAAGTAACTAACAAGTCAAAATCAGGTCTCCACCACTGGGCCACCCTAGGTTTTGCTCCGAAGGACTTGTTGCTAGTGTAGGTGGCTCTGCTTCTACGTTACATGTCTTGTTCACGCTGGCTCCTAGCCTGAGGTGCCTTCCATGCCGTGCCATTTGCTGTAACTAATTCCTGCTCTTCCTGAAACACTCAGCCCAGGCAAATCTCTTAGAAGTCACTGAAGATCCAGCTGCCTAAACTGTTCCATGTAATCTCATGATGTATCTCAATAACTGTACTTTTCATATATCTTTTTTTTTTTTTTTTTTGTATCAGGGATCAAACTCACGGCCTCATGTTGCTGGGCAGGCGCTGTGCCACTGAGTTAAATCCTCTGCCCTCATATGGCTTTATAAATAGGCCTATGCTGATGTTTTCCCAACAGGTTATAAAACCATCTGAGGAGTGGACTGTGGCCTATTCGTTTTGCTATCTCCCAGCCCATTGTGCTGCAGGTGGTAACTGCTAGACAAATTTTTTAAAAGTTGTTTTGAATTTGCACATTGAAAATGTTTTTCCTATGCATTAAAGCAAAAGCTGCAGGAGAGAATGCCTAGAATATTATTAATTAAGTTCTCAAAATCTCTCTGTATATTTCTGTTCTTAATAATAACACTGTGACAACTTGAAAAACCTCTCTCCTTTCCAAAGTATTCAAAGCTGTCCTACAGTATTTCAGACTGTAGCCTAAATGTGGTCTCAGAGAAAGTTACTCAGGCTAACTGAGGGGAGACTTTCTCTTATAAGGCTCTGAGGATGAAAACATGGGGATGAACAAGCTTTCACAAGCCATAGGAAGAAAGTCTAATACACATGCTACCTATAAATCCTAACAGTTGAGTCATCTGGTGATCATATCATTTTAAACTCGTTTAAAATGCACTGTGGGCTAGGAAGCAGAGATGGGAAGTTAATGTGAACAGAAACTGACAGTGTCACGCTCCTAAACAAACAAGCAAGCACACAACTAGTGGGCTGAGGGGTGACAAACTCTTAGCCATGGGATCATATGAAATCGAGGCGTTCATATATAGGGCTCTGGAAATAAGAGGGAAGTTTATTATTATTAATTATAGTACAAATGTGGCTTAATAAAGTAGTATGGTGTTCACTGGAAAATACATTTGCGTAATACTAGGGAGTTGCCAGACCCATTAGTAACTGAGAAAGTATTTTCATAGTAATTTAATATTTTGGAGAAGACATAATACATCTTTTTGTTGGACAGATTGGCGAATTCTTTCTTGCTTGCACTATAGTTGGCTGGTCTTTGTAAATACGAAAGAGAAGCATCCATCTATATTCCCACATTATTATGAAGTGTCAGTTGAATTATAGCATAGCTCCTTTACCTCTAAATTTTTCATTTCTTTCATAATCAAAGCACATGAGTGATGAGTGAATGATTATATGTGTGCAAATATTTTATCTCCTCAAAGTAACCAGTAAGATTTTTAAAAATTTTCAAATGGTATTAGGTGATCTTGTCCTTTATAATCTTCATCCCATCCTATAATCTTCCCCAGAGAGGAACTCTGCTGTGAGTAATCTCCATCCTGTCATCCTCCCTGGGGAAGAACTCTGCTATATTCTAGTAATTCACTGTGATTTATAACAAACCAGGGATGTCACTGATTGTGCGTTTGCCAAACCATTTAGGTGACTTTAACAATCATATTAATTTACTCTCTGCACCAGAGGTTTATTAGATTTTTATATTGCATAAGATTTTCTACTTGATTTTGACATGTAGAATTATTTTTAATTTCATAGTAATTAACAAATTTGGAACAAATTTTTGTAATAGAAAAAATGGTGCTTCTGTTCAATAAATGCTTGAAAAATAATAACTATTAGAAACATTAATTCTAAAAAAGTTAGAAAACAGAATTAAGAAATTATATAATAAAATCCCACAGATATAACCAATATATCTAGGTATATTTCCCATACAGACAGTTTTCTATAGATACCTGTAAGAAAAGTGAGACAAAAATGTCATATTTCACTCCTCATCTAACAAATACATTTATAGCATTAAATATCTTTTAATATTTAAAAGGTCATATGGTAAAATATTATATGATTGCATAAGCATTCAAACTGTTCCTGACCCTACCTTAAGTTGATCCTTATTTTTTCTTTATTACAAACCATGCTGTGCAATAAAAATGTTCTATATTTTAATATAGTGACATTAATACCTTTCAAAATTGTGTATTTCATAGTATGTTAATTATACCTCATTATTGAAAATAGAAAGAAAATGTGCTGTAATAGATATATTTATACTTAAATCTTTTGCAAATTAAGAACATTTTCTGAAGATAAACTTTTTGAACTTAGATGGCTAGCTCAAACAATACATTTTCAAAATATTTGACTTTCATCCATCCAGAACTATTTACTCAGTTAACACACAGACCAAGACACTGAACAGTTGTCTTCTAGAATGACAGTCTCATAGCAGATTTCTTCTATTTTCTGAGATTTTGAGTTTGCTCTGTAATTCAGGCTTGCCTTGATTTCACTATGTAGCCAAGGCTGGCCTTAAACTCATGGCAATCCACCTGCCCCAGCTCCCCAAGTAGTGGGATTACAGGCATGCACCACCACATCACAGCAGATTTCTTAATGTGTGTCAATACTATGTTTCAAATTTTTTTTAAAAAATCCTTTCTTTCATAAGTATTTTTCCTGATGCTATAGATTGTTCACATTTTTTAACTCTGCTTCTACCTCATTACCTCCTTTGTTCTCTCCCTCCCTTGGTAAAAATTCTAACTAATTAGAAAAAACTTGCTGAATATTAAGGTTATTAATTGGACCTCACACTTCTAAAGTACCTTTTCAAAGCTTTTCATCTGTCTTTTAAAACTTTGGCCTTAGAAGTTTTAGTAGAACATTTTCATTTTTATATATTGTGATCAAATTTATCATTTTTCATCCTTCATGGTTTTTGTCTTGGGCATCTCCAAAAGAGTAAGATTATGTAATACATATACTGTCTGCCACCTATTTTTCAGAATCCAGGTTCTAATTCATGCAGGTGTATGGGGCACTGCTTTACTCATAGTTTCCTACCTTAGTGAGCAATCCTTTCACTGCTGGTTTGCCCTCAGACTGCAGGAAAAGTGGGTTAGCAGCCTGTACTCGGAGAACGTTCTGCAACACTTTAATCCATTCTTCCAATATATTGGGAGAATCTGCACTCAGGTAGTACGTGTGTTTTTCAGTCATCAGCTAGAATGGGATAAGGAAGCAAACGTGAAGATGTAGGATTATTAACATATACTTCTCCATTCCTCATACATCAATACTTTTTTTTTTTTTTCTTGTACCAGAGATCAAACTCATGACCTCATGCTTGTCAGGCAGACACTTATGCCACTGAGCTAAATCCCTGGCTTCTATATATCAATACTCAACATGAAAGCAAACGTGCTAAACTTTAAATCCTAGGTTCTAAGTAAATGACTCCAAATTCCCATACTTTTTTTTTGTCATTACTTTGGTCAATTACCTTTATCACAAGCATTTCACATGAAACTATTTCAAAGTGTTGATTTAACCAGGATCATCTCTTTGGTTGGTAAATAAATAAATATATTTATGCTAAAAAATAATTTACTTTTTGAAAATTATAATTCAATTTTTGTTGAAACAATTTTTTTACTTTGGTTTAACATTTTTTATATATTACATTTTGGGGTCATGATTTTGTATCTTCGTTCATCATGTTTTCATTTTGCTACAAGGTCCCTGGCTAAAATGAAGGACAGAATGACAAGGCTATAAAAGTACAATTTTAACAGCCAAAATGGAGTGAATGTAAGCAAAATGAGAAGACCATGCACATGAGCACAAGAAGAGAGATTATTTTTGAAACTAACAGAGAGATCAGGTATTATAAACTCATACTTTTTCAGTATGTGCAAATTGAACACAAGCAAATTATCCAAATGTTTCAGAAGCTTACAAATGATTCTTAACAGCAATGCCCCAAGACAAAGCTTTCCCTGATTCACCCTTCTAAATCCTTGCAAATTTCTTTGTCCACTGGGAACATTGATAATGTACCTTTCAGGAAAGTGGTGTCTTCCACCCTCCAAAGGAGCAAGATAAGAAAATACAAGTTATTGCAAGCATTTCAGAAATAAAGTATTTGAATTTAAATTGCATATACCACGCTATCTTAATACCCTTATTTTTAATTTAATGGGTTTTGGGCAAGATGGCCCTGCTGTGTGGATCAAATGGCCAATGGCTCTTTCTCTGGTAAGATTTGGCAGAATGGTCTTGCTACTACCAACAGCTTTCCCATTTGGATACAATAACCCCAAGGCTCAAGGATAAAAAATAAAAACACACCTAATGTGTTATTACTAACACATGGTATTACAATGTTACTTGGGATTTATTTATCAGACAATTCTTCCCTAAAATAGGTTGACATTTTGAGAACTGAAAATACCTACAAGATTAAATATGAGAAAAGAAGGTCATAAAGGAAGAAAAAGTAAAGAAAGTTACAGTACAAACTACTCAACATAAACTTTATAGTTTTAACTAAAACATAAGCTTAAATTACAGTTTTAACTGAAAAGCCATAGAGTATTATACACCTTTAAATATCAGACTGACTCTACATTGAATCAAGAAAACATTGAATCATCCAGTCTCCATTCTAGTAGTTTGAATAACTGATGATTGAGTTTTGCATAAGTAAATAAATGTACATATGTACCTGAACTGTTTGTTTGTTATCTCCTCTTACAATACTGCAGGATGCACTAAGTTCAATATGGCCCTGGGGTTTTCTAATTACATCACTCTGTACAAAAAGAAGAAAGCCAAATGTAAAAGGAATAACTGTAATAGTAATACTAAGAGATATTTTATATCATTAACTCATTTATGCCAAAGATTATAATCTTTTGAATTTTTGCATGAAATACATATATGTTACCTAGAAAAATTCAAGGAACAAGTGTTTGAAGAAAGAATGTTAGGGGTGTCCAAAAAATGGAACACTAGTCATTGAAGAATTAATTATATTACAGGGAAGTATATCAGTCAGGAGTCTGATTTATAGTTTGAGGAATTTGGTTCTAAACAGCAAATACGTTTGACTCACCGGAGATTTGTAGTAAAGTAATTCACCTCCTTTCAGAACAAACCACCTCCGCTTCCAAGTCTTGACTTTACCGCTCATTTTTAGTAGATAGCCAGATTTTTCCAGTGGTTCCTAATTTAAAAAAAAAAATTAAAGTTTCTTTCCCAGGCTCAAACTAATTGATTCACTAATTTTTAGAAGTCTGACTCAGTGTTTACATTTTTCCCATTCTCACTGGACGATGAACAGGTTTTGGGGAGCTTCTGCTCGGGCTGTGCACACTCTGTGTCCGTGGAGTAGGCGTCCGGAGGGATAGCGTAGTCATTCTCGGAAGCCACAGAGGTCAGAGACACACCTAGAGACACAAAGAAATAAATTAAGGTGGCTTTTAATCCTGGCATGATCCAAACAGCGGCTGTTAGTTCTAAGAAATGCAACTATTTCTAACCCATAAACTACTCTAGACTAGATTTATTATCATTCCTTGAGCCACAAAATGCTTTTTTTTTTTTGGTCACGGGGGATTGAACTTATGACCTCGTGCTTGCAAAGCATGTACTTTGCAGCTAAGCTAAATCCCTGGCCCTTACAAAACCGCTTTTAAGGCAAAAGACAGAACTAAGAGATAGAGACTATCATGTAAATATCCAAGTCAAAGGAGCATAAATAATAATTTGGCTTCATTGCAACCACAGCTACTGTTACATATTTAAAATACATGCAATAGACTACTAAGGTAGTTTTAGTTAAGTATTAAAATAGATATTTACATCTTGATTCATAAACAAACACATTGAACCTTAAAGATTTTCATAATCACATTTTAAACCTCTTAACTTCTGTAATTACTTTTAAAGTAACCACATTAAAAATGATTTTTTCTATATTTTATATGTCAAACTACTAATTTACAAATTTTTAAAATCTTTCATAAAACAGAAGCAGAAATAAGACTTTCATTTTCCAGTAGCTATAAACTAAAATTCAATGGAATATTTTCACAATAATTCAGTTTGCCTTAATAAAAAATTACTGCTGAGTTGTATGACACATTTATAGGGTGTCTATAATTGGAGATTTTGAAATAATAAAATCAAGGACCTAATGTCATTATTTATCATAGTATCCAGCAATCATTTAATGTTTATTAGCATTTAAAAGACAAATTAGAATAATGACACTTGTGACACTACCCTTATTTAAATCAGGCAAAGTAACAATTGTGGTATCTTTATTTTTCATGTAAGAACAGAAATTAGGGAACTCATAGCTTATCCTGGCTAATGCCCTCATACTCTAAGCTTGGAGGCCAAGGCCCAGATACAAAGACTTGTGCAAAGTAAAATAGCCAGGCAGAGGCAATGTTGGGAGGCAAATCTCAGCTCCCAATCCTGGGCCAGTGTGCCAGGCACTGTCCTTGGTGCTAGGGATAGAGAGGCCACAAAACAAACATTTCAGCCCTCACGGAACATGGATTCTAGTGGAGGGAGACAGATAAAACATTTAACTGAACCGCGATGGAAAATACAACACACAAGCAGCCGATGTAACCAGAAAGAGCCAGCATGGAAGGCCAAGAACTACACCATGGATGGTGTGGCCACGGTGGGTCCACGGAGGAAGCAGTATTTGAACAAAATCCTGAAAGAAGTAAGCGAGTCAGCTCCATAGACACCTGGGGGAAGAATATTAAGTGGAGGAAACAAGTGCAAAGGTCCTGCTATAAAAGTATGCCTGGTGTGTCTTCTTGAACAACAAAAGAGCCAGAACACTAGAGCTGAAAAAGAGAAGCGTAAGGGAGAGATGAGGTGATACATAAAGGCATGCTGCAAAGCCCCATAGGGACTGTGAGGAGCGGCTGTGGTGCAATACCCTCAGCAAAAACTGACAAACCCTGATTCTGCCTAGGGGGCACAAAACAAGGCAATGAGCAGAAACCTAAAATACTAAACCAAGGAAGGCTTAGCAGCTCCAGTTCAAGCTGAGGGGTTTAAAAGTACCCACGAGTCCACAGAGCACAGTTTGAAAACAAGGACACACAAAATAAGCATCAAAGGCTTTCTGTTGAGTCATTTGGTGGAATTCTCTCTCTCAGTAACCTCTTCCTATGTACTACACTCCTTCAAAAGCCACTAATAACCATGGATGTGCTTCAAGTAAAATACCGGATGATTCCCAGTTTAGTATCAGATTAACCAACACATGTTTAGATGTGCTTTCTGACATTTAGTAATACAAATATTTAACTGAAATAAATCTATCCCACGAATTACCTAAAGTTCCACAAGGTAACTATAAAAAAAAGAAAACCTCAGTTTGGCCAAAGATTTCTCCTTTTTTCCACAATAAAGTGCTCTCCTACAGACAAGATAGGGTAATAAAAATTTTTAAGAATATGTGGTTTGGTGTTGTAGAGAATTAAGAAAAAAAAAACACAGTATCTCAGGGTTAGGCTAAAGGTATCATTGAACACGATTTTAAGCAAATACTTTCACATTATTTTTTAAAAATCCTGTTAGGAGTTAAAGCTCCGAGCGAATGCTCTGGGGACGTGGGTGGCCTGCGCAGGGGGCTCACCTCGCTTCAGGGGCCTGGGGCTGCCGGGCCCACTGCGGCGGCGTGGCTCCAACTCCGAGGTCTGCAAACTGCACCTGGAGCCGTCCTCCTCCTCCGAGGAGTCATCATCTTGGAAAGCGTTGCTACTTATTTGGGTCGCCTTCTAAAGAAAAGCAGAGCAGCCTTTTTATACACCTCTAAACTTCTCTTTTTAGATTTCTGATGTTTTACAGAAAGAGGTCACAGAGTATGATTTTTTGGAAGGAACACAAAAACATATTTTACCATTGTGAAGTCTTCTTGTCAAATCCCAATTCTAATTAGCAAGGCAGTGGTCAATTAGAAAATATTTCTGAACACGAGACTGTCAATATCTGACCCGACTCATTTAATTAGGTACTGCTGGCAAGGAAGAGGACCCTGGCACTGATGCAGACCTTTATAAATTTGGAGTTTCCATTACATCATTAATAATGTTTCCTTTCAACATTTAACAGCCTGGGTCGGGGGGTGAGCAGGAGTCACATGGGAATGGATATTTCCCTTTAATGCTCTGAGAATAACAACTGTGTTCTCCAGAGCTTCCCAGTTTTTCTTTCTTATATGTTAACATGGTCTTCTCAAACTTTCTACAAAGGAAAACTTGGGTCAAACGTTAAGGATGGAATCTGGAGCCTGAAGAAACAGTTTTCTGATGCATGATGAAGAGAACCACATGTTGTTAACTATTGATGAGTTACCCCTTTTAATGTTGTGTACACTGGGGTTGTCAAATTCTTGTAGATCAGAGACGTATAAAGTCCAGATGTGCTATTGGAAAGCATGGTAGCAGAATCTGAAACAGAAAACAACATTTAAAAAAAAACCTAACTAGCACATTGCCTATTTCTTATGAATATAAACTAGCATGACTGTCAGTTAAAGAGAAATTGATCTAACACATGTGACTACTAATTACGCAGTCTGCTTTATGAACTACAGCACTTCCAGGTTTACACATGGACTTTCTTTCATGGTTCATTACTTTCTCGTATGTGCTGGTTCCCAGTTAGGCTATAAGCTCCTTGAGAGTAAGAACCACAGCTTTGATTTCTTCAGCCTATCCACGCACATTTAGCTGAGGCTGCACAGAAGTAAACATAGCTACCAACTGAGTGGCTCAGGGAGCTGCACCTATGCAGATGCTAACCGTTCACAGCCCTGTTCCTGACATCCTATTAAAACACTGTCATGATTCTTAATCTTTATCAAGTGACTCTGAAGCTGAAAGATTAAAATATAATTTCCTGAATGGTAAGAACAGACAAAAACTGAAAAGGAAGAGAATACCAAAAGCTACCTCATCAAGATATGGATGAGGGCTAGGATAGGGACCCTAGGAAAAGCTCTCTCTTAATTCCAGTTTTATGTTGTTAGGTTTTATTTTTATAGTGCTAGAAAGAAAGAAAAGGATATAGAAGTCATTATTTTCCTACAGTTTTAAACAGCTAAAATGCCAGTTTCTCTATATTTTCCTCTTTAAGGTAAAAATTTAGTGAGGTACTATCTGTATCAGAGTTAAATGTGTTTGTGCCTCCCTACTAAGATTAATTTCAATTTTAAAACATAAATCAGTAGCCTTAGAAAAAAGTTCCTGAAAGTTTATATAATTAGATTTATTTCAACGAATTTAGACATTTGGGGAGTTCTTGGCTAGTTGAAACAGCAATACAAAATCATGTATATTTTACACATTTTTTTTTTTTTTGTCTTTTTCCTTTTTACCGGTACCGGGGATCAAACTCACAACTGCCTGCTTGCAAGGCAGGCACTTATGCCGCTGAGCTAAATCCCCAGCCCCTATTTTACACATTTTTTTATTGTAAAAACAATGCATAGAAGAGAATTCACCATCTTAAACATGTTAAAGGGTACAATTCAATAGCTTTAAGTATATTTACATTGTTATAAAGCAAATCTCTAGAGCTTTCTCACCTTGTAAACCTGAAACCCCCCCTTTTGCCCTCCCCAGCCCAGGTAACTACCATTCTACATACTATATCTGTGAATTTGACTACTTCTGCTGCCTCAGTCAGGTAGAATCACACAGTATTTGCCTTTCGGGACAATATTTTCTGTTTGTCTTATATTATCACTTGGCATAATATCCTCAAGTCTGACCTACATCACAACATGCAAAAGAACTTACTTTTATTAACATTCTCCATGTTGCAGGCCTCAGACATTCGAATGCCTGATTTGGCTACAGCATAAATTCTGCTTTCCTAATGTAAAAGAGAGATTTGAAGAGGGTACTTAAAATAATTATTACTTTCAATACATATGTTTTTATTGGTACTTCATTTACTATTCCTAGAGCAAAGCATTATTATAAATCAAACACATACTTGTGAATAGTACTGTAGATATTTTTCCCATCCATTAGTCATTCCATTATTTATCTTTGCCCCCAAATTTTGAATTCTTTTGAAGACAAAGGGAACAAGTACAAGAAAACTTATTCATAAAGCCGAATTCATCTTTAATTTTCTACCATTTTAGCATGTGGTTAAGAAAAAGTTTGAATGACTGTAATAGGAAGTCAGAAAGTATTCATGATCACTGAATACCAATAAATGCCTTCTTTAATGCTTTACCATTCTGGAACACGGTTAAGGAAAAAAACCACCAAAGTCAAAAATCATAGAATGGCACTAGGTGCTGTCCCCTTCCTATTTCAACATACACTCCAATCAAGTAGAAGAGTACTCAGGGTCAAATAATAAATGATCTGGAAAACTGGCTAGAATTGTATAATATTGTCTGGTTCAGAAGTACGTTATTTTGTTTCCTCCTCTGTTCTGAGAGAGATCTCTGAAATGAGTACTAAAAGGCTATTAGCCCTGACGCTACCCCGTGAGAAAAGGGACCCCCAGGTGGTTCCATAGATCATGGTGTCCTGCACTTTGCAATGGGTCTAACGTGGGCACACTTGGCTGGACCAGGGCAATGCCATCCTCCTTCAGGCTAGTCAGTGGCCCGGGAGGTAAATGGCATAAGATAATCTCAGAGGCACTTTCGACTGAAGAGTAGCTGACTGAATTAGATGCAATTTCTCTAAGCAAGTAGCTACGAGATACACACACAGAGAGACTAACAGCAGAGTGCGCTGACCACAAAGACCAAAGAAGTAGGGCAGTAAGGAGGTGTGAGGCAGTCAGAGCCCAGGACAGAGTGGGAGAGAGAAAATAAACAGAAAACAAGTAGAGAGAGAATCACTGCAAATGAGAGAGCAGCTGGCCCTCCAGCAGGGGCGATGGGTGTCACTGATCTCTAGGCTGATGGCCAGGCGTGCTGGTGAATCATAGGCTGTCTCACTATAGTCACTATTGTATTTCAATTTCAAGAGGAGAGGGTATGTCTTAAAATAAATATTTATTAGTTGAGGTAACTAAAATGCATCTTTTCCTTGGAACCTGAAAATAACTCACAAACACAGAAATAAAACCTCAAATTTGGCCTGTGTGCTGGAAGGCTTATGAAAAATAATGCTCCTTTTTCAGGTCCGAATTGCTTCAGAAGAAGAAAAGAGAGAAAGGCAAAAAAAAAAAAAAAAAAAGTAGTAAAATAGTTTGCCAATTAAAACAAACTTGAAAGACTAACTTAAGTCTCTGAAAATTTCAACATAGTAAAAAATGCAACATTTCAATTTCTTATTGCCTGAAGCTTAACATAACTGAAATTCCAAAGATTCACATGCAATTAATTTCTACTTTTTTTGAGCCATTCAGAACTTAGTAATAAACTACATGCAGTTTCAGCTAGCTACTGAAATGAAATCTTCTCTTGAAAACAAACAAAAGCAGATACACCTTAAGGTCTGAATTTATATTAGAAAATTATGGCTTCTCTAGTTCACTGAAAATTAGAGCAGTTATTAAGTTTTGGGCTAATAATTGGGCTGAGGATTTAGCTCAGTGGCATAAGCACCTGCCTTGCAAGCACACAGTTGTGAGTTCTATCCCCGGCACCAGTTAAAAAAAAAAAATCCCTGCCTAAAATAATAATAAAAGAATATGACCCTAAAAGAAAAAAAAAATCCTACAATTCAGATGTTCCTCTGGACACCAAGGGTTAAATTATTGCAATATATGAAGGAAAACCTAAACCTATAAACCTTGCCATTCACTTTGTTTCAAACATTGGAAGAATTTTTTTTAATCTAGCAATATGGACACTCCTAAGAAGTATCACCCATTTGGTAAGTTAATTGTTGTAGTGATGGTCAGTGTTTCCATAGAATAAGTTTTTCATCTATTTTAGATCTGTAGGAAGACACTTTTGTTAAAGCAATGAATATATAAATTCAAGAGGAAGAAAATAAAACTTCCCTTGACCCAATTAAGAAACTGATTGAGTTTAAAAAAAAAAAAAAAAAAACAACAAGACCAGTAAGAATTAAGGGTCCTGGTTCGGAATCACACAAAAGCATCATGGTGGGAAGGGACTTTTCTTTGCCATGCACCGATGTTCCTTCCTGTGGAAGGACAGTGTTGAAGCACTCCTGACCTCTTCGCTCATTCACTTCGTCCTCCACAGCACACACAGCCCAGCACTTTCTTCTCTCATTGCCCACAGAAAAAAGCATCTGTGTCTCCAGGTTGTAAGTATAAGAGGGGCACCATCTTTCTAGGATGTTCCACGGCTGCCTGGGTCTGGGGGAATAATTCTAGCTAATTTCAAAGTTCAGTGTTAGAAAGTCTGCATGCTCATCAATTCTCTAAAACTCAGTTTCATTAGTAAATAAGGTAATATCTTGATTTCTATTGTCTTCTCAATTGACTTACAACTCAGTGAGGAACAAGAAGGGGCAACTGTACTCAGGAATCTGGAAACTGTCAGAACAAAACTGGATTTGGAAAGAAATCAGGAAAAGAAGTAAAACCTAAAAGTGAACGTTGAGAAAGAATCGCCATGGAGGTGTCCCACACAGGAATATAATTACCCAAGAGGGAAACCGGTGCAGAGGCGGAGTGGGGGGCTTGCTGGCTGCTGCCTTCTTTGCTGAGTCACCGGGTTCCTGGTCATCTGCATATGGAGATTCCAGGGAGACGCAGGAAAATAATCCATCATCACAACTCGTGTCCATATTCTCTAAAACTTCACCATCGCAGTCAATGAGATCTAGATCTGTTTCCTGAGGTTTCAGGGGTCGGATCATGCTAATAGCGTTTCTATTTGTACCAAACATCCTGTCAGAACTTAACTGTGGCTGGCTTAAGTGCCTTTTGGCAAGCGCTACACTCTTACTGAAAGCATTAGGAATCCTTAACCTTGGGGGTGGCAGGTGGGCCGAAGGTGCTAAGGGCGTTCTTTTTCCAGGGAGCAAGTTAGGGTGCTTTGGTACTAAAGCAGGAGACAAAATAGGACTTGGAGTGTTGGCCTCACTAGATGAGGATGAATAATCCAGTCTCTGGGATTGAAACCTTTTACTTAGTTCTTCTGAGGAACAGTCTTGCTCCTTCTTATTCAATTCAGAGCTTCCTTTGCCAAGACTATTCTGAGCTTTCCATTGGGCCTCCAGTTGCCAAGAATACAGCTTCTTGTGTTCTGGTCTCTTTATGCCAAAAGTCTCTTCCTCAAATATGGAGCTGCTGTCATCGGAGGCTGTCAGATAGGCTTCGCTGCCCCGCCTGCCGCCGTGGGCACCTTCCTCCGAGGTGTGGCTGGAGAGGGTGGACGTGCACCTGGACTTAGGTCTTTCTTTGCTCCCATCTTCCTCGTCGGAGCTCCAGTCACTCGCTGGAGCCACAGAATTCTGGGACGTGCCACCGTCTGTTGCACAGCTGGTTCTCGTTTTCCGCTTTTGTTCTGAGCTGCAACAGGTCTGCGGCAGTGTTCTTGGGCCTCTATCATTTTCTTGAACTTGGTTGTCAGCAAACTTCTCTGGAATTTCTATTTTTAGAAAACAATACACTATTTTAACATATTGGCTTTAAACATAAAATCTCTTATTTTTATGAATACACTGTAAAACTTTCAATTTTATTCAAATAAGATACATTACTCTTTGTTGTATGTTTTTTTAAAACATAAGTTTGAATATTTTAAGCTTTATATAAAACACAGAGCAGTAACACTTCCATATAATTGCATCAATAAAAAAGTTTTTAACAAAGAAATATGTTGCAGAACAAAATGGCTAAGAAAAGAAGCAAAATGTCAAACAGGGCAACTTTTTTCAGAAGCAGCCGACCTGGGCATCGTAGGGCATGTCTGTAATCTCAGCACTTGCAAGGCCGAGGCAGGAAGACTACCATGAGTTCCAGGCCAGCTGGGCTACATAGTGAGTTCAAGGCCAGACTGAATTACACAGTAAGACGGTCTTAAAAAAACAAATAAGACAAAAACAAAGCCACACCAAAAAATCAAAACACCATTATTTCAGTTTTAGAAACAAAAAAACACACAACCCTTTTTCCACTGAATTTCAAAATTATGATAAAATAGAATAATAAGCAAAAAGCTATGGTTTAAGAAACAAACTTTGTGCCCAAGCCTCAACACGTGAGGCATACAAACCCATAAAGAAAACAGAAACAGAAAAAAGCCTCCCTTGTTCTACTATTTTTTCCATATAATTGCATCAATAATTGCACTGTAGCTACAAAATATATTGTTACAGTGACACTTTAAAGATCTGGCTTATTTATATTTATAACATAGTAGAATGCAGCACTGACAGCCTAAATTCCTAAACAGTGAATTAAACTCTAAAGAATAGAAAAGGAATTCTGAAAGCAAGTTTGACCTTTATAACTGAGGAGTGAGCAACTGAACAAACACATTCCAAAATTTCATTATCAGGCAGTTTGTTAAATTTTCAAGTGAGCCAAAGCTTTGGCGCAAGCAACTTTATCTGTGTTCAACTATTAGTGGGAGAAGATGAAAATGACTTCTTGAAAAGAAAGTTAGGGGGCTGGGGATTTAGCTCAGCGGCATAAGCGCCTGCCTTGCAAGCAGGCAGTCGTGAGTTCGATCCCTGGTACCGATAAAAAAGAAAAAGACAAAAAAAAAAAAAATTAAAAAAAAAAAAAAAAAAAAAAAAAGAAAGTTCAAGTGATGGCAAGAAAGTGAATGGCAAAGCAACTTTCTGATGTCATTCTTAGAATGTCATAAGCAACCATAAAGAAAACTTAGAGCTCTAATGTTTCTACTCTGCAGGAAGAAAACTGGAAATGAAAGTAGGTAATTTCTAAACTCAGGTCTCTTTTGTTGGAAAAAGCCAACAAAAAAGATTGTACTCCAAGTGCAAAAACCAGCAGCTTCCCAGTAAGCAAAATTTAGAGGAGGCTGTAAAACTCAAAGAAAAAGAGTAGAAATCTGCACACGGGACCAGGGCTTAAACCTTTAGCAAATATTTACCTCTTTAAAGCAATAAAGAAAGGAAATTAAAACAATTACTAAATTATTTCCTGGTGTTAATTTCTTCATAAGTTTGCTAGAAAAGACTTAACTTCATGTTTACTATTATTTTAAAATTCTCAAGAACTAATGAATAAGAATGCATAGTTCTAATCTGAAACTCAGCTAAAATAAATCTATAATTGCAAATTTAAAAATTTCAACTATTCACTTGCTGTGGGAAAAAATTTTAAGATGGAAAATCAGTTTCTTCTTTGCATCATTGGCAAAAACCCTCAGAAGACACAAAATGACTAGATACACAATGTTCAAAATAACTAGATATTTCTCTTTAGATACATTCTCATAAAGCATCTATTGTCAGGAAAAAATTAAGCTATATTTGGATTAATGTTAGCAAGTAATTTTTCCTTTTTAAAAGATGCCAAAGTTAATTGATATGGTCCGTAAGTACCTTCTATGTTTTTTTCTTTTGTGAATTCAGCTTCTTTAGATGACAGCTTGCTTGTTTCCTCGTATTTTACAATTTGAGGAGGACTCCTTGCTCGAGACAAAAAGCACCCAAATGTCAAACTGCTCAGACGCTGCCCTTCAGAAAGCTTCGGTGTAGCGACAGCAGATAACTTCTTCTCTTGAACTTCTGCAAGGTCATTAATCAAAATTAAGATTTCATTGTTTTATAGCAACTTGTTAAATATAGAACCAAAGTATATAATAATGTGAACAAATCACTGTATCAGAACAATGTCTGAAGTTCATCTTTATATATAGTAACATGGAAGTTTCAGTACTGAGCATCAGAGGTCTATGCTTAAAATCTGTCTTACACACCATATGCCTGTAATCCCAGTACTTGGGAGGCTGAAGGCTGTGAGTTCGAGGCCAGCCTGGGCTACAAAGTGAGTTGAAGGTCAGTCTGACCTGCCCAGTGAGACCCTGTCTCAAAAAGAAAAAAACAATCTCAAGTAGTAGTTCTCAAACAAAAACAAAAGTACAAAACTACAATCATGTTATAAATAACTAGAGAGTTTCAGCTTCTTAAAAAGTCAGGTGTTGGTAAATACCAACTAAGCGCTGATTGAAATTAGTGTGGAAACACCAAGTGTGAGGAAAAAGAGCCTTTGAGACTAGTTAGTAAAAGAACCAAAGGAAACCTGGATCACCATTGGGTGTCACATGACCCCTCTGATGGCTTTGCTTATCCTCCTTTTCAGTAATGAGAAAAAAGGCAGATGGAGGGATTTTGTGTTTGGTGACCACAATATAGAGAACCTTAATCACTTCTTTAGGAAAGGGAGTGGGAGAGACAGAATTTAGATAGCTAATATTGGGCCAGCACCTAATTCATGAATTTAATTTTCCACCCAGTAACAAAAGTTTCCAAGGAAATTTTTAACTCTGAGAGAGCACCAAAGGGTTAAGCAGCAACTGATAATTAAGAACATAGATGTAGAGTTAAAATATTCAGAAAAGGGGCTGGAGATTTAGCTCAGCGGCATAAGTGCCTGCCTTGCAAGCAGACAGTCATGAGTTCAATCCCCGGTACCGATAAAAAGGAAAGAGACAAAAAAAAAAAAAAAAAATCAGAAAAAAAGATGGTATGTTTACTGTATCTGTTCTTATTATTTACTAAACAATACAGTATTATAAATATTTACATTGTATCAGGTATTATAAGTAATCTAGAGATGATTTAAAGTCATAGGCAGATGTATGTAAGTTGTATGCCACTTATATCCAAGGGACTTGATAATGGTATATTTTTTTTTTTTGAGAGAGGGTCTCATTATGTAATCCAGGCTGGCCTCAAACTCCCTGCAAGCCTTCTGCCTAAGTGTCCTGAGTGCTCCGAGTACAGGTGTGCATCACCACATTCGGTTATCTAAGGACTGCATCCCAAGATTCTGGTCTCCACCTGGGCCCTGGCACCAATGAATACTGAGAAACAAATGCAAGTGCATATATTTTTTAAAGTGCTACCTTATATCATACATATATTCTAGTCCAAATGTAGTTTCCAAAGATCAATACCTTTTAGTCTATAAAACCTAAAAGGCTGCCAATGGAGACCAGAATTGCAAGCCAAAAATACCAAAGAATATAAAAATCTATTTTAAGAGTTGACTCAGTACATTCAGCCTATTTCAATGAGGGTTAATGTCACAAGCCCTGAAACTTTAATTCTAAATACAGAACTCAGATCAACTATGGAGCATCTATTTTTCATCATACAGTGGAGAACAGGACAGCAAGCATTAATATGCAGTAGATAAAATGTTCTATAATCAACAATTATATATACTCCTACATGGAATCAGGAAAGCACTATAGCCACAAGTTTACTAATGTAAAAAAAAGTGTTCCAAAGATAAACAGTTAATAAGTAGTATGGCATTAAAGCTGGCTTCAAAGTCCATGTTATTCCAACCATCTCAGGATTTTCCCAATGCATCTAGGGAGATCTTCAGAGCTTTGTGAAAGTGTTCCAAAGGGAACATGAGGCATAACTAAAGCCAAGTGTGCTAAAGTCTGGACCTCTCACCCAACACTGCTTTAGTACCTATCTTAATTTATTCACATTCTTTAGAAAAAATGTAAAGGGTTTTGTTGCTAAATGAAATTTGAATTTGAATGCCTCTTTACTGGGTTATGTGTCCAATAAGCATAAGTAATACATACATCTTCCTCGATTTAATTTAGTGTACTCTTCAATTCAATTCAGTGTACACTTAAGTGACTATCACTAGAACAGGTACTAAAAACATCGCTATCAAAGTATGGGTTGCTACTTATCCTTAGACTTTGAAGTTAGATAGGAAAGGAAGAAATCTTAATGCACTGGAAAATGCAAAGAATTTATTCATATCATAAAATTATGCTCAAAATAGTTAGGCTGTAGGAATTTAAATTACTGTCAAAAGCTATGATAGAAAGCAAAAGTTGAAAATAACATACCTGATTTCTTTTAAAAGCAAATACACCTGAAGCTAAACATTCAAATTAATATTTCTCTTTTCAGGTTATTCACTGATATCCAGCTCTGCTGTCTAATATGGCCGCTAGCAGCATATGACTATTTAACTTTCAATCAATTCAAGTTAGGTAAAAATTAAAATCTAGTTCTTCAGTTGTACTAGTTATATTTCAAGTGCTTTATATTCACTTATGACTAGTGACCATCATTGGATAGCACAAGTGTAGAATATTTCCTTCAATGCAGAAAGTTCTATTAAAAAGTATTGATTTTTAATTTGAAGACTAAACATTAAGTTTAACAATATTACCAATTTTTACATTTTGAAAATCGACCCCAGAGCTTGTAAAATATTCTAGTGAATTAAGCATGACAATTATTCCTCTGGATTTCAGATTTGTAAGTAGTCAAAAGTTATAAAGAATTGTGGATTTAAGAGTTACCAGACTACTATTAAAATATCTGCTTTTCAACACAACAAAAAAATCACTTTTTTTATTTTTTAAATTTTTTTGAGACAGGGTCTTATTACGTAGTTCAGGCTGGCCTTGAACTCACTATCATTGCTTAGTCTCCCAGTCATCCTTCTCAATCTGGAAATACAGGCACGTGCCACCATGCCCAGCAGTGTCTATTTAAATAGGTCAAGCTACCTCTTGATAGTCTGTAATTATTAATGAGTTATCAGTGGATAATCCCACTCAGCACAAAACCCAAACTAGAAAAAGATTTGAATTGGTGATTCACAAATGACCTGAGTTGTAACATTTGACAACTAACTATCAGCTCAGTCCTAGTAACACAGAAATATTCCATAGTCACACTCAGAAAATGCCAAGTTCAGTAACATGGTCAGAGCATGTGAAGTCAAGGAGCTTTCTCCAAAGTCCTCAATGCAGCTACAATTATATGTGGTCCCTACTTAAAGGATTCTATTCTCTTTCTGAAGCTCCCTGGTCTATTCTCTTTCTGCAGCCAAAGTTCAAACCTCCTTAGATTTTTGATATACCTACTTTAAAGACTTCTAAGCTAATACCTGGCTTAATAAGGCCTCTGTAATCTTTCAAGAAAACAGGAAGATGTAGCACTATATTGCTGGAAAAGACCAACATGGCATCAACAATAGAGATTGGTACCCACTGCCCATGATCTCTAGCCTGCTGGGATAACAGCAATATATAGCATTTTTCAAAAATTGGGCTCCAGGACTTAGCATGGTTCTAAAAAAATGGGACCAATGGAATGTCTTCTAGAACAGAGAGAGGCAAAGTGAGTATCTGGTCATGGTTTTCTGATTTATGTAACAGCCAACTCGGTAAACCTGTGCATCACTAGTCCTACCTCTTTTTGTCTTCCTCTTTCAGGCCCAACATTGACTTGAGTGCAGGATTCTGGTTTGTTTAGATATTCTCTTTTATTTGATGGCAATCATTTCTTACATGAAGTTCATAATTAAGTCTTTAAAACACCAAAAAAAAGATTGTAAAGCCCTATACAGTCAAATAGATCCAAATTAAGCTATCTTAACAAAATTTGTACCTTGTAGTTTTGACTGTATTGCTCTTATCTCTTCATTTTGCTTTTGGTTGATCAAACGAAGATTCTGATTGTCCAATTCTAGCTAAAAGAACACAGTGATTTTCTTTTATACAAGGATAACATTCTAACGTATACTAATTATAATAGTTGCAAAATGTTAATATCTCATTATTCTATAAGCAAGTAAAATACTAAAAATGACAAGCAACTAGATGAATTTAGCAGCATAAGCTATGAACCTAAATAGTCATGGCATTAATACTTTTCCAGAATTTTAAATGTTTTCACCCCATGCTTTCCTCACTGTGAAAGTATTTTAGACCAAAGTATTTCAGCATTTAATTTTCACTTCTTAAATACTGAGCACATTAATTTTATGATCTATACATGCATGCTCTATAATCATGTAGTTAACTAGTTAGAACTAAAACTAATTAATTCGAATGAGACATTTACACTGATCATTATGAGTCTATCATGGTTTTTATTTTAGAAATATAATGAATATTAAAATAAAAGCCACCTATCCCAAGTTTACAAACACAGAGCTACACCACACACCAGTCAGAATTTTTTGTCTCACTCAGCATTATCATATATTTTGATGATTTATCTATTCAAAAGAAGTTAAAAAAAAGAAAAGGAAAAATATATAAAAATAAATACCTCATTTAATTTTATTGTTACCCATTCTTTGATTTTAGCTGCTTTCTCTTCTATTATTTTAGCTTCTTGTATTCTTATTTGTTTCTGAAATAACATCAGCAGTTTGTTTAATTCAAACATTACCTCAGTGATCTAGAAATTTTATATCCTAAAAATGCAACGTAAATCTATTTAAAACCTATTTTCAAGTTAACACATCTGCTTTCAGATTACAAAACAGATTTTTAATAGGGAAAAATTATCAAGCAAAAACAATAGTAAACCAAAGAAAGGCACACGCAAGTATCGGTAGTTTATCAACAACTCTTCTCTTTCTCTGAACAATCATACACTAAAATCAAACCACTGGTTATATCAACAAACCACTTCTGAAACAGTAGAGTAGGGTCAACCAGATTAGGGAGAAAAGAATAAGAATGACTCAGGAACATAGCTTTTTCTCTTTCAAACAGTAGTTCTAAAAAATGCAGCAAACATCAGCATTGACAAACTTTAGCTCTATTTATCAACCTTAAAATCTGATTATGGTCACAGGGCCTTTTTTGGAAAATGAATAACGTATATTTAGCCAAATATCAGCGTGGTGATATTGAAATGATATTAACTATTTAAGAACTATCATGTAATTTTTGTAATGAAATTTAAAATTAAACATTCTACTGGATCTCAATAAAGTGGTATAAAACAATGAACATGATCTAAGCAGAAAGATTTATGTCGAATATAAATATCCTAGAAACATTTCCAATATAAAGCAAAGATTGGTTGCAAACATTCTGCAGACCAAAATGGCTGCTGATCAGCTAAATTAGGAATACAGGAATAGAGAACTAAATTAGGGGTGGAGGCTGCCTAGATGATGACCCCCTCATAGCTTGAGCAATGAAAAGTACAGCGACACTTACTCTTACCTTTATTTCCCCAGGACTGAGTGAATGAACACGCGTGAACATGCTGGGCAGGTGCCTGGCCACATTAGGACTCTTTGGACTGGTGATTACCAGTCATCTAAGAAATAACTTACAATCTGTTTCACATCTGTTTTCTTTGCCTTTTGACTTTCATACAGCGAAATAAAAGAGACATTTGCAAAAATAAATAATAAATAAATTCTCAAGTTTAAATATTAAGAAGCAGTGTCTCAGCTGACAAGTGTCACATTGCCTGAAACCACCCGAGACTTACAGTGAGTCCCATTTTACAGGCACCTCTCACTAACACATGTGATGAGACCCAATCAGTTGACTGGATAAGTAAATTTCTCCTCCACATTGAGGAGTTGAGGCTCTGTCTTTTTAATCTTTGTGATTATGAACAAATGGGTGCACACATTTGGAAGACTTTGATGATTAAATATTTCCTAACCTGCTCTTCCAGCTGCAGTTCCAAGTTCTGAATGATGTCATCTTTTTCCTGTATTAGAGATTCCAGATCTTGACACTTTTTATAGAGCCTTGTTTCTGATTCACTGGTTTGAATGTTGGCTGTTTTTAATTTCTCTTCCATAACCTGTACCTAAATTCAGAGGACAAAATATTAAATTGTGCCTATACTTACCATATTATTAAGCTTAGAACTTTACTGTATATAGATTCCTAAAAGATATTATCATAAAAGGAAAATGTTGACAATTAATGTGTTCAATAATTATAAAGTCTGAAGACTTTTACCAGAGTACTAATTTTGAGGCACATAAATGAACATAATAGATTACTGAAATATTACTACCATGTGAACTAACACACATTCACCACAGCAACAATGATATGTTTGTATAGAAACAGAATGTTCTAGCCCTCTTTTTCTGTTTTCTTTTCTCTCCTCTCTCTCCTTCTTCTTCTTTTCTTCTCTCTTCCTCTCTCTTTCTCTTTCTCTGTCTCTCTCTTTTGGTACAAGAGATTGAAGTCATAAATCTCATGTTTGTCAGGCAGGCACTTGTGCTGCTAAACTGTATCCCTGGCTTGTTTTTCATATTTTATTTTATATTTTTATTTTTTGTCTTTTTCCTTTTTATCGGTACCAGGGATTGAACTCACGACTGCCTGCTTGCAAGGCAGATGCTTATGCTGCTGAGCTAAATCCCCAGCCCCTGCTTTTCATATTTTAAACAAGACAGTGATATGAAATAAGAAAGTGAGTGGTGAGACAGGATTCAAACCATATGACTTGGTGTAATAATACATTTGAATGAAAAACTGAATTTGGGTGAAAATGAAATACAAAATCAAAAGGAAAGGGGAAACAAAAGAAACTTAAAGCCTGAAATGACAGAATCGTAAAAATAAAATAAACTGAGAGTCTAGTTTTAGGTAAAATGCATTCAGTGAGAGCACATTTGTTCACTTAACAAATATTCACTGAGTGCTTTCCAAGTGCCAAGACTATTTCACATCCTGGGAAGGCATCAGTGAATCAGATATCCAAAAATCTCCACCTACATAAAAATTACATTCTAATGAGAGAGATAACAAACATAATAAACATGTAAACAATGTGCAGTACACTACACAACTGGTAAGAGCAATAGGAGTGTGGCTGAATGGATCTAAGATAGATCGGCTCTGTTTGTCTCTTCTGCCAAACACCTTCAGGCATGTGAAGTCTTAGAGGGCACAGCTACACATTATGCTTGCTGACCTACACTGATTCTATATCAACTCAGAGTGAAGTTTAGATTTTTCTGCCACCACCTTTTTATCTTTCTGTGAATCACAAACCTGATTCTTGATTGTAAATACTCTAGTGGACTGGAAACTGTCTTAAATATGAGAGGTGGTAAACGATAGTGAGAGAGAACTATTGGGGGTTGTATGCAATATTAAAAGGTTTATTCTATATATTCAAAACAGGCAAGAATGTAGTTTCAGAAATGGCTTATATTATGGTCCTAAAGAAGAATATAATATGAAAGCATGTGAGAAATTGGAGATGGTAGCTAAAATGAAAAATCCAAGACTACAAAAATACTTTTGAAAAATCAAAGTGAGTCCTGAAAGTTATAAATGTTTGACTAATGAGAATTTTCTAGAAGAAGGTACAAAGGTTGGGTCAGTTTATTACTTTTAACCCTGAATATGAGGTTTTACTTGTGGGCTCACTGTATAAATGTAAATTCAGTTGAGATGCCAAAACTGCTCTACTTACATAGTACCTATATGGTTGAAAACTATGAAAATAAAAAAGCAGATCAAAAAATAATAATAAGAGGCTGGGGATTTAGCTCAGCGGCATAAAAGCCTGCCTTGGCAAGCTCAAGGTTGTGGGTTCAATCCCTGGTACTAAATAAATAAATAAATAATAAAATGACTCTACTATTCAAATGATAATTTCAGTCATTTTAGATTTAGGTACTTTAACATAATGCAGTGAGCCTTCTGCATGATCTTAAAGATAAAGATCCACATCAAAGGGCTAGGGATTTAGCTCAGCAGGCATAAATGCCTGCCTTGCAAGCATGTGGTCGTGAGTTCAATCCCCAGTACCAATTAAAAAAAAAAAACACTAAAAAAAAAAAGATCCACATCAAAGACAGGTCCGTGTCAGAGATTTGTCATGAAAACAGCCCATCTGGGACAGAGAGATGGACAGGAAATACTAAGGTTCAATCTTAAGTCAGTATTTCCATTTTCGCACAAGATTATTCTTAGCTGTGAAAGCAGAGAGAGAGAAAACTAACTCCAAGCCCACAATGGTGTTCTCCTCTGAGCAGAAGTTCTACGACCCAGAGTAAAAGAAATACGTAAGTAACTGAATAAGAATAGAAATAAGTATTATGGGGCTCGGGATTTAGCTCAGCGGCATAAGCAACTGCCTTGCAAGCAGGCAGTCGTGAGTTCAATCATCGGTACCGATAAAAAGAGAAAAAGAAAAAAAAATTGGAAAAAAAAAAGAAATAAGTATTATCAGACCTTCATCTATGGTCTCCTTTTATTAATTCAGAGCAAATTACTCTATCAGCACTGAACTGCCATATAAAACTGTCATATTATTACTTAAGAAGGTTCTATAGACCTGGACAAGTATGATTTGGAACTACACTTCTATTCTGAAAAACACGTTCAACTTAAAGCAGTTCTCATTTTATGAATGAATGGTACAAAGCTCCTTGGATGCATCTTCCCAATTGAAAATTTAAATCTTACTAAAAAATAAGTAAGTAAATAAATCTATCTTACTATACTTTTAGATAAATAACTTTTCTGGGCAAGAAAAATATTGGCAAGTGTGTAAAACCTCTTAGAAAAAGAGATCACAAATAGTCACAGGCAACCTACATACCAACTAGCGCAGTTATGACCAAGTGTCAGACGATTCACCAGCCTTGCTTGGTAAACAGTATGAGTAAGAGGGATACAGGAAAGCTAAGAGATTTACAGAAAAAGAAAAACAAGTAGCCTTGAAAAATATCCTACCACAAGCACATGGAAACTAGTCTAGTTCTATTTCCATTCATTTAATGTGAACCACATAAAAGTTTAGCTACTCAGAGACTGACCAATTAAAAACACCTATGAATTCAAATTAGTTTAAATAAACTCTGACAATATCTACACATGGATACCATCCAGGGTGGATTATACCATGTTTTTAGGCTACTTTTCTCCTTTACTTCTTGGCAAGTCTGCACAATCCTTAGCCACTTCCTCCAAAACTTCTTAATCCTGAGGTTCCCGAATTCTTGGTCATCAAATGGTTTACTTAGTAGACTTAAATGCTCAGATCCCACACATTCCAAAGAAAAGACAGGCCTCAGTGGACTTTTAGGAGGCAACTTGTGAGTCCTTAGACTATCGTGATTGATAATACTACCTTTTGTATACCAGAAATTATCAGAAAATGTGCATGATAGTGAATGTCTGTTTTGGTCCACATGGGACCCTGGTCCACACAGTAGTATTTTACAGTCCTATACAACTGACACCCAATAAAAATCCTGGACACCAAAGCTCAGATGACCTTCTGCATTTGGCAATGCTTCATAACATACATTACTGACAGGAGGATTAACTGCATCCTTGTGCAACTCTACTTCAAAACAGCAAATGGAAACCTATATATCGGTTCTTCTGGACCTTTTTCTTTGTTTATTTTAATCTGTATCTCCTCACTGTTATAACCATAACCATGGACCAACTCCTCTGGGTCCTATGAATCTTTCTAAGAAATTACTGAACTTGAGAGTAGTTTTGGGATCCCCAACACAGCCTCCAGTACTGTTTCCTATTAACCTATCAATCAAGAGCTCCAAATAGTACTCCCATATAATTTTATTAGCTGGTGTTTTCTTCTTCCCACTGCTCAGCTCGCCCTGCTCTCTTTCACCATAAATAATAAAGGTATGATTGTACTTTCTTTCTTGTATGGTACTGCAGGTTGGCACCGGGATCTCATATACAGTAGGCAAGCACTGAGCTGTACCCCAAGTTCTTGTGAATAAATCTTTAAATCTCACAGAATCTATTTCTATGTAACTCCAGAGATACAGTAAGCGTTTCTGGTTGTTCTCAAATGAAATGAAGAAGGACTTGTTAAGAGCACTGTATTCTGAATCCCAAATAATTTTCTCACTTAAGATGTACTGCAATGCAATTAATCATGCTAATTACATTTTAAACATGATTATTTTGGTGTGGTACTCTGAAGTAGGATCATTCTTGATGAAGATGAAAAGAGAAAGCAGTAAATAAATTTGTTTTCTATAAAATGAAGAGTTGACCTCACATAGCAAAGCAATACAAGGTCCTCGAAATTAGGATGATGGAGCAGTTAAGAATTTACTAAAGACTAAAAATGGCTTAGAAGCAGATAACTTTACCAAAAGGTAGGTTAATCCACATAAGAGAATGGTGAAAAGAAACTTTAAATCCAGGTCTTATCAACCCTGAATCAAACATAGGCAAGGGACTGAGCTCCAAAGGACAGAATGAAATTTCCTCCATGGGCAATTAGTGTAATATTTTGGGATATTTATACATAAGGTAATGTACCCGATGGTGCACTTGATAATGAATCCTATATGTCAATATTTCTCAAAGGTGCTGTTCATTATTTTTCTATCTCACAAGAATACTTACAAAGTAGTACTCAGTTGATTGGTACATGTTGCTTATAAAACTTGCAAATAGCAATAAAAATGCTTTGGCATTAAACAAAAAGATTACCAAGATTTATTCTTTTCTGTAGACAACTTTCTTAATCGTTATGGAAATGTTACTACTCAAATAAATAGAAAATGTATACAACAAAGTATAGAGTTAAATTAGTTACTGCTTTTAGTGCTGAAACTACTACAAACATAATTAGCTTAAGTCTTGTGATATGGGTCAACAAGAAAAGACAAGCTGAATTTAAGTCACATGAACATCAGAATAGGCCACAATCTCATAGAAATTGTTAAAGACAGCATGGGATTCAGTTACTCTTATTTATACAAAAGCTATATAGAGTGATATAATCAATGAATGACAGTTTATGTATCTCTGTGTATACATTTCTCATTAATCGTTAGATTCGTTACAAGGTATTTACAGAAAAATAATTCTTCTGAAGCATAAAAAAATAGGTCCTGATAAATTTTGATAATGAAAAATTTGCAGATTTTAGTAGTTTATAGAAACACTAAAGAGATTTGTGATTCTTTCTTTTCCTCTCTAATTTAATTTTAAAGTAGTATATCTAAAATAACCAATCATGGTATGTTTTTGTTCCAAGAGGGTAGCCCCTTGAATTAAATAACTTTATACCTGATATCTTCAAAGCACAACTGCTCCCTATTAAATTTATCAAAGCCAGCAGAAGAGCCCTGCTGGTTACAAACTACCATGTTTTGATCCCCTTGCACTGGGAATGGAAACATCTTAAAAATTAGTCCCCAGTAGAGTAGTTCTTAAGAGGAAAAAAGTGATTAAAAATCACAAGTAAAAATTACTTAATTTAGTTTAATTTTCAGAAAAAAAATTTGCCACACATAAAATTAAAAAGCTACTCTCAATTTCTTTCTTTCTTCCTTCCTTCCTGCTTTCTTTTCTTTCTTTCTTTTTTCATGAGTAAACAAAAGAGAAAAGGGAAGGTAAGGAAAGTGTAGGACACACAGAGGGACAAACAGACTCAGTAAGGGACAGAGGTAAAGAGAGACACCAGTGGACCAGACCAAAGTCAGGAAGGAAAAGGACAGAGAGACAGAAAGACAAACAGGCACTAGAGAGCCAATGAACTTTTTCTTTTCCTCCTTGGTTCTTACATTTTTCTTCTCCCTCTACACTATTTCTTGAGTATTACTATAGACACTACCAGGAGGCATATTGGGGATGGGTGAAAGGATAAAAGGAGGAAGAGAAAAGGAAAAAAATGTATACAAAAGATAAAGATAATTATCCTGCTGATTCTTCTCAGTTCATTGAAGAGAGCAGTTTGTGCTTATGCTGTTTGATCAGTTATGCACTTGGATATCTTGCAATCTGAGCAACTACTTTGATGATGACAATCTGCAGTACACCAACCATTGTCCATTTCCTATTTTGTTTCTGAAATCCTGTATCATTGTTTTTGTTTTTTCTCTTTAAAATGAAAGAAAGAAAGAAAGAAAGAAAGAAAAGTTTAATGGGATCATACCATCGGAATGCAACCAGCAAAATCCAGAATGTAGAAAGCTTTAAAGGACAAATTAACACAACTTTTTCAACAAAAAATTGAAAGGAAAAAATGAAAGGAAGAATAGAAGAAAGAGTAAGAGGCCCTATAAAGATTTTAAGAATGAAATCAAATGTGTCAGTTTACTTTAGATCCTAATTTAAACAAATCAACTATTAAAAACAAGGGGGAAAAAATCCTGGCATGGTGGTGCATTACAGTAATCCTAGGATTTGGGAGGCTGAGGCAGGAGGATAGCCATGAGTTTGAGGTCATTTTAGATTTCCTAGTGAGTTCAAGGCCAGCCTGAACCACATAGACTCTGTCTCAAAAAACAACATATGGAAAAAATGGTACATAAATAAAAGAGTTAAAAACAGGCACTTGAACACATAATGTAGCCAGTTCAATACAGCAGTCATTACAATAGCCAAAATGTAGAAACAACTCAAATGTCCATCAGTAGATGAATGGATAATCAAATTGTGATTTACATGAACCTCAAAAATACTCTATTAAATGAAAGAAATCAGAAACTAAACATTACATATTGTATGAATCCATCAATAAGAAATACCCAGAAGAATAAATCCATAGACACAGAAGGAAACCGGTGGTTGTCAAGGCTTGGCTCGTGGAAGGGTGGAGAAATGGGACACACTTAATGGGCACAGGATTTCTTTCTGGGATGATGGAATTATTTTGGAATTAGAAATAGTGGTTGTACAGCATGTGAATTATTCACTTTAAAATAGTTCATTGTATGCTATATGAATTTTACCTCAACTAAAACCCCCCCCCAAAAAAGCAGGAATTATGAAGTGTTTGAGGGAATCTGAGTATGTATTGACTAAATCTTTGATGTACGAAGAATGGCGATTTTTTGGTCTGATGATGGTACTGGATATGTTTTTTAAGAGACCTCTCAGATTATTTGCTGAAATTTAACTCATGGGTAAAACTATATGATGTCTAGGATTTACTTCAAAATAATCCAATTGGGAGGTGGCTGAAGGGAAAAAGTGGGTGGAGGTAAAGACAAGTCATGAGTTAGCTAACTGTTGAACATGAGAGTTCTTTATACATATTCCCTACTCAAGTATGTGACTGGAGTTTTGTACAATAAAGTTTTAAAATTTCAAATACACTTAAGAAAATCTAAGATTAGATTAGAATGGGTTTATTTAGAAATTTGTTAGGTCACTCAATCTACTATGTGAAATTAAATCTTTCAGATGAAAAATTATTCAGTAATATGCAGGTTTCAAAAGAAAAAACATGACAAACTCAGAAGAGGAAGACAAAATTTATTTTTCATCTCTCAGAAGAAAGAGTTTTGTGTTTTAAGCTTTAGAAATTCTTTATTCAACCGAGTATGACAGAGATCTTTTCATAACATGAGATCACCAAATTTCAAACATCACCATGAATGAATGAATAAATAAATAAATAAATAAATGTAGTACAAAGAAACTAGAAATAATGAAAAATATACAGAAAAATTATTCCAAAATTTAGGGGTGTTTCCTGTTAACCTTAAAATCCTTACTTTTACTTTCCTTCCCTACAAATATTAACATGTGAAGTAGACAGTTTTATATATGGTTTTCTTATTCTAAACCTAAGCATTTAACATATTATGTTCTTAGTAACAATTACTTTTAATGGAGTTGTAAAAATGGCATTGATATAGTTCATTTATTTCTCTATATCATGACATTCATACTATTTCCAACTATTCTAAATAAATCTGTTATAAATATATTAATATGTTAAATTTCATAATGGTTAGGATAACTACAAGTCATTTGATTTTTCAGGAGATAAAAAACTGAAACTTTTTTCCTCTTGAAAATGTGTTAGTTGGCAAAATAAAGTTAGAGTCTCTGCTATCTCTAAAGATAAAACTCAAGAATACTTCAAATGATAGGATGTAGAGAAGGGCTAAGGACAATCCTCCTATTTTTAGCAAAACAATCTCTATATGGGTAGAGGCAGAAAAAATTTAACTAGAATTATACTCTACCTGTTGAAAAGCTTTTTCTGCTTGACGTTCAGCATCAATAACTTGTCTCTCAAGCTGCTGCATCTGTAAAGTGAGGGAAAATATAAAAAATACAAAAACTCAAATTTCCCTTTTGGGAAAATACTGTAAATCTCCCAATGTTATCAACTTTTAAAGAATATTTAATGTGATTCACTGGAAATGAGTTACATACAATTAACATATTAAAGGCTCTGTGTGTACTTAAAAACTGATGAAACAAACTGGGCGAGGTCGCCCACACCTGTAATTCCAGCCCTTGGGAGGCTCTGGCAAGAGATCACTTCGGGTTAGAGGTCATCCTGGGCTACAATGTGGGTTCAAGGGCAGTCTAAACTACACAGCAAGACTGTCTCAAAAATACAACAAACAAACATGGATGAAACAAAAATTTCAAAGTTTTGGTACTTTTAGAACATGTAATATTTACGAGTATTCATTAATAGACAAGAAATTACTTGTCAACCCATATTAGAAACATTAAGTTAAGAGAAAAGTAAGACTTCCAGTGTCATACTTGATGCCTTGATCAAAAAAATCAGAAGGAGCAGGTAATGGTAGTGCACGTCTGTAATCCCAACCTTTGCAAGGCTAGGCAAGAGGATCGCTGCGAGTTACTGGCCAGCCTGGGTTAAATAGTTCACTGCTAGTCTTGGCCTGCCTAGTGACAGCATGTCTCAAAAACCAAAGTAGCAATGATATTGGGGAAGTGTTGTATTTTCATAAGCTCCACAGATGAAATGTTTTGGTCAACACTAGGGATTATTACATTCAGACAGAGATGGAAAGAGTTACAGAAGAGACTCTTTAAACACACACACACACAGACACACAAATACCCAAGTGATTGTAAGGAAAAATGTTAAAGACTTTAAAGGACCCACTGCTAATTAACATAAAGGACGTGTATCAAATGTTCAATACACAAGCCAAGAAGTAAAATTCAGTTTCAATTTCTTTTTTCAGAGTGCAGTTTGGCCACTTATACAGACATCTGCGACTGGATTCCCGCTCATTTTCGCTTTTGCTGGCTGGCGGTCCGCCGTCCAGAACTTGAGGAACACCGCCAGCCCCCAGCAAGCCCTAGCGGCCTGCGGACCAGGCTGGGCCCCGCCCCCTTCCCACACCACCGAGAAGCGGCCTCCCGCAGCTAGAGCGGCCCAACCCGGAAGCGCTCTGCACCACCAGGTCCATGGAGACGGCCCCCAGGATTCCTGGATCCGCACGCAGTGCTCTCGCCTGAGAAATGTTTTCTCTTTACCGTGCATTATTTCTTAAAGGTATGTTGATTGGGAGCATTTCCTGGGCTTTGGTAACTATGTTTAGCCAAATAGACATTCGACTCGGAGGTCAAACTGAAGACCACAAACACCGTCATCTTCAACCACCTAATGGAAAAGAATTCTTAAATATTTCACAAGTGACACGCACGGAACTCAGCAAAAGTATGCGTGTTTTTTGTATCATCCTCGGAGAATACGAAGATGACAGTAACTGGACTATGCTAAGAGACAGTTGGCCCAAACACTGTGACCAAGCAGAGTTCTATGGTGCTAAAAGTGAACACTTGTTCAATAGAGAAATAAATGACAAGTGGAAACACATGAGCAAAACTTACAAAGACGTCTTTGAAAAGTATGGCAACACCTTCAAGTGGTACTTTCTTGCACTTCCCACCACGTTTGCTGTCATGGAAAATTTAAAGTACTTTCTGCTGACGAAGGATGCATCACAACCTTTCTATTTGGGCCACACAATTACATCTGGAGACCTCGAATATGTGACTGTGGATGGAGGCATTGTCTTAAGTATAGAGGCGCTGAGGAGATTTCACAGGTCTCTCAGTAAGAATGAAAAGTGTGCAAATCAAAGTGTGATTTGGAATTTATCCTTCGATAAGCAGCTGGCAATCTGCCTGAAATATGCAGGTGTTTTTGCAGAAAATGCAGAAGATTACGAAGGAAGACATATATTTAATACAAAACCAATTGCAGCTCTTATTCAGGAGGCAATGCGTAATAACCCTCACCAAACAGTAAAAGGCTGCTGTTCGGATTTAGCCATTACTTTTAATGGACTGACACCCCAAAAGATGGAAGTGATGATGTATGGCGTCTACCGGCTCAGGGCATTTGGACATTATTTCAATGACACACTGGTTTTCTTGCCTCCAAATGGTTCAGAAAATGACTGAGGAATGGCAAACACTGTGCTGTTCAAGAACACCTGAAATGAGACTAGTCCAAATTAATGTGATTAATACAAAACACACTTTATTCAATAATACATAATTATTAGAAGCCTGATTAGTATGAGAAGTGTAAAGTATGTGGAGTCTGGAGTAACTTTTTATATTGACTGCACATTGAGTATTTTGGATATGTTGCATTAAATATACTATTAAAATTAATTTCATGTTTCTTGTTCATTTTATTCATATGTGCTTTAGCAAAAGTTAAATTACCTAAGTAGCTCTCACACTATATTTCCACTGAATAATAAAGATTTAGAACATCTGTTGTTATTACCTGTAGAAATTTAATTGTAAATATGATAGTACTTTTAAGGCAGTTTATTGTAGGGATCTAGATTATAGAGGAAGTTTTAAATAATTCAAGCCAGGCTTGAGCAACTTAAACCCTGTTACAAAATTTACAAAAAAAATTTTTTTTATAAAGTGGTTGAGGATGTAGCTCAGTGCAAAGGCCCTGGGTTCAGTCTCTAGTACCAAAAGAGAGTGCGAGAGAGAGAGAGAGAGAGAGAGAGAGAGAGAGAGAGAGAGCAAGAAAGAGAGAGAAGAAGGAGATGGGGAGAGCAATAGGTATTTCCTAAGCGTTCTCTGGACCTTACATCATTAATTTTTGTTAAATGTTTCAAGTGTTTAATGAGTGATGTTGCTTAAAAACATTTTAAGTTATTGTGTAGACTGGGAACTATACAGAAGTACTTGGACAAGCACTGTTTTTCTGGGATGTTTCTATAACAGTCCTTAAACCAAAAAGCCTACTATTGTACTAGCAGATGCAGGCCATGGCTACATTTTTCCACTACTGGCAATATGCTGACAATTGTCATCTTTAAAATGTTAATTACATTCTATTTTTCAGAAGAATTTTATAGTTTAGGAGCCTAAAAGAACGTTTGGGTTGGGGTTGCCAGGAGAAACAGAAAAATCCACAAAATTCTATCAAATTTTGTTAGTGAAAAAATGAGTTAGTGAAAAAAATGAATTTTAAAAACAAAAACTGTAAGTATCTTGTCTGGTTTCTCCAGGTTTGGTTTCTAATCCTAACAAGAAGAATAGAAGTCTGTTTGATTTACTGTTATGGTCACAATAACATCTTTATACATAGTAGGTGTTCCATACATTATAAATTATCAATGACAAAGTTCCCTATCATTTGTAAAGCACCATATATGTATGGATAGTACCATTATTTCAAATAACTGTTTCTAATCTGTTAGCACTGACTTATTTTTTTTTTACTATTTTTCCAATGACATTGTAAGTTGCCAGAAGCAATCATGTATGTGAGACCATATCTTGCACATTCAATGCTACCATGGCCCAAACCTGTAATCCAGGTACTCAGGAAGTTGACTACAAGTTTAAGGCCGGCCTGAGCAACCTAGTGAAACCAAGTCTCAAAATAATATTTTGAAGAAGGGCGAAGGAATGTCGCTTGATGGCATAGTCCATAAAGATCCTAAGTTTGAGCTCCAGAACCATTTAAGGAAAAAAAGAAAAATTCTAAAACCTCATACTAATCAGTATTATTTATTATTTTAAAAAGCAACACACATCACTTACAATAGCAAAGATGCCTTGAGGACAGTTCAGAAATTCCCATGACTCAACTCTTTAAGGGTGCAAAAAACTCTCATTGGAAAAGTGCCCCAGGCCATTCAGTTACTCAGGCTGATGCAGCCCCGACCCAAGGAAGCCTGGCTATGCTCCAACTGACAGCAGACCTCAGTGTTATCCACATGGTACCCGTTTTATGGACATGTAGAATGCAAGAGTTGTGGAATTTAGGGAGGCTTCTACTCAGAAGGCTTGGTGGCCAGGCAGTAGGTCCCTGAGCGAGAAATGCATGAAGCTGTTAGACTGAAGACAAAAGGAGAGACCCCAGGAAGCTGGAGAAGCCAGGAGCATAAAATATCTCGAAAAAGCCACAGGCAAACCCAAGACAGCCCGTGAGAGCCACACTCAGCACTGCCACATGAGCGAGGCCACACAGCCACTCTGGAGTTCATGTCTCGCCACAACTTGCCCCTGGTTCTAGACAAAACTACAGGGCTTACTGTTTGCTCTGCTAGATTTTGGTCTTGCTTTGTTCTATTTCTTTTTGCTCCCCGTTTCTAAATTTTGGAATGGGAATGTTTAGGGCCACTGTATATTAGAAGTGTTTAATCTTTTTTGATTTTTTTTTTTTGTCTTTTTCGTTTTTATCGGTACCAGGGATCGAACTCCGACTGCCTGCTTGCAAGGCAGGTGCTTATGCTGCTGAGCTAAATCCCCAGCCCCAATCTTTTTTGATTTTTTTAAAAGGGGCTCATGGCTAAGAGTTTGCTTTGAGTTTCACAGATAAACAATTTTGATAGAGATATAGTGGACTTCACTCAAGCATTAAAAAATAGTATGAAGTAACATGGTGGATGAAACTTGAAAACATACTAAATGAAAGGTCACATATCATGTGATTCCATTTGTAAGAAATATTCAAATAGGCAAACCCATAGAAATTTAAATAAACATTAACCTACAATGATTCTTTTCAAAGCAAATTTTTGTAAAAATACTGAGTGTTAAAGAAAAAGAAATCATCCTTTGGTTATCGAGGCAGACCCAAAAACCATGTTTTTTTATGTCATAAGGAAACAATCACGTTGTTACACTGATAGCAATGCTTTATGCCAGAAGGAAATGGAGAACATGTTTAACAGGCCAAGGGATGAACGTGTAACCTAAGGATTTTATATACAGCTATCCTGACTCTCAAATATTAGTGGTACAGCAAATGGCAAGCTTCTTAACAAGAAAGAACTAAAACAAATACTGTTCACAGGAGTTTTTGCTAAGAAATTTAGAAAATGAGGTCCTGACAACTACAATAACTAGAGATACCGAAGGCTCTATGATCTGGCAGTGAAGGTAATGCAAACCAATACAAATGCCAAAAAGGACCAGGGATGTGACTCAGTGGTAGAGTACTTCCCTAGCATGTACAAGGCTCTACTTTGATCCCAAGTCCTGAAAAAAATTGCCAAAAGAAAAAAAAAGACATAATATTTGATGTTAAGCTGTTTCATATAGCAATCATAATCAAGACAGTATGGTGTAAAAGCATATCTAACAGATAAATGGAACAGAGAGCTCAGAAGTGTATTTTAAAATATAACATTAATATATCCAGGCACAATAACATAAGCATTTAGTCTTAGCTACTTGAGAGTGAGGCAGGAGGCTCATTCGTATCCAAGAATTTGTAGATGTAGGCAACACATTTGCAGCCTGGCCAACATAATGAAACAAATTGCAATATCTCCCCATCCTCTCAATATAAGTATATCTCACCTTTTATTAAATCACTATTCCAGATCAATACTGCATATGTGACTGTATATGATGGTTATAATATGTGATTTTCATACACAGCTAAAACAAGGAGTAAACTATGATTACTTTTTCCTTTCCTATATAATTTCCCCCCTGGAGATAAGGGTTTGTTGGATTTACTTAGCTTTTTATGAATTTACTAATAATTCAACTTTAAATTCCCACCACTGTGGGAATCTTATCATTCAAGATTTTCATTCACATCTGGTTTTGTACCAATTTTTTCTTTAAGCTGCTCCTAGAGTCTCTGATCTGAGTCAGTCTGGGTGGGCTCCCTGGGATTCTGGCAGCCCAGCTGTCTCCTTTGGCCGACCCTTTGACTTTCTACCACAAAGGATGTTCTGTTTCCTTTATCCCATGTTGTCCTTGAGCTTGGTTTACTTCCTCCTTTTAATGGAATACATCTTGCTGAAGATTTTGCAGAATGGTGACATAGGACTTTGCATGTCTTCAAAATATTTTTATAATTCGACCTTTAAGTAAAATTCACAATTGGCCTTGGAACAGAAATGCAATTTTTAGAATTATAAAGACCCAGTTTTATTGTCTTCTAACTTGTAATATTGCTTTTGAGAAGTTGGAAACCATTCTAATTCCTGATCCTTTGTATGTGACTTGTATTTTTTACTCTGAAAGCTTGTAGATACTCATTTAATCATCCAACACCACCCCAAGTTTTCTTAAGGCAAAAAGAATGGAAAATACAGCCTAGATTAAAGCTCAAAGGCTTCTGATGTCCTCCTCACAGACAAATGCCCTAAGGAACCCTGTAAAGATCTAAAGGAGGAACGATGTGTCACACTGAAAACAGTGGGTATTGATAGAAATGTGTCCTTTTACAATCAATTAATTCCCTGAAACCTTCACATTTATTCCCATACTCCAAATGTCCAGCAATGAAGCATTTCCTGTAAAAAAAAAATTGAAAATTTGTTTCTTACAAAATTTAATAACTTGTTCGGTGCAGCTTAATCCCAACAATTGTGGTATTATGAGCACATGACCTTATAGATAAGGTCATCAGCAAAAGCTGATGTGGACCAGTCCTGATTATATATACACAGCAGTCAGCCATCTCTGCAGATGTGCATTCCTACACAGACACACCAGAAACCACCAGACATTTGAGAGAAGCTTGTAATCTGAAAACAACAAACACAAAAGTGGAAAAATAATTTCAAAAGAAAGAAAATTAGGGAATAGAAGAGAACTTTTTAGAAATTCTAATTGTTCTTCAGGATCAAGAAACTTTCAAATACACCACTTCACAGCCTTACCGTGAAACAAAATTTATTCGCTTGTTAAATATTAGGAAGCAGTTCAAAATGCACATGCCTTGAGCAACCTTATATGTTCCCAGACTGTGACAAAAGAGACTAAATCTGGAATTTGAGATTCTAACAGTTCATCACTGGATAGAAACAGTTAATTACTTGTCCAAATGTTGGGTATGTTGTTTACTTATCCAACAATGGCTGCGGCTGGAAGATAAATACTACTAATAGAAACACATTCATTCTTAGTTTTTTTGTTTTCTTTTTCTTTTCTTTTTTCTTTTTCTTTGGTATTTTTGAGACAGGGTCTCCTTGTGCAGTTCTGGCTGGACTTGAGCTCACTTTGTAGCCCAGGCTGGTCTCAACTTTGCAACAATCCTCCTGCCTCAGCCTGCTGAGTGCTGGGATTATAGATGTGTGCCACCCCACCCAGCTAAAACGCATTTATTCTTGAACAAATAAAAGAAAATGAACAAATTAATGATAGCTTTAACTCTTTCCAGAAAGAAAAATAAA